TGAGAATAACAAGTGCCATCGTTGAGTCTGACAAGCGCCACCGCTGTGAATGACAAGCGCTGCCGCTGGCGTGGCGAGTCTTTGGTAAATGAGCTCACAAAGTCGAAAGTCCTTTATTGAAACAGTAGGTATACATTTCAGTAATACCTATGTATGTATTTTGTTTTTCTAGCTTGATCAAAGTTATTTATTATTTCATAACAAATAGTTAAGAGCTTAGGCGGCTTTAGCGGCAGGCACCTGACACCCCCCAGAATTTGGCACTCGGGTGCCCCGCACCCCTTGCACCCCCGGGTAAAGACGGCTCTGCTGTCCCCCTAAACGTGGGACACCACAATCACGTCTTCAAAGGCCTTGTCTTGTCCCCTAATGTTTCTTCCTTTCAGCTTTTCCAGGTCAGTAGCTTTAGCCTCATAGGAGCAAACTTGTTCCATCACGATGAGGAGTTCATTGCACAGAGCACATAATCATGACTTCTGTCCAGCAGGCAGGCCGTTGTGTATGTCACATTCTGTACAATGCAATGTAATAATAATAATAATAATTTATACCCCTCCCATCTGGCCGGGCCTCTCCAGCCACTCTGGGCAGCTCCCAACAGAATATTAAGAACATGGTAAAACATCAAGCATTAAAAGCTTCCCTAAACAGGGCTGCCTTCAGATGTCTTCTGAAAGTCAGATAGTTGCTTCTTTCCTTGAGATCTGATGGGAGGGCATTCCACGGGGCGGGCGCCACTACCGAGAAGGCCCTCTGCCTGGTTCCCTGTAACTTGGCTTCTCGCAGTGAGGGAACAGCCAGAAGGCCCTCGGCGCTGAACCTCATTGTCCAGTCAGAACAATGGTGGTGGAGACGCTCCTCCTTACAGTAAGGCAATGTCATGGACTAGCTAGATGCAGAAAAATGGTGGGAGGTACCAGCCAGGGAGCCCCCAAGGGAACTCCTTCAATGTATACCCCAGTTGGCTTCCTATCTGAATATATTTGTTTATTGAATTAATTGCTTCGGAGTTTGGTAACTTCTTAGCTCAAAGAAGAGGGAGAATAGTTTGCCCTGGTCTCATTGCCCTGTTGCTGAACTCACACAGCGGCCCAACCCACTGTGTTATGCTACGTCTACGTGCAAAAGCTGGACGTGAGATGGGTCTAGCAGCATGGTCCTCCTCCTTCCTCTACTTGTTAACTGTACACATGGAGAATATCTGAGTAGATCGATGCTTTCTTCACGTGCCTGCATCAACATGTTGGGTGGCACCTTAGCTGTCAAACCTTATCGGACGCATGATATGTTATTAGCTGAATACATCTCAGCAAACCTTCATTAGGTTTTAACCAACCCGACACTCTTCCTGCATTTGTGCTTTGCTGAACACAGGCGGGAACAGAGTTTCCTGTGCGATGGCGATAACATCTGCTCGACTTTGTTGTTGGCTGCTCGAGAAAGTTGAAGACGGTGCCCCGCGATCTATGGAAAGCTGCATAGCCTTATCTGATCCTTACCAGATATTGCTGGAGGAAATTGACTATGAGGGCTGGCCCTACTTAGGAAATATATTTTTTTACAAAAAAAACTGTCAGTCAAAATGTCATTAGATAAGCACTTTTGTACACTTTCACCTAGTCCTTCTAGGCAATGCAGTCCAAAGTAGCATGCAGACCAAAGAAAAACAGCATGTTGCATACACTTATATATTTTCTTTGGTAATCAGCCGTATGACTTTTTCTGGCACAGCACGATGCCAAAATAAATTGATGTGAGCTATTATTTTTACCCTCTTCCAAAAACCTTTTAAAGCATTTTTAAATGTCAAACAATTATAACCAGTGGGACTTTCTTCCAGGTACATCAGAAGCTGCCTTTATAGTGAGTCAGACCATTGGTTCATGTAGGTCAGTATCATCTAGTTATTGTGGCTGATTGTGGCTCTCCAGGGTTCCAGATAAGGGATATTTCAATGCTTTTGGAAGGATTGAACCTGAACTATAGCTGTTTCTTCACATATGCATAGGATCAGGCTGTTGATCTTTATTATTATTATTATTATTATTAATTATTAAAAGCTGGCTGGCTGCTAGACAGACAGACAGACATCTGGTTTTTATTCAAGGTCAGGTCCATACCGACCACAAGAAAACCAAATGCAAACACCAAATGGAACCAAACAGTAGTGCAATTAGGAATATATATAGGGGATGTTCATATTCTAAACCAACAAAAATTCTATTACTTTATGTAAAATATTTTAAGTATCTAACTTATGATGGTACTGTACTTTGCCTGTCCTAAGTAAATGTAGCAGCAGTCAGACACACACGTTTTACATATGCTTCCGTGAAATTATTTGTGAGGTTTTCCATAGTCTTGTCCTGGGGAGTATTTCTGATAAAAAATAAGACAATGGAATAATAATTCTATTTTTGCTTTGATGGCTCCATGTACTTTGTTGACTTACATAGCATCTAATGACTGTCACTGTTTCCTTTGAGTCGCCTCATAAAACTGAAATGACTGGAAGTGAGGGTAATAACTCCAATGGAAATTAGAAGAGAAAGGGAAACAGGATACATTTTGAGTAGCCTGAAATATACAGCCAAATCATTTCTTCATATATTTTTGCTTTGGCTGCCGTAAACGATGTGAAGCACCTATGTCCTCAACCATGATATCTGAGAGGACAGAGTATGAGACTCAACCTCGGGTCACGGGTTCAAGTCCCACATTGCATGAAAGATGCCTACATTGCAAGGGATAGACCAGATGATCCTTATGGTCCCTTCCAACTCTATAATTCTATGATTATCACTCAGTGAGGGTGTTTGGATGGCTTAATTTGAAGACAGGTTGTTGAGATATTGCAAATGGGTCATTGACAATAGTTATAAAAACTTCTCCGAGCCTCCCCTTTCAGAAAGGGTAAATCCTAAATAAACGCTGTGCAGACACTGCCCTAAATTTGCTTGCATCGGAAGCAGGACACAGGTGGCGCTGTGGTCTAAACCACTGAGTCTCTTGGGCTTGCTGATTGGAAGGTTGGCAGTTCGAATTCACAGTACAGGGTGAGCTCCCATGGCTCTGTCCCAGCTCCTGCCAACCTAGCAGTTCAAAAGCACTCCAGTGCAAGTAGATAAATAGGTACCGCTGCGGCAGGAAGGTAAACGGCATTTCTGTGCACTCTGGTTTCCATCATGGTGTTCCGTTGCGCCACAAGCGGTTTAGTCATGCTGGCCACATGACCCAGAAAGCTGTCTGTGGACAAAAGCCGGCTCCCTTGGCCTGAAAAGCGAGATGAGTGCCACAACCCCAGTCGCCTTTGACAGGACTTAAACGTCCAGGGGTCCTTTACCTTTTTTGCATGGGAAGCATTAATCCCACAGTAAGCACCTGCCTGAAAGCACCTTGAGACTCAAAGAAGATTCCACTGTATCCAATAGCAGTGTTTTAAACCCCTCCCCTGAAAGAATTTACACTGCACATTCAGTCATCATGCAATAGCACACTGTTAAGACCCTATCAACTCACACTGCAAGTGGGTATTGTGTTTCCCCTCCCACATTTCCATATCTAAAACAAACACCTTCTCGCATGTGCAAAAGGGCTGCTTTCCCCCTGATTTGTTTGTTTCCTTCATGCAGGGAGGTGTATTCTAGCAGGCAACCCACAACTTGAAGTTGGAAGCGATACACTCCCAGCAAAGCTATGCCACGTGATATTTCTGGCCATAGAGTAAACTGGCTGTCATGTGCAAGGGCTGGCTTGACATTGCTCATGGCAGAAAACATGACACCGATACTAGAAACTAGCAGCAGTACAGTCTACAGCAAAGCTTTCCAATATGTGTTGCAACACGTTAGTGTGTCGGCTTCAGTGTGTGCTGGCTTCAGTGTGCACAAACGCTCCCTGTGCTCTTCCCAGGGCTGGAAAGGGATTAGTTTAACCTCTGGTTTGCTAGTAAAACTGAATTACTGTGTCATGAAATGCCTAAAAAAGTGTGAAGAGTTTGGAAAGCCCTGGTCTACAGCAATGCAGCAAGCTAGGGAAGTCAAACGGCAGTACGAGTTATTCTTGTAAGCTGATATATATAATTGATCCTACTTGTCTAATTTTCTCTCTATTTAGGTCATGAATCTCCTGATCCAAAGACCTGCCTCTAAATTAAGTCCTATTCAGACTAGCAGCTGTATCTGTAACCTTTTGTTCTTACAGTTTGATTCTAAAAGACCATTTGGGGAAATGAGCTCCTGTTTCAGCTATATGAAGTGGTTCAGTGTCTCAACCATGATCGCTGCTGTCTCAAGCATCTATACGATAGGCTGCACTATAGGCCTGGTCTCTGTGGTATGTCACTTTGCATGTCTGCATCCTCAAAGGACCCTGTTTTACTACCAAAAAAAAAAAAGATTTTGAATGGAAGCCTTTGTGGAGAGGTGTTTTCTGGAATGTAACCTGTATCCCAGCTTCAGCATCAAGATTTTCCATGGGCTCTTCGCTGTTGAACTGGTTGGCCTTGCGGCAGCTGCTAATAAGTAGAACTCTGAAGCTAAGCTACTATCTCCAGGTGACATCACTAAAACTACAAACTAATGTATCCCTTTATACCAGGGGAGTTCCCCAGTAGGTAGATCCCCCTACCTTGCCTGTTGGTGGCCTCGTATTGTGGCTTACTGAGAGGCATGGAACCAACATGCAATGCAAATACTAGATGCCTGAATTCCCAACGCCAGTTGTATATCCACACCCACCTTGTGGTAGCAATTTCCAAACCTGAAAGGAAAACTTATTTTGTCTGCATATCTCCTTTGCAACACCAGAGGTATGACACTAATTGGGTTGGGGGATTCAATTTAAATTGGCCTTAAGCAACATCTGAAGCTCGTGATACAGGAACCACGCTAAGGTTAAGTAGCTCTGAGTCTGGTCAGTACCTGGATGGGAAAAACCATTTCGGGATCCCATTTTTATTGCATTTAGCTCCCTGGAGGAAAGGCAGGACAGAAATGTAATAAATAAATGCTGCAGTTTGTTTTTATTTTATTTAAAACACCACTGCTATTCGTTTTTCGGTAAAGAGGTTTCCAACGCATTTCTATAAACAGTTTTGTTTTATAAAAGTCAACACTGAACAATATTGTTCCCTGGGCAATATGTCAACTCCAAAACTGCAAAATGATGTCATAACAAAGCTTTTATTACAAGTAAACAGTGCATTGCTGGAAATTATCCTTTATTACGTTGTAAGCCATCTCACACTTAAGATAAACTATTGTTTCTTTTCACTGTTCATCAAAGAGGCACTTATACTGGGGTCTTAGTTATCTGTTGATTAAAATATTGCTTAAAGGCTGGATGATGATTGATTAAGAAGGGGGTGACAGAAGATCTACAGGTACGTGGTCCATGACTTACTCATACTAAGGGTCGCACTATTCCTACTTTGTGTAGCAAACCAGCCACTGCTCATCTTCCTTTTAATCTTCCAAGTTGATGGCACTTCCCAATGTGACACGCAAAGCAGCGAGGGGCAGTTGAAAGGGAACAACAGAAGGAAGCAGGAGAGATGCTGTCTTCCTGTTGCATTTATTCTGCAGCCCTAACTAATTTATATTCCATCTGGCCCCAGATGAGGTTTCCCAGTCAAGGGGGTGAGGGAAAGGATAAGCACCTCTGTTCCCAACTACAGTTACTTCTTTGTATATGGCTCCCTACTTTGAGTGCCACAGTCTCTCCAATGCATGACGTTTCTCTCTTTCACAAATAACCAGTGCAATGGAGGGTAGGTGAGCTCTAACTCTTTTTGCCCCTCTCGCACCGTGGTCCCAATCCAGATCACTGCCTCCTATGTGCATGGGGGTGCCAGGGGAACATCCATTAGCTTCGAGTGCAAAAAGCAGGAGAGGGGGAGTCCCATCCAGACTGAGAGCATAGCGAGGGTTAAATTGCATATACCTCCCCACAATGCCACAGTCTTGATCGGGATCAGGGAGTGGCATGCTGGCTATTGAAAGAAAAATAGCCATGGGTGGGATTTTGGCCATCAAGAGGCAAATACCTGATCAGGAATCCTATGTTTAGAACTAAGTGGCTAGTTAATGCTTTTAGCCTAAAAAGTTTAAACGGAAGAGGTACAGCAAATTGTTTGTTCGCGAAGTGCATGTTATTTTTGGTGTTCGTACAGGTGGCAGAAACTGAAGGAATAAAGGAGTAGAAATTCCTGAAATAAAACTGAACAGAAAGGTGTGAATGGCTATTTTGGAACTTCTAAATGCTACACATCATTAGAGCTACGGATTTTCAAAGTTATACGTAAATATATTTGGATGGTTGCAACCTTTATTAAGGTATCTTAAACTTGCTAATTTTCTACTACAATTTGGGGTTATTTAAAAATGCATTAGACTTTCACTGTAGCATTCGGAAGGCTTTTCCTTACCATGAAAAACCTAGCCGACCCTTAGTGTGACCATATTCATATTCATTTAACCATTTCATTTCTTGAGCTGTGTCACCTATAAACGGCAGCTTAGTAGGCTGCTTTTCACATGGCTGTTCATTTTCTCTAAAAACTGGTCTGTTTATACCTGAGTCACCTTCATTGAGTGCTTTCAAAAGAGGGTAAAGATTCCGAGTTGTCTTGGATTGCTCATCAATGATTTTCTTTGCATACTTCTGGAATTCCTGCTCCTTGAATAATAAAATGCGTTCTTTTTGTCTGACATAGTCCGTTTCCGCTTGTTTCTCACGATCTTCTTTTAACTTTTTTTCGACCTGCATTGGAAGGGAGGAAGGAAATATTAAATATATCCAACAATAATTTTATAATATATTAAAACTGAAACTATAAAGTTACAGATGTCCTGATTCCCTCAATAATAATAATAATAATAATAATTAGCGCGCGACTGAAGCACTAGCTAGGATAAATGATATCGTGTGGGTGCAATCCTTGTTCTATAAAGTTAATACCCGTTGTGAGTGGGACACAAGTCCAGCATTAACTACCGAATGTAAACTTCAGCATTCTGAGAATCCCAGTTTAATCAAGTGAAACTAAGCTTTAAGTATCTGTAATGGCATTAGTCTATTTTCTTCCCTCCCTGCGCTCATGCGGTCTCTTTCATTCATTGCCACTGTTGTTTGCCGCTTGGGAGCAGGGAACCTGTCAATTTTTGCCTATTTAAATATTTAAAATACCACCTACACTTCCAAAACATGGAAGATCCCCCCCATCTGATTTTGGAAAATCCCCCCCTTCCTCTGGCAACGCCCCGGAAACCTACACTGTGCAGGACCCCCTATAACCCTCTGGAGAGGACTGGTGTGCAGAGGAGGGAGAGACAGAAAGAGACAGAGATGAAAAAAGAAAGAAAGAAAGAAAGAAAGAAAGAATACTTCTGTGAGTTTTCTGCTCATGATATTCAGAATCCAAGTCTCTGTCTACTACACTACAGTGATGATGTTCCCGGTTTTCTTTGATCTCTGACAGGATGCAAGGTTCCTTTCTCTAAGGCATTTGTCATCTGGAGACAGAGGAAGCCTGTGTCTGGGACTTCATCCATTTGCAGGTGCAGAGGGCAGTTTTCTCACTCAAGACTGCCCTCTCAAGCACTAGACAGAAAATGTACAAGTCATATTCCATTTTCGCCCTTTTTAAAGAAGTTTACTTTGTAAACTTAATGCCCATACTTACTATCTGCATGACATGGAAGTCTTGTAATTTTAAGTTTGCACAATGATTTCTATGTTTCTTGTCTTTCTCCAGTTCTTGGAAAATCCGATCTGCTTCTATTTGTCCACGAAGTATTTCTTGAGCCTCTAGTCTGTCCTGTTTTTCTTTCTCTTCTTTCCTTTTAATCTATAACAACACAATCCAGTTCTTATCCTGTGGTAGTGAAGCCTAAGATCTGATGACTCTCTAACCTGCTACTAACATTAAGAGTTACATATATGCAATTTTGATATTCTGGGCAACCAATTTTTAAATACTTTTATGTGTGAGCCAATCCCACTATTTTAATGGAATTTGCTTTCATGAAAGCTGCTCAGGAACACAGTGCCTGTGTAAAAGAAATCTATTTTTTGAGATGAAAGGTTGCATCCAACACTGTCCACTTGCAAACTGAACTTCTGCTCTCTCAATGCAACTTCACCTTTCTCTCCCTCCCTTGTGGTCTCCCACATACCCTCAAAATCTGCTCTACATAGCTGGGGGATCCTCTGAAACCTATTATGGGGGTGCATGGGGGAAGAGGTAAAAGTGAAATCCAGTTGTGCAAGCAGACTGCTGACCCAATGCTGGATTCCATCCCAACTGATAAATAAGAAATGGTGAAACAGAAAAGCATGCTTAATTTTATTTTTCTTACCACATTCATTCTGTGCTCTGTGATGGATTTCAGTTCAGCATTGTTCTTTTCTTCTTTTTCTTTGCGTTCTCTCTCCAGCTGCGCGTCCGTCTCTGCAATGTCCCTAGCAATACGCTCATCTTCATCATCAGCCTCCTTTTTCATATGAGCCAGGAGGCGGCTAGTAATGTTGTCTCTGTGCTCCTCCATTAACCTGCAATGGTTCAGCCATAAGTGCCAAGATTCATCAACTGCGTGCTGTGAGGGGAGGCCTGGGGCATGCCTTGATTAAGCTACCAAATTGGATAAAACCACACTCCTCTATGCTATTCAGAGGAAGGACTGATGCTCCGTATCTCTACCCATACGTGACATCTGGTGCCAGACAGGTGGCGAGCTGGTTGCCAAGGAGCAATCAGGAGCCTTAAAACGCTCCCAGTTGTTCCTCGGTGAGGGAGGCTTGCTGTCAGTGATCTTCAGCTGATTGGTCATGACAGCAAACCTAACGCTCGTAAACTGCCCTGTGATCCTCAGGGGAAGGGCAGAATGGAAAGTTAACACAAGCAACAGCTGATTTACACGTGTCCAATTGGCGCACGACTGTGCACACGCACATCGCAGCGACCCGGATGTGGCCGGAAAAGAAGGAGGGCTTATGTGCACTCTGCCATTGTGTGTGATGACCCAGAATGCAAATCAGGAGTTGCCTGTAAATAAAGCTGCACTACAGTGTTCCCGACCTGTTGGTGCCTACCCAAAGTCAGCTTGCGGTCAGCATCAATCAGCTGACTAGTGCCCACTGGGGTCAGATGTACTATGGAGTTGCTGCTTGCCTGAAGTGGGCTTCGCAAGCTAGATGGAATCTGCACTTGCAGTAAGCCCCAAACATAGTTTGCTGTAAGTGCAAGTATCTCTTTGACGGGCCGGCTTGAATTGAAGCTGGTGGCAGAAGAATATTTCTCTGCGGTTGCAGTTCAAGCGGCACCTGCAAAGGAATTCTAGTTTGCTTGGAGTCACTTGTGATGTCAGGTGATTGACACTTGTCAGAATGGCCCACAGTACATCACCGAGGTAACTATCTGGTCCACTGGCTGCATCCTATTCCTCATCCGTGCCTCTGTATGATATTCATCTCTTATACTGGTTCCTAGGCAGGTCTATGGGCACATTTGTTTGTTTGATTGATTTGTATCCTGCCCTTCCATCCAGGGCAGCAGACACAACAGTCTAAAAAACAGTTTTAAAACATTGTCTCAGATCAGTGATCTTAAGGTTGGGAGATTGCTTGGCAACTCTATATATGCTGCCTTGGGTTCCGCGATGGAAGAAAGGCAGGATGCAAATGTTATCAGTCAAATAAAATAAAATAAAAGAGTTCACAGCAGAGTAAAACTGAATCAAGAGTCCTTGGTCCCACAGAGCAGGATTCAACAAACAAGTCCTACTAGCAGAGGCCAACTAAGAATCTTCATTAGTGCAACAGGACTCCTCCCCCCCGCCCCCCTGAAATTGGCTCTGTTGGGACCAAGAAGAACCCCCAGAAGAATATGATGGGGAGGCGGGGGGGATTGTTGTCAGGCAAGCGGAAATGCTGGCGTGGATGCAAGAACAGCCGCACTGTTACTTTCCTTTCATAATATCTCAGTGTGTGAGATGGGGTCTCTACCGTAATGCTAGAAAACTGCGCCTTGTTTTATCTGGGTAATGTGTTTCCATTTCCCGCTCACATTCTGCCTACCTGTGCATTTCATCTTCTTTTGCTTTTCTCAGCTTAGCCATAGCCTGCTTTGCTCTATAATGTGCTCGGACTTTATCATCCTCTTCCTCTTCTTTTTGCTTCTCGATAGCCTTGAGAGTCACCTGGTCAGCAACATGTGCCTTTAAAAAAACAAAACACAAAAAAACTCAGAATGCGTATTTTGTTTACCAAAATAAGTGTCAAGCAGAGCACACTATAGAGTCAACTGGCTGGAGGAAAATTGGAGGAAGCCCTGCTGCCTCCTGCTGGTCAGGGTAGAAGGTGGATTTTTGTTTTTTGCTGATCCTTCACCGGCCCTGCTTCACACAAGACCCCAAACACCCTGTATCAAGGGCTTGGCCAGCTACCATCAGTGGGAGCACCACCAGCAGTAGCTCTCCAATGACCTGTGCCTTCACTGGGCAAACTGGGGCTGGAATGACACTTCTGCCCAATCCTAACTATTTCCAAGTGCGTGTTCGCAGAGGGAAGAAGAAGAAGAAGAGTTTGGATTTGATATCCCGCTTTATCACTACCCAAAGGAGTCTCAAAGTGGCTAACAATCTCCTTTCCTTTCCTCCCCCACAACAAACACTCTGTGAGGTGAGTGGGGCTGAGAGACTTCAGAGAAGTGTGACTAGCCCAAGGTCACCCAGCAGCTGCAGGTGGAGGAGCAGGGAATCGAACCCAGTTCACCAGATTACGAGTCTACCGCTCTTAACCACTACACCAGAGGGGTGGCGCAGAATCTTTACATAAGGCTTCACTGCGTTTGCACCAGTTAGACCCGAGCTATGGAAGATGACAGAAAAGATCATGAAGAACGTTATGTATTTATGCAAAGTACAGAGTTGGGGGAAGGAGATTTATAGGGATTTGTTCCTGTTTTCGACATCAAAGGAGCAAGAAGCGGTGGTCATTTCTGTCAAGTATGGAGACTATTGGCATTGTTTCATATGCAGGTTCCACAAAGATATCAACAGGTGATGAAACACGAATGGGAAATGCCCTTTAGACTTTGCCCAGAAGGCAACTTTGTCAACAGCTGGTTTGACACTATAGCAGAGTTAGACTGTACCACCTTCACTAAAACAGTCGTATTTTGGTTTTTGAACAGTTTAGTTCTTGAACATTTTGGCTCCCGAATGCCGCAAACCCAGAAGTGAGTGTTCCGGTTTGCGAACTATTTTTGGAAGCTGAACATCCAACGGGGCTTCTGCAGCTTTCGAATGGCTGCAGGAGCAGCCAATCGGAAGCCGTGCTTTGGTTTCTGAACGTTTTGAAAGTTGAACGGACTTCCAGAATGGATCCCGTTCGACTTCCAAGGTATGACTGTATTGCCAATATCCAATCTGCCATTGGGAATAGTAGAGAGCACCATCATCTGTGTGAGCCTCACAGCTGCTGAATTAGCACATCCCTAAGAATCACCCTAAGAATCAAGAATGAGGGACGCAGGTGGCGCTGTGGGTAAAACCTCAGCGCCTAGGACTTGCCGATTACATGGTCGGCGGTTCGAATCCCCGCGGCGGGGTGAGCTCCCGTCGTTCGGTCCCAGCTCCTGCCCACCTAGCAGTTCGAAAGCACCCTTAAGTGCAAGTAGATAAATAGGTATCGCTTTATAGCGGGAAGGTAAACGGCGTTTCCGTGTGCTGCTCTGGTGCCGGTTCGCCAGAGCAGCTTCGTCACGCTGGCCACGTGACCCGGAAGTGTCTGCGGACAGCGCTGGCTCCCGGCCTCTAGAGTGAGATGAGCGCACAACCCTTGAGTCTGTCAAGACTGGCCCGTACGGGCAGGGGTACCTTTACCTTTACCTTTAAGAATCACCTATCCAAACAAAATTGTGCATGGAGGCAGCCTCTCTCTCCTGACCTTTGAACTAGAGGCTCCCCTACAAAGTAATATCTGAAAAGCAATGACACAAGCTCTTGGCCTAAGCAGCAGAAACCAACTTTCCCTCCGTTTGTCATAAGCAGGCCTGTGAGTAATTTGACTGGTAATTTGTCCAAGTTAAGCACCTAGTCAAAGTCCAGTGGAAACTGAAATGCATTTTTTCAGATCCTAAGTTCCATACATTTGGCTACTAACTCCCATCTCATACCTGATGCTCCTTTCTACGCCTGATTTTGTCTTCACGCTCCTCCTGCTCTTTCTGCAGCACTTCCTGTTGATTTAGCAGGACCTGCTCCTGAATCTCTGCCCTTTCCCTTTTGTCTTCCAGCCTGCTCAGTTCTGCTAGACGTTCGTGCTCTTTTATCCTAAAACATAGAAAAGATTGGTCAATGAGCCATGTCTAAAGTTCCTCTACAATTGGCAGAAGTTCTGGATGCTCAAGAAGACTGGTACAGGTAGATTGCGGTTATTCGCAGGACTTCTTTTTTCTCTCTCTCGAAAGGTGTACCCCCACTTTTCAACCAAATTATCTCCAATACGATTTTTAAAACATTAAAACAGTTTGGAAAATTAAAAATCCTACCGGTGCCCTTGCTCCTCTGGCTGATAAGCAGAGACTAGGGTAGCCTTCCTCTCAATTATTATTTACTGAATTTATATACCGCCCTATACCCGGGGGTCTCAGGGTGGTTCACAGAATAAAAGCAAGATATAAAACCACAAAACACCTAATAAAAATAAAAACAACAACCCAATAGCCCCCCTTCCCACAACAACAACAACAACGTTTTAAAAGGGCATAGGATGCAAATTGGATCAAGCAAAGGCCCGGTTAAAAAGGAACGTTTTTGCCTGATGCCTAAAGGTATGAAGGCGCCAGGTGAACTTCCCTGGGGAGAGCATTCCACAGACAGGGAGCCACTGCAGAGAAGGCCCGTTCTTGTGTTGCCCCCCTCCAGACCTCTCGAGGAGGCACACGAAGGAGGGCCTCAGAAGATGATCTCAGGGTCCGGTAGGTTCTTATGGAAAGAGGCGGTCCTTGAGGTATTGCAGTCCTTAGCCGTTTAATTCTGAACTCTCAGATCAACTGGCAGTTGGAGCTGAGTGTTCTTTCATTTAAGGGGGGGGGGGAGGAACCAGTCAGAAGGCCTTCTTGGTAGTGGCACCCGCCCTGTGGAACGCCCTCCCACCAGATGTCAAGGAAATAAACAACTATCTGACTTTTAGAAGACATCTGAAGGCAGCCCCGTTTAGGGAGGTTTTTAATATTTGATGTTTTATTATGTTTTTAATCTATTGGGAGTCACCCAGAGTGGCTGAGGAAACCCAGCCGGATGGGCGGGGTATAATTAATAAATCATCATCATCATCACTGTCTGGCCAATGGTTGAGGCCAGACTGGCCTTCAACTCGCCACTTGTATTCTTCCTAAAAGAGAAAAGATGCAGCATCCCTGCAAAGGTCCTTATTCTGTTGACTAGCAACAGAGGCCTTCCCCTCACTTCTGGAGTCCCAGGGCGAATGGTACTTGGAGTACAACTTCCTTCCAGCAGCGAGAGGGAGTAAGGAGTTACAGCTGCTAATTCAGAACATGATCCAATATGGTATGTTTTGCTTTCCTGCCCCATCCCCCAGCAAATGTTAAAACAGATCAGTTTCTATGTTGTTGCTTTATGGGGCAATGTGCTTATGCCACAAATGACACATTTATTTTATTCTGTGGGCTTAAAAAAGAGCTCTGCTAATTATATTTACTGTTCCAGTTGATCCTTGCTGAGTTGCACTCTCTTCCTACGGTTCTCTCTAATCTTTTCCTCCTCTTTTCGTACAGCTTTTTGACGTTCACGTTCTACTTCTTCATCTCTGCAGCGGTACAGGTTTTCTTTTACCTTTTTAAATTCAATCTGAGCATCTCTTTCTTTTAAGCATTCGGTAAGTAAGAGGGCTCTCTGCAAAATAAAATTGCAACATTTGATAGGGATTCTTTTTATTGTTTTATTTAAACAACAACAAACAATATTTTAAAGCAATAAACGATGCACCAGTGATGTAAGTATTATACAATTATGTTTCCCCTTAACAACAGTAGCTGATAATTTCTAATGTGTTAAGAGAGAGAACGCAGAAAGTTAAGTTACATTACACTTAATAACGTGTGGGTTTATATTGTCTTGTGCTTTGTTATTCCAATATATTATAAACAAATTCAATTACTTTATAAAATGATCATGAGGTTGTCTTCCTTTTCTAACTCTGACCATGTTTGTCGATCGTATCATATTTACAACCTCCCATATTTTGATTACCCAGTTCTCTGCTGATAAGCATTTTTTCTTCTTTCCACTTAGGAAGCAACAGTCAATAACTTTATGACCATTGTCTGTTAAAACATGATATTTCACATACCCAAACAATATTGGGTATGTGGGTTCATTAGAAATGTATACCCTGTTATAACATCAGTTTCTTTTACATACTTCAATCCAAAGAATCTTCGTTTTGGGACAAGTCCAAAAAATATGATAAATATCTGCATTTGTTGCTTTACATAGCCAGCATATATTGCTTGTTGTCCCAGATATATGGTTCAATCTTAATAGTGTAAAGTACTATTGAGATATAGGGACGTGGGTGGCGCTGTGGTCTAAACCACAGAGCCTAGGACTTGCCGATCAGAAGGTCGGCGGTTTGAATCCCTGCGACGGGGTGAGCTCTCATTGCTTGGTCCCTGCTCCTGCCAACCTAGCAGTTTGAAAGCACGTCAAAGTGCAAGTAGATAAATAGGTACCGCTCCGGCGGGAAAGTAAATGGCGTTTCCATGCACTGCTCTGGTTCGCCAGAAGTGGCTTAGTCATGCTGGCCACATGACCCGGAAGCTGTACGCTGGCTCCCTTGACCAGTAAAGCAAAATGAGCGCCGCAACCCCAGAGTCATCCATGACTGGACCTAATGGTCAGGGGTCCCTTTACCTTTTTACTATTGAGATATAAGTTTAAATGTTATATAATTAGAGAAGTTTGTCAACTCACAAGGTTGGGGGGGACCCATGAGCCTAAGTCACTTGGTTCATGCCACAAAGGTATAGGGATTGGAGCCGACAGGGGAAAGCAGGTTGCTCTGATCTCTGGGTAGAGACAGAGAGCTGGGTGCTGGCTCTGCTTGCTTCATCAAACAAGTTGACGGAGGAAAGCAAGGTTCTTTCAACTGGGGAAGGTCAAGTAAACAGGATGCTATCTCAGAGTCCCTGTACCAGTGTTTCTTTAATAGCCTCGGAATCTGCTCCTGTCTGGGGCCTATACACATTAAGATAAGGTGGGGTGTGGCAGCCATTCCTGGACAGTTTGGGATGTGACTAGCCTGCTTTGCAAAGAAAGGCATAAGCTGGTTCTCATGGCCTCACACAGAGCTATTACCTTCTTCCAATATTAATAATCTGTGTCAATGAAACCAGTTTTTCAAATTTGTTAACCTGATAGCAGTTTTTTACAGATGGGAATGCTAGTCCCCCCCATTGCTTATTGTATTAGACAATGTTTTCCCAGATACTCTCGGCTTCTTCTGACCCCAAGCAAAGCTTATTAACAGCCATTTTGATTGTGCCTATTTCCCTCATTTAATACAACTTCTATGTTGAACATATCCCCCACATTAAAGTGAAATAATAATAATAAATGTTACATGGAAGTCTTTCACTCTCTCATTCTGGTAGTACTGATAGAGTTTGGATTCTGCCACCGCCTCTTTTCGCTTCTGTGCTTCATACTTTGCTTCTTCTAGGTCAACCTTTCTTTTTTCTTCCTCATCCCTCTCCTGACGCTCTTTCTTGGCTTTCAGTTTCGCTTGTGCCATACCCTGCAATGCAATATTTTATTCATTCATTCATTCATTCTTGTTGCAATCTGTCTGTCTCAAGAAAAAATGGAGTACACCTCTGGGGATAAAGTCAAACCGATGTGTTAGCAGCACCAAAGTGACCTCATCGGGGCACAAGCCTGGGCAGTGTGTATAGAGGTCCTGTGCTGCCCAGACAAGATCCACCCCATCCCCCTTTCAGTCTAGCTGATTTGGTCGAAAGAAAAGCAGAGTGATATGTTTGGCACCAGCTTGGCTGCAGGAGTTGCCAAAAAGAATCATACAAGGCGCCAACCATCTTAGGGACTGCAGGGTTTACTTCTTATCCTTTTCTTCTCCTGAAGATATCCCACAAGGCAGTAGAGGTTTGGGATCAGTTTTTTCCTTCTCCTAGATGGGCTACCTTCCCAGGTTAACAAGCCCCATCTGTCCTCACGTCCCTCTATAGCACATATAGAAACTGCCTTCTTGACCACTGGACCCACTATTAGTCTCATCCATTCAATCCGCCAGAGCCTGTCTTTGCAAACTAGGGTTTGAGACCCATCGGCTACCCACACCTGGTTTATCCAGCCAGCTGAAGCCGCTTCCAAGGAGTGGCTGCTGTCACAGGTGAGAGCTGAGGGCAGGGTGGGGACCAAAGGTGGATAAACTACCCCAGAAGGAGTATGACGCATACCCCACCAGAGGTACTACCCCTCCCCATAACCCTATGAACCCAACTTCCTTGCATGATGCATTGTAATAAAGTACTTAACTAAGACATTTGGTCTAGAGTAGTAAACAGGCATTTGTTCATTTATAAACTACTAACTACAAACTTTTTTTTTTCATATAACCCACTGCTCTGGCACACGCATGCTGCACATTATGACACCATGCAAGGCACCCAATGTTGCAGATACAATGTCAGTGTTGAGGATCAGAATGTTGTTGTTTAAACTAGCATCAATAACACTAATACTCAGCAGAATGAGAAGCAGAGAGCAAGGATCTGCCATCACCAGCCACTGCTGTTTTCGCCGGCTGGGCAGACTCCTCCCCTCACCTTCACAGAGGCTTGTCCTGTGAGAAGGACCATCTGATCTGAGGATGACGGTACTGGGTGTCTATGAGCCATGAACCTACCTGCTAGGATGCCACAAAGTGTTGGCAGATTTCATTTAGGCCCCAGGAGATGAAGGCCCCACCCAGTAAGGTCAACAACTTCTGGCTGCATTGCAGTCACTTCCAGGTAGGTTGGGTTGCCAGGCTATTTCTCAAGAGCCACCAACAAACAAACAAACAATGATCAGCCTGTTTCCATCCAATCTGTTGATTTATAAAACCTTGTACCTTTAAGATCATGGTGCCTGTATTTTCTTTGATCCCTGCCATATTCCCTTTTCCTATTTTGTCATTTAGTTTTTTAGTCTGTAAACCTGAGGGCAGGGGCTGTGTTATTTTTCTCAATTTGTAAGCTCCTCTGGGAGCTTTCCTGGTTGAGGAGTGGGGCCTATACATGTAAATAGTGCTCAACACTCTGCATAGTAAATCAGTGTTATTTTTTATCTATTGCAATATGAGTTGACCTGAAAAATTCATGGTTGAGGCAAGTTCTGAACCCAGGACTTCCCAGCTCACACTATAAAATTATCATTATCATCATTATTATTTATTAAATCATCTGAAGATCACAGGGAGGTTTACAACATAAAAATACAAAATGAGAACACAAGATACCTAAATAAAAAACAAAATCAAACCAACAACCCCCCCCCCCACACACACAACTAACATATTTAAAAGGCCACAGAATATTTAATCAGTCAAAGGCCTGGTTATAAAGAAACATTTTTGGCTGGCACCTAAAGATAAATAATGAAGGTGCAAGGCAAGCCACCCTGGGGAGAGCATTCCACCAAAAGGGAACCACTGCAGAAAAGGAACATTCTTGTGTTGCCACTCTGCAGACCTCTCATGGAGAAGGCATATGAAGAAGGGCACCAGAAGATGATCTCAGGGTCCAGGTAGGTTCATATGGAGAGAGGTGCCCCTTGAGGCATTGTGGTCCTAAACCATTTAAGGCTTTACAGCAATTTGAATAGGGCCAGGAAACTGATTGGCAGCCAGTACAGTCGGGCCAGGATTGTTGTTATATGCTCAAGCCATCTTCCCCCGGTGAGCAACCTGGCTGCTGAATTCTGCACCAGCTGAAATTTCTGAACCGTCTTCAGAGGCAGCCCCATGTATATCATGTTGCAGTAATCTATTGCTGATAAACACATATATTCTGATTTTACTGAAACGCTTTTGACTAACCAACCCAGTAGTAAAAAAAAGGATAGAAATACAACCAGGACTGTCATAAACATTCCACAGGCATTGAAATGTATGTGTGTCACTTACCGCAATAGTGTTATGCCAGTTTTTCACAAGTGCTTGAGACTTTAAGTGCAGATCTTTCCGCTCCTTCCTTTCAGCACGAATCCGGGCTGCTTCTCTTGCTGGGGCGGTGAGGCTATCGTGAATCCTCTCCCATTCTTTTTTGGGGAGTATAGTTATTTGGCGGAGATCTACTCCCACCGGAAGAAATATTCCCTCCACAACATCATCTTTGTTTGCTAGATATGAAAAAAGGTTTTCTGTCAAATGCCACTTACTTTTAGAAGACATCTGAAGGCAACCCTGTTTAGGGAAGCTTTTAATGTTTAATGCATTACGGTATTTTAATATTTTGTTGGAAGCCGCCCAGAGTGGCTAGGGAAGCCCAGCCAGATGGGCGGGGTATTAATAATAATAATAAATTATTATTATTATTATTATTATTATTATTATTATTATTATTATTAAATTATTATTATTATTATTATTAAATTATAATTATTATTATTATTATTATTATTATTATTATTATTATTATTATTATGATTCTTTCACCTTCTGGGCAAAATGATCATGCTTTCATACCAGGTTGAGAGAGCAACCCTGGGCATGCTGTATGATGGAGACATCTTCACACTGCAACCCTAAAAACATGTTCATTCTCTGGTTTCAGCGCAAATGCTCCCATGTAAACGTTCATAGGATTAAAGCCTTATAGGTCTGCTGAGATGCAAACACTTCAGAGTTCAGGGGGACTTATTCCCAGATAAATGACAATGGACAGGATTTGTCAAAATATTGGGGCCATTGGGTACATTTTGTATTTTGGGAGGGCGTGGTGGGCACCACCCTCTCTGGTAGCTTTTATTTGCCCTTCTCCAGCTCAATCATTCCTGCTACTTTTCCACCAGGGGGTTCAAAGATAGCTACCCTCTCCTCCTCATGATGGGGTTTGTGGGTGCTCAGAGGCTTCACAGCTATCAAGGAAGTAAGTCCCCAATGGTGTCACTATGCCTACAGGCGTCACACCAGTGACCCCAGCAATATAAGATTTCAGCCTTAGTCAACTTATGGATTCCTCATAGTGGAATAATAACCACAACATTGAGGACATTTCCCAAGGGCCATTGGCTATGTGAAGGAAGTTATGACCTGAAAACAGAAGTGGCAAAAGGACCCTATCTAGGATTCTGTTATGAGACGCTAGGAGACTGTTAGGGAAATAAGCTATTTAAGATTTCCCCAGACATCCCACCTTAAACCTATCACAGTTAAGGCCGCATAAATGAAAATGCTGATAGCGGGGAAGCGGGGAAAAAATGAAATGCTTAGAATATAAGCCACAGTTCCTCTGAGGATAGGGAAGGCCCCACCAGGGTTAGTGGCAGCACCCAAATGATACTTAAGTGTCATTTTCCTGCTAACTACAGCTTTTAAATTCAAACAGCAAAGCTGAAATCTCCAGCTTCAGGGGCAGCCCCATTCATTCATTCGCTTTGCATCCCGCCTCTTCACCCAAAGATCTTGGGGCAGTTCACAGCATAAAATCATAGCTGTCAACCTTCCCTTTTTTTGCGGGAAATTCCCTTATTTCAGCGCTGTTTCCTGCTGCTTCCTGCTGCTATCCCAGATTGTTAGATATCCCGTAGACTGTCCCCAGGACAGGCGAGGCTGCTGATCCCTTATTTTCGAGGCTGCTGATCCCTTATTTTCAAATCTGAAAGTTGACAGCTATGGTCTTTAGCATATGCGCCGCCAGGGTGCAACGATCCGCCCAGTGCCCCCAAATTTAATTTTGCGTGCACAGCACCGTTGAGAAATGACAAGTACCATCGCTGAGTCTGACAAGCGCCACCATTGTGAATGACAAGCGCCGCCGCTGGCGTGGCGAGTCTTTGGTAAATGAGCTCACAAAGTCGAAAGTCCTTTAGTGAAACAGTAGGTATACATTTCGGTAATACCTAGGTATATATGTATTTTGTTTTTCTAGCTTGATCAAAGTTATTTAATATTTCATAATTATTTCATAATAATAAATAAATAACAGGTGAGGCTGCTGATCCCTTATTTTCAAATCTGAAAATTGACAGCTATGCTGCTGGTCCCTTATTTTCAAATCTGAAAGTTGACAGCTATGATAAAAATACAAGACAAAAACACAAAATACATAATAATAATAATTCTTCAATTAAAATTTGTTTTCAACACTGCACTGCCCATGTATGCCGTGTCGCAGCCACCTCTTGCTGACAAAACCCATCGATTCTGATTTCACCGAATCTCTCTTGACTGACCAACAACCCAGCAGGAAGAGAGAGGACAGAAAGACGGCGGAGAAAACTCGCTCCCCAACCGCCCCGCATTTTGCCAGGGCGAAGGCGCCGAGCCTCATGAGGAGGCTCAAACTGGCAGCGGGACCCTGGACCAGGCGCATCAACGGGGACCACCGCCGCCCTCCTCCTCGGGCCCTCAAGCAGCGCCTCCTTCCCCTCACACGCACGCGTGGCTGGGCGCTCCTGCCCTCGGCGCTTCTTGACCAGCACGGCCTGGCGGGCGGCGGCGGCGGCGGCGGCCTTCATGGCGTGAGGCGACCCGCCGCCGACGCGACTCGGGGCCTTAGCGCGCGTGCGGCGGTTGCCAGGCAACGGCGGGACGGCAGCGGCGTCGGCCGGGAGGGAAGTGACGCGACGTTCCGAGGCGGCGGCGCCAGAGTTGTCCGCGCGCCGCTCACGTGACCCGGCTTCGAAGGAGACGTTGCAGGTCAGTGCGGCCGGGCGAGTCCAGCCGCTGCTGCTGCTGAAGCAGCGGCGGCCGCGGTTGTTGTTGTTTGCTGTTGCGGCTCTTTACCCCCCCCTCCTCGTGCGCGTGCGCGGCGCCCCCCTCCCGCCGCTCAGCCGGTCCCTCTGCCTCGTCCTCCGCGCTTCCGCCGGGCTCCGGCCCGCAGGCGGCCCGAAGCCGGAGGGAGACGACCCGGGTTGGGTGGATGTGGGGTGGCGGGGTGGGGAGGGGAAGGGAAGGGAAGAAGGGACGGGGACAGGGTCTCCCCCGCAGGCTTTCCCCCTTTTTTTGCCGTGTGTGGGACTCCGATGATGTGGGACTCTTGTGTCCCGGGCAGCTGTTTACCAGCTCCATCTGGTACACAGGCGGAAACCCTACCTGCCTGCGGACTGTCTCGCCAGAGTGGTGCATGCTCTGGTTATCTCCCGCTTGGACTACTGCAATGCGCTCTACGTGGGGCTACCTTTGAAGGTGACCCGGAAAATACAACTAATCCAGAATGCGGCAGCTAGACTGGTGACTGGGAGCAGCCGCCGAGACCATATAACACCGGTCTTGAAAGACCTACACTGGCTCCCAGTATGTTTCCGAGCACAATTCAAAGTGTTGGTGCTGACCTTTAAAGCCCTAAACGGCCTTGGTCCAGTATGCCTGAAGGAGCGTCTCCATCTCCATCGTTCTGCCTGGACACTGAGGTTCAGTGCCAAGGGCCTTCTGGCTGTTCCCTCGCTGCGAGAAGTGAGGTTACAGGGAACCAGACAGAGGGCCTTCTCAGTAGTGGCACCCACCCTGTGGAACGCCCTCCCACCAGATGTCAAAGAGAAAAATAACTTTTAGAAGACATCTGAAGGCAGCCCTGTTTAGGGAAGCTTTTAATGTTTAATAGGTTATTGTATTTTAGTGTTTTTTTGGAAGCCGCCCAGAGTGGCTGGGGAAACCCAGCCAGATGGGCGGGGTATAAATAATATATTATTATTATTATTATTATTATTATTGTGTGATGAAGGCGCTTGGCGCTGGTCTGCCCAATTATTATAGAGAGCTGGAAGGGACCCCCGAGGGTCATCCAGCCCAACCCCACTGCTCCAGCCAAGCACGCAACGTCTGCTTTAAAAAAACCTCCAAGGAAGGAGAGTCTGTTCCACCGTCAGGACAGCTCCTGCTGTCAGAAAGTTCTTCTTGATGTCTAATGTTTTTCATTTTTATTTACTTACTTACTTATTAAATTTGCATATCACCCTATAACGGCGAAGGGACGCGGGTGACGCTGTGAGTTAAACCACAGAGCCTAGGGCTTGCCGATCAGAAGGTCAGCGGTTCGAATAGCCCCACGATGGGGTGAGCTCCCATTGCTCAGTCCCTGCTCCTGCCAACCTAGCAGTTCGAAAGCATGTCAAAATGCAAGTAGATAAATAGGTACTGCTCCAGCGGGAAGGTAAACGGCGTTTCCATGCGCTGCTCTGGTTCACCAGAAGCGGCTTGGTCATGCTGGCCACATGACCCGGAAGCTGTACGCCGGCTCCCTTGGCCAATAAAGTGAGATGAGCGCCGCAACCCCAGAGTCGTCCACGACTGGACCTAATGGTCAGGGGTCCCTTTACCTTTACCTTATACTGGCAGTTCTCCTTTCTTTGTAATTTGAAGCCATTGGTACTGGAGCAGGAGAAAACCATCTCGTTCCCTCTTCCATGTGACAGCCCTTGAGATAGTTGGAGGTGGCTGTCCCATATCTGCTTATCCAACTTGCACATACCCAGCTCCCTCAACCGTTCCTCACAAGGCTTGGTTTCCAGACCCTCGATCATCTCAGTTGCCCTCCTCTGCACACATTCCAGCTTGTCAACGTCCTTCTTAAATTGTGGTTGCCCAGTACTGGACACAGTATTCCAGGTGTGGTCTGACCAAGGCAGAATAGAGCGGGACTATGACTTCCCTTGATTGGAACAGTATACTTCAGCAGATACAGCCCAGAATAGCATTAGCTTTTCTTGCTGCTGCATCACACTGTTGACTCAGGTTCACCTTGTGGTCTGCTAAGACCCCTAGATCCTTTTCACATGCACAACCGGCAAGCCAGGTGTCCTCCATCTTATATTTGTGCAGTAGATTATTCCTGCCCAAGTGCAGAACCTATTGAAATTCATTTTGTTAGTTTTGGCCCAGTTCTCCAATCTGTTAAGGTCCTCTTGAATCCCAATACTGCCTTCAGCGGCATTGGCTACCACTCCCAGTTTGGTGTCAGCTGCAAACTTTTATGAGCATCCTTTCAATGCCTTCATCCAAGTTGTTTATAAAGATGTTGAACAACAACAGGCCCAGGAGATAACCCTGAAGCACCCCACTTTTTTCCAGGATGATGAGGAACCATTAGTGAGCACTCTTTCGGAACCCGTCAGGCAACCAGCTACAAATCCACCTAACAGTTTCTTCACCTTGCTCATACTTTACCAGCTTCTTTGCAAGAATAACATGAGGGACTTTGTCCACAGCCTTACTGAATTGCGCCTTCCCTTAAAAAATAAGAATCAAAAAGCGTGCAAGGCAATGTATGTTGTAAATATTATGAATACGACTCAGCTGGTGGGGAGCTGAGAAAGCAGTAACTGCCTTCATAGGCTTAAATATACACATGTATGCTCTCACCTGAATTTCCTTGGCTCTTCTTTCCTCTCTTCCTAACTAGATCTGTGGCGGCAGCGATGGAAAGCTCCAGACGGCAGCTTGCTTGGGAACTGCTGGGAGGGAGCTGAATAGTGGAGCAGGTTACCAGACTTTTTCTGTCTCCTGTTGTTTCTTCCTTCCCCTCAGGACAAGGTAAATAGTGTTCTAATGTTGAGCACTGACCCAAACTGTCTGCTGCTTAGGAAGAGCAGGGCTGCCAGCTGAATGAAGAACTGTACTGTACATACCAGAGGCCTGTCAACTGCTTGCCCTCACAGCAAAATGTTTATCCCTAAATGCAAGTGTCATTTGCTGCACAGATTGCAAGGAGTTCAGGGGGCTGAGGATGTTTATATGCCAAAAACATCAAAGATAGACAGTCTGAATGATTTTCGCCCTGTGGCGCTGACGCCCATTATAATGAAATGTTTCGAAAAACTGGTGAGGAAGCGCATCTTATCTTGTCTGCCAGTGGGACTTGACCCTTACCAGTTTGCGTACAAGGCAAAGAGATCCACAGAGGATGCTGTGGCAATGGCTTTACATGCTGTCCTGACTCATTTGGAGAAGCAAGGGAACTATGCGAGATTGTTATTTGTAGACTTTAGTTCTGCATTTAATACTATTCTTCCGCATAGATTGGTGCCCAAATTATTAGACCTGGGACTTCCACCATGTTTGTGCAGGTGGATATTAGACTTTCTATCAAACCGTTCCCAAAGGGTCAGGTTGGGTTCCCACGTCTCTGCAGATCTCATCACGAATACGGGGACACCGCAGGGGTGCGTGTTGAGCCCGCTTTTATACACGCTCTATACAGCTGACTGTGCCCCCAAATACCCCAGTAATAAGATCATTAAGTTCGCAGATGATACAACCGTGGTTGGTTTAATTACGGCTGGAGAGGGGGAGACGGCCTATAGGAAGGAAGTTGAGCAGTTGGGGAGTGGTGCAGGAAAAACAACTTACTGCTTAACTTAAAGAAAACAAAAGAGATCATTGTGGACTTTAGGAAATGTAATTTGAATATTCAGCCACTTATTATTGTGGGAAGTGCGTGGAACAGGTCTCAGTGTTTCGATTTCTGGGAATGGAGTTGAGAGACGACCTAACCTGGGGAGAGAACAGCAAAGACCTGGTGAAGAGAGCACAGCAGAGGTTATATTTTCTGAGAATCCTCCGGAAAAACAATCTCTCAAAGGACCTGTTGATGGCATTCTACCATTGCACTGTGGAGAACGTACTAACTTATGGTCTGTGCATGTGGTTTGGGAGCTGCATGGCCAGGGAAAAAACAATGCTATCCAGGGTTGTAAAGACTGCAGAGAGAATTATTGGGTGCACTCTTCCCACCTTAGATCAAATCTATGCTGCCAGGTGCCATAAGAAAGCGGCAGAGATAGCACGTGATGGTACGCACCCTGGAAATGATCTCTTTCAGCTTCTGCCTTCTGGAAGAAGGTATAGGGTTATAAAGGCCAGGACTAGCCGCCTGAAAAACAGTTTCTACGCTAATGCAATTCTGGTTCTAAACGCAGCATAAGGGGTCTCTGTAGTATGGTGTATTTTAAAATGGGGTTTTAGAGTTTTTAGGGGGTTTTGAATGTTTTATGTAGTTTTTATGTAGTTTTATGTAGTTTTATGTAGTTTTTATGTAGTTTTATGTAGTTTTTATGTAGTTTTTATGTAGTTTCGTGGTAGTTTTATGTAGTTTTATGTAGTTTTTCAATTTCATTGTTCCGCAAGGGACAATGACAATAAAGATATCGTATATCGTATCGTATATCGTATATTTATGTTGATAAACAGGGAATGGGAAGTGAGGTTAAGTCACTTCCCTGTTTGTTGCCTGTGTCCAGTGCTTTTCTTTGGCTATATATATGAGGGGCCGCTACACATCTCTTTATAAAAGTGCTGCGTATCTGAGCACACAATGATTGCAAAAAAAAGAAGTGACTGACTCCGTATAGGTGAGCACTGTCACAAAAACCTCTCTACCTGTGTCTAAAGAACGCAAAAGCGATTCCGAGTCTAGTGTGGATCATCTTACTTTATGCAATTGTGTGAATGCATATTTATTTTCTTGATCTGTTCTTGTCTCACACTGTCTCCAAATTATTCATGTTCAACCAAGCTTTGTAATGGTTCTGCTGGGATGAAGAGCAAGATTCTAAGCAAGTTGGCTCAAAGATTCAAAGATAACTACTACTGGCAATGTGCTTAGAATTGCAGCCCGAGAATCTTTCAATGAAAACTGAAGCATTTCCAAAGTTCTGCTTTGTGTTTCTGTGCTAAGTCAATAGCTGGCACAATATTTATGTGCGTGTTTATATTTATACCCTGCTTTTAAGCCAAAATTGACTCCCAAAGTGGCTTCCAATTAAGTACAATATAATTAATGACATGTTGATATGGAAGGTGCGCTTCTTCCAGCTCCTGGCATTTGATGTCATAATCCCGTCTAAAAGCAGCCCCTCTAATCCACTACTATGGTCTTCTGACACTTAGATATACAGTTTGTATAACTTTGTCATTACATTATGTTATTTTGTCTAAATAGAAAAAGAAGTTGGGATCACATTCTTTGTGTTGGATTTGTACTGGTGAGTCCTGGGTTCAAATCCTTAGTCTTCCCTGAACCTCACTTGCTCACTATAGCCATTATCTCTAAGCCTGCTCTATCTCCCAAGGTTATTGTGAGGATAAAATAGGAGGGAGAAGAGTATATATCACATTGAGCTCCTTATAGATAGACTAGGATGATAATGTAAGTAGTCTTGTCTATCTTTATGTGCAGATAGTACAAAGGGATCTGCATTCATATTGGGGAAAACTTCTTTTTGTCTGACACCCTCCAATGAATTCAGATTTCAAACATCAGTGTTGGCCAGTGAGTACCACTGTGTTGATCCACTATTAGATTACCCACCTTTTGTGATGTACACCTGGCATTGCAACATGCATGTGTGCATATTTGTGTGTGTCCACTTCAGGTCTAGACCGACCTGCTTGAAACATAACAAACTGTGCTTTATTGTTACAAGCACAATCTGCAGTGATGTTTGACCTCTATCCTCCTTTGTCATCTCCCCTCACACAAGAGGGGAGGAGCTTAAAACCTGAGAATCTGATTTGTAATAAACTGGTTTGCTGTTTCATTCAACTGCACCAAACTATAGTTTGCTATCAGATTTGTGTCTGAAACCTATAAGGCAAGAATGGGGAACCTATGGCCTCCAGATTTGCCAGACTACAATTCCTATCGTCCCTGACCATTGGCCTTGTTGGCTGGGGCTGAAAGGAACTGGAATCCAACATCAGCTGAAGAGTCAAAAACTCCCCACACCTGTTATAGAGTATGGTAAATAATTGCATATTCCAAATGGGTTTCATATCATAGGATACTGTAGATTGTAATACAGTACTTTCAAAAGCACACTTGAATACTGCCACACACAACCTGATTTCTGAATGAGAGACAGTATTTTTTTCAGGCATAATTCCATTTCTAAGATCATGGTCAGACTGTAATATAATACAGTAATAGCATACTTAAGCAAATAATTCTTTCTCATTTCCAGGTTTATATTTATCCAACAACAATGAAGGTTCTTCTGGTTTTTGATTTTGACCATACAGTTGTAGATGAAAACAGTGATACTTGGATTGTGAAATGTGCACCAGCTTCCAAGCTTCCTGATGAAATTAAAAATTCCTATCGAAAAGGATACTGGACAGAATATATGGGCAGAGTCTTCCGATACCTGGGGGACCTTGGCATAAGAGAAGATGAGATGAAAAGAGCTATGACAGCAATCCCTTTTACTACAGGAATGAAAGAGCTGATAGATTTTATTGGCAAGCACAAAGACTTTTTTGACTGCATAATTATATCGGATTCCAATGCAATATTTATTGATTGGATTTTAAAAGCTGCTGATGTATCTCAAGTATTTGATGAAGTGTTTACAAATCCTGCAAGTTTCAATGACTGTGGCTCTCTCACTGTCCAGAATTGTCACGCTCATGATTGTGCAAAGTGTCCTATTAACCTCTGCAAGAGAAAAGTCTTGGAAGAATTCTTAGAACGTTTAAAGCCCAAGGTGAAATACTCACAAATTATATATATAGGCGACGGTGGGAATGACCTGTGCCCAGTAATGTGTTTGAAAAAAAGCGATGTTGTTATGCCAAGACAAGGGTATATGTTGGAGAGCTTGATTTCTCAGTTGTCTCAGAATCTTGTTCCCGTAGAGGCATCGGTTGTCGTCTGGTCATCTGGATTTGAGATCCTGGCCTACTTAGAAGTACTTACAAAAGGATAGAACTAATTAATACTGGCAAATGGGTGGTGCTCTCTGAATCTTCTCACAGCAGAATCGTTTCTTTATGAATGTTAGGGGGGGAAATAACACTTTGTTTATGCTACTTTGATTCATTGTCTTCCCTTGTGCAAACTCGGTGGGGTGAGGTTCCTGAGAAAGGAGGGAAATTCATCAAAAGAAGGTGCCGAAGGTTGCAGTTCTATAGACACTTACCAGCAAGTCCCGTTGAACTCTAGAGAGCTTACTTCTGAGTAGACATGTATAGGATTGCACTGGAAGTCATTGTTAAATGTAGTTGCCATGTAATAGCTATGTTACATGAGATAAGCTGTCGGTAGGGTATGTTTTATGAGATATAGAAACTGTTTCCCTCTAATTATCTGATGGAGAGGAGAAATGCAGCAAGAGCTATAGCTAACGTTGCACTGTTGTGCCTCGGTGCCACGTTCAGCAACAGCTGTCCATTTAAGATGATATGATAGGTATCCCTATGAGCTAACTTTTAAAAGGTTGTTAATATCATGTGGGATGTGGCTTTGACTTCTGGTCTTGTGAACATCCCTCACCCGGAGCCCCTTGCAACCATTATAATTCAGCTGCTATTTGCAAGAAACGTAGAGCTTCCACACTGTATGTGAGTAACAAACCATTTCTGTATAACCTTCTGAAGCTCTTTCTTAAGGGAGAGTTGCTTCCCTTAGCCACAAAATCAGCCTAGAAACGGGGGCTAATTTTGTCGCGCACACATCTCATCCCCACGCATCTCATCCCAACATGGCTCTTTTACATTATTTAGCAAACAGCCAGCATAATTCAGTATCAACCACTAATCAAAAAGTGAAAGCTGATACCATGTGTAGGCAGCATTAACAAGGAATAAATGTGAGCAACACTTGAAGGTTCTGCATTGTCTGACTTCACGTGCCCATGCAGTGTCTGCTCTAATTGCATATGCCCTGTGAAGAAATTAAAAGAGATGATGGAATGATATCTGTACTCCTCGTAACAGGCAAAAAGGTGCTTTGTATTAATGCAGCCTTCCATGTTTGCTTGGAAGTAATTCTCGCTAATTTCAATAGGATTTACTTCCGTGTATGTGTGCATAGGATTGCAGCCTTAAAACCGAAGTCAGTTTTGCTAAAACGAGTGTCCTGTGTATGATAATGTTGGAAAGGAGAATGTATCAATCTGATTTTGATGCATCTTAATGAAAGTTCCTGTGACTGAGACACCATGGTTTGTACCTCTTTGTAATACCTCTGAGGATATTACCCAGGAGTTTGTGGTCCATCTTCCTATGACATTTTATTAGCATTAGAATGGTGTGTCTGAAATGAAAGGTTTGAAAAGTGGCATATATTGATAAACAGTATTGTGTTGACCCTTTTACCCTATCGTGAAAGGTGATTGTGTTAAAATGTTTTGCTTAATATGTGGAAAAAATATTTAGATAAATTGGTTTTCCTTCCAGTTTTTGAAAGCATACACGAAGAGTAAAGAGCATAACTTGGTAGGCTTCCAGATTCTAGTAATTTTGGTGGCAAACATCCCTTTGATGAGTTTACTTAGCAGTCTGCTAAAATTCAAATACTGAGGTACAGTGATCAGTGGATTTCCTTGAAGATCCATTTCTTGCCCAGTTGTTATTTTGTCTGTATACAATGTGCCTGCTGCAATTTTTGGAGTATGTATATTCTTTAAAAATAAGAAAGATATAAATTTAATTTATCCTGTTTGTAGTTTTGTATTTAAGGATTCATGCTTATATAAAGAATACTTAATTAAATATTTTATTAAGTAACTACATTACAGTTTGAGGTCTTTTCTTTAATGTAAAATCTTCCTGCAGTGGAAATAAACAGAAGCAACCTACATTTGTATAAACAGATCTGGTATTACAGAGATAGTCAAGAGATTTTTGCACTCTTGACAGTGAAAGAACAAAAATACAATGGCAGTAATCCCATTGAATCAGCTGTAATACAAGTAACCTGTAACTGGTCTCAGTCAGCACCCCGAAACCCTTCTAAAATAACATTTCCACCTACTAAAAACTATGAAAATGTCAAGTTTTGCAGGGAAGGCGTTCCAAAGTTGTGCAGCCACAGAAAACGACTTGCTGCGAGTCATTGCCAAGCTGCTGCTAAGTTCTGGAAACATTAAACTATCCTTGCATGCTCCCTTTCCTTTTCAGAAAAAAAAATTGCTCTACTGTAGCACGCTACTTTCAGTGTAAACTCCTTACACAAGAAGGTCGTAGGAGAAGTGAACGTTTAGGTTCAGGATGTTATAGGAATTCTAAGGTCTCAAATATAGAATAAATGTTGATAATTGCACAAGGTAAACATACATACATACATACCGTAAGTATATAAGCCACATGTCTAAAATAGTACTGGAGAGCAATCCAAAAGCCATCTTGGCTTTCCTAAAGACTCTAAATATTTCCTCTGCCTCCTTAATCCCCCTTGCCTGAGAACAGGTAGGCAGATAGCAATCTGGGGAAGTTCCTGAAGGGATTCCTCTCCTCTATATCTATGAACCTCCTTTGTATTAATTGTCATTGTTTGCCCAGATGCTCTGCATTGAGCGATGTCTGACAGGCATCCTGATTGGACGGTTAAGTCCCTCAAAGGCAGCTATGGGGCTGCAGCGCTCATCTCACTTTCAGGCCGAGGGAGCTGGAGCGTTTGTCCACAGACAGCTTTCCGGGTCATGTGGCCAGCATGACTAAACCACTTCTGGTGCAACAGGACACTAACAAGTGCCAGAGCGTACGGAAACGCCGTTTACCTTCCCACCGCAGTGGTACCTGTTTATCTACTTGCGCTGGTGAGCTTTGGAACTGCTAGGTTGACAGGAACTGGGACAGAGCAACGGGCGCTAACCCCGTCGTGGGGATTCAAACCGCTGACCTGATCAGCAAGCCCAAGAGGCTCAGTGGTTTAGACCACAGTGCCACCCTCTCCCGTAAATGTTTTGTGTAAACTGTGTCTGGAACTATTTGAAACATGCTAAATCCTCAGGAATATCATACCTTGGCCTGCCTGAGCCACAGTAACCCCACCTTAAAGGTAAAGGTAAAGGGACCCCCGACCATTAGGTCCAGTCGGGAAAGACTCTGGGGTTGCTGCGCTCATCTTGCTTTATTGGCCAAGGGAGCCGGCATACAGCTTCTGGGTCATGTGGCCAGCATGACTAAGCCGCTTCTGGCGAACCAGAGCAGCGCACGGAAATGCCATTTACCTTCCCGCCGGAGCAGTACCTATTTATCTACTTTCACTGTGACGTGCTTTCGAACTGCTAGGTTGGCAGGAGCAGGGACCGAACAACGGGAGCTCACCCCGTCGCGGGGATTCGAACCGCCGACCTTCTGATTGGCAAGTCCTAGGCTCCGTGGTTTAACCCACAGCGCCACCCGCGTCCAACCCCACCTTATGTGTGATGTAATTTCTAACTGTTTGTAGAGAGGATGTCCTTCTCCGCGCCAAAATGCAAACCCTTAAAAGAGATGTTTCTTTTCGGTTCTGGGTTTCTCTTGCCTCCTTGCTAGCAGGGGAAGGAACTCTGTTGCAACAGAAAAAAAATAAAGATCTGCCTTGCTTTCGCTGCATCCGGCCTCCATCCATTCATCTCTGACCGATCATGGACTTAGGGGACTCATTCCCTTGGGGCATTGGGCAGCAAAAACCAACCACCCTTATTTTTCCTATATTGAGGAGAACTTCATTGGTTCTTGGTGGCTCCCATTAAGTTCTGTGCAGCAGCAAGCAGCCTGCAATGTGGGCCCTGGCTAGACAGGGACTGGGCAAGGCAAAAACACAGACCCAGGGCCAGATTTAGGTTTGATGAGATCCAAACTACTAATGGGGCCCTTTCTATGTCCAGCTGTCCTTTGTCAACAACAAATTGTCGCTGTTCTTTTGGGTTGAATATATGCTGTATGGTAATTTACGGACCTAATAGGTGTCTAAAGCCATTAGCACATGCAGAATGCAGGCACCCTATATATAGAAATGAGCAAACCAGTGATATTTTAGGGAGCAGGCTAGCAGGCGGTGCCCACGACTTACATCATAGGAGCCTACACAACACAAAACACTGTTGCCGTATGTAGGTTTTATTTTATTTGTTTTTTATCTTATATTTTGGAAATGTACATCCAGGTTTTTTTCCCCTTTAAATTTTTTGGGGGGCCCCAAGAGAGTAGGGCCCTAAGCTATAGCTTGTTTAGCTTATACATCATGGGTAAGCAAACTAAGGCCCGGGGGCTGGATCCAGCCCAATCGTCTTCTAAATCTGGCCCGCGGACAGCATGTTTTTACATGAGTAGAATGTGTCCTTTTATTTAAAATGCATGTCTGGGTTATTTGTGGGGCCTGCCTGGTGTTTTTACATGAGTAGAATGTGTGCTTTTATTTCAAATGCATCTCTGGGTTATTTGTGTTGTTGTTGTTGTTTAGTCGTTTAGTCGCTTCCGACTCTTTGTGACCCCATGGACCAGAGCACGCCAGGCACTCCTGTCTTCCACTGCCTCCCGCAGTTTGGTCAAACACATGCTGGTAGCTTCGAGAACACTGTCCAACCATCTCGTCCTCTGTCGTCCCCTTCTCCTTGTGCCCTCCATCTTTCCCATCAGGATCTTTTCCAGGGAGTCTTCTCTTCTCATGAGGTGGCCAAAGTGTCAAATGGGCCTTAGAAAGCACTGCTAATAACAAGGCCAGTGGAAGTGAGGATATTCCAGCTGAACTATTTAAAATTTTTTAAGATGATTGCTGTTAAGGTGCTACACTCAATATGCCAGCAAGTGTAGAAAACTCAGCAGTGGCCAGAGGACTGGAGAAGATCAGTCTACATCCCAATGCCAAAGAAGGGCAATGCCAAAGAGCGCTCCAACTACCGCACAATTGTACTCATTTCACACGCTAGCAAGGTTATGGTTAAAATTCTACAAGGCAGGCTTAAGCAGTATGTGGACCGAGAACTCCCAGAAGTGCAAGCTGGATTTCGAAGGGGTTATTTGTTGTTGTTGTTTAGTCATTTAGTTGTGTCCGACTCTTCGTGACCCCATGGACCAGAGCACGCCAGGCACTCCTGTCTTCCACTGCCTCCCGCAGTTTGGTCAAACTCATGCTGGTAGCTTCAGGAACACTATCCAACCATCTCATCCTCTGTCGTCCCCTTCTCCTTGTGCCCTCCATCTTTCCCAACATCAGGGTCTTTTCCAGGGAGTCTTCTTTTCTCATGACGTGGCCAAAGTATTGGAGTCTCAGCTTCAGGATCTGTCCTTCCAGTGAGCACTCAGCGCTGATTTCCTTCAGAATGGAGAGGTATGATCTACTTGCAGTCCATGGGACTCTCAAGAGTCTCCTCCAACACCACAATTCAAAAGCCTGAGGCAGAAGCTATTAAAAGGCCCTCGTTGCCTTCGGCCTCTAGGGAGCAGCGGGCGGAGACGATCTCGCGGTGCGGAGGGAGAAGCAGCCGAGGCACCAAAATAGGAGCTGCTGCTGCTGCTGGTGGTGGTGCTTCTGCTGCTGCCGCGCAGGCCATCTGCTCGCGGGCAGCTTGGCAAGCAGCGCCTCTTCTTCCCAAAGATGGTCAAAGAAAGGGTCGCGCCGGGTGCCGCTGCCTGAGGAAAGCGCCGCCGCCTTTGCTTTCCCCCAAAAGAGCCGCGGCCAATACTTCTGACCCGCGCATACTCGCGGGAGAATTGCAACCGGTCGCCCGGGGGCGCAGCAGCCTGCGCGCAGCGAGCCCATTTTTTTGCAGGTCCCCCTCGGGCGGCGTCGGTCAGAAGAGAGGACGAGGCAGCAGCCAGAGGCGAGCTGGCGGGGTCTCTCCTCCAGCAACCCCAATGATGACAGGGCGCGCCCCCCCTCCATGAGCGCACAAGGGCCATCCCGAGGGGAGCGTCCGCGCGCAGCAGCCTGAGGCGATAGACGCGCGCGGCGAGGGGGCCGCCTTTTGTCTCGCGCTTTTTTCCCCTTCTTCTTAATTTCGGGAAGCGGGCGCGCGCCTCCCCTCCTCCGCGCTCGCGCCGCCGCCGAGGTTGCGCGTGGAGAGCAGGTGGGTCTTCGCGCCGCGCGCCGCTGCGTGTTTGTTTGTGTGGGGCGCGGTGTCTCTGTCACGATACACGCGCGAGCGAGAGGGGTGTCTGTTTGGGTCGCGCTCTCGGCCTTTGGGAAATGTCTGGAGAGGCAGGCGACCACCTTCGCTCTCCCCAAAGCGAGCCCCCCCAGCCCGTTTCCTATCGGGGGCGTTTTTTCCTCCTAGTCGTCTTCCCGAGCGCGCAGAACGAAACGCGGCAGACGCGTGACTTCGAATTGGCTCCCTTTTGTCTCGCTGCCGGTGCAGGACAAACTGCTGGCTTTTGTCTGCAGGCGCCGGTTTCGGATTTAGGTATAAGCTAAACAAGCTATAGTTTAGGGCCCCACTCTCTTGGGGGCTCCCCCCCAAATTTTGAGTCTGTAAATTGTGTTTCTAAAATTGTTATTTCCAAATGCCAGTGCGTTTGCATTATTTTGTTATGAGTAAAAAATCATTTTAAGTTAGAGCTTAATTATTTCAATATTAATATACTTCTTAATTGTGTTTCACTATTAATATACTTAATAATAATAATTTATTATTTATACCCCATCCATCTGGCTGGGTTTCCCCAGCTACTCTGGGTGGCTTCCAACCAAATATTAAAATACAGTAATACATCAAGCATTAAAAGCTTCTCTAAACAGGGCTGCCTTCAGATGTCTTGATAAAATGATAAAAAATCATTTTAAGTTAAAGCTTAATAATTATTTCACTATTAATATACTTCTTGTGTTTCACTATTAATATACCGTATTTTTCGCCCCATAGGACGCACCGCCCCATAGGACGCACCTAGTTTTTTTGGGGGGGGGAAATAAAGAAAAAAAAATTATTTCCCCCCCCCCAGGCACAGGGCTGGCGCGGGGGAAGCCCGAGCTTCCCCAGCCCCCAGAACAGCCTGCTATCCGCAAGCCTAGGGCTGCCTTCAGATGTCTTCTAAAAGTTTGGTAGTTGTTGTTCTCTTTGACATCTGGCGGGAGGGCGTTCCACAGGACGGGTGCCACTACCAAGAAGGCCTTCTGCCTGGTTCCCTGCAACATAATTGTATTTTACTATTAATATACTTCTTAATTGTATTTCAGTTCAACAATGACTTTGATAAAATGCATATTTTGTTATGTGCAAATGGCTTTAGATACCTATTAGGTCCGTAAATTACCATATAGCATATATTCAACACAAAAAAACAGCGACAATTTGTTGTTGACAAAGGACAGCTGGACATGTAAAGGGCCCCGTTACCTTCAGTAGCTTACGGCCTCATCAAATCTAAATCTGGCCCTGGCAGGCACTGTGTTTTTGAACGCGTGCATAACAGCAGGAGCCCAGACTTTCCTGCGCTCTCGTGTGCGGTGCTGCGTCCCGTGATCCTAAAGAAGAGAAGTTGCAATCCCACTTAATAGGGGAAGAAGCACCATTGAATCCAGTAGGTTACACATAAAAGGTTCCGAGGGTGCTGTAAAGTTGCATTGTACAAATGTGACAGTAGATGGTGACGGTGAGCGATGGAAAATTCAATATATGTTTTTCAAAACTTTTTATTTATTTTTTTAAAAAGCATTTAATAATTTTAATAATTTATTATTTATACCCCGCCCATCTGGCTGGGTCTCCCCAGCCACTCTGGGCAGTTCCCAATAGAATATTAAAAACACCATCAAACATTAAATACTTGCCTTCAGATAGAATAAGAATAAATAAGAATTTTCACAACGCTTTTTATACGTGTCTCGGTTCCACCTAGGACTTAATTCCAAGTAAACCTGTTTAATGTTGCGCTGTAAGTCCCATTACATTAAACGGGAGTCACTCCCTACTAGTCGTGCAATCCTACGACGCATGTCCACTCAGAAGTAAACCCCATTGTGTTGCATGGGTTTTACTCCCGGATAAGTGTGTTTAGGATTGCACTGATTCATGTTTCATATGCTTAAAAAATAAATAAATCACTGATTGGTCATTGAACCGAATTCAAGTTTTTGGAAAGTGTGAAGTCAGAATTTTATTTTATTTCTATGTTAACCATCCCATCTGGTGCCTGTTAATTGAGAGATGTATTGCTATATAAGTATATACAGTATATATTCTTTCTTTCAAGAGAAATAGAGCACTGTCTGAGGTCATTTGATGCTGTTCCATTGTTAAAAACAAACAAGATGGTTAGTGCCTGGTCAGGAGCCAGATATATCCTACTTTGATTTTTTCTTAATGTATATAAATTATTAAAAATAAAATAGTTTTAATCCAGACTGGTGGAGTTATCTGTTGAAATCCATGGGAGAGATGGGAGGGGGCAAGGTAAGGATAAGGAGCTTGTTTACGATTCGGGAGAGTACAAAAGTTACATAATCAGAGTGATTTAACATGATTAATTATTTCAGCAGCAGCATGCTTGCCAGAGCTGATGAGACCAGGGTGACTGGTTCTAGTACAGTGGTGCCTCGCAAGACGAAATTAATCCGTTCCGCGAGTCTCTTCGTCTAGCGGTTTTTTCGTCTTGCGAAGCAACCCGATTAGCGGATTAGCGCTATTAGCGGTTTAGCGGCTCTTAAAGGCTTAGCGGCTAAAGGGCTATTAGCGGCTTAGCGGCTTAGAAAAAGGGGGGGGGAGCGAAAAAAATCTCAAGACTCGCAAGACATTTTCGTCTTGCGAAGCAAGCCCATAGGGAAATTCGTCCTGCGAAGCGCATCGAAAAACGGAAAACCCTTTCGTCTAGCGGGTTTTTCGTCTTGCGAGGCATTCGTCTTGTGGGGCACCACTGTACTTGCATATACAGTGGTACCTCGGGTTAAGAACTTAATTCGTTCTGGAGGGCCTTTCTTAACCTGAAACTGTTCTTAACCTAGGACACCACTTTAGCTAATGGGGCCTCCTGCTGCCGCCGCACGATTTCTGTTCTCATCCTGAAGCAAAGTTCTTAACCCGAGGTACTATTTCTGGGTTAGCGGAGTCTGTAACCTGAAGCGTATGTAACCTGAAGCATCTGCAACCCAAGGTACCACTGTACAACTTCCGTTGAATCAGGAGGGCCTTAAAATGATATTTCCAGGGAAATATTTATTTTAAAGTTTCTTTTCCTCAAGTATATTCTGTCTGCAGTCTTATACTTTAACCTTCAGGTGGGTATACACCTTTATCTAAAATATGGCAAGACATTGAGATGATGTCCAAATAAGGCAATTTATACTGGAACTAGATAAAGAAGAAGATTATGAGGCCATTCTTCCATAAGTGTGCATTTACTTATTTACACCTCATTTACTTGTTGATACCTAACACTAGACTTAGCTCTTTGTATTTCACACCTTATGGACTCTACCATATTGTGGGAGCCGGATCTGGATTTTCTTATACCTTCTCCTTTTTGGGGTACTCCTGGTATGAGAAAATCTGGATTGAAGGAGAAGTGTGGGAGGACAGTGCTTTGGAGGAGAGCATCATAGAGCATCACAGAGAATTAATGGAGATACAGGAAGCTTAATGTCTCCATTAAACAACAGTATGGATGAGCCCAGAATGAATACAGTGGTACCTCGGTTTGCGAACGTCTCAGAAGTTAAATGTTTTGAACACCGAAAACCTGGAAGTAAATGATTCCTTTTTCGAATGCGCCTCAGACATCGAACGGCTTCCACTTAGTTTTCATTTTTCTCTACAGTGGTACCTCAGGTTACATACGCTTCAGGTTACAGACTCCGCTAACCCAGAAATAGTGCTTCAGGTTAAGAACTTTGCTTCAGGATGAGAACAGAAATCGTGTTCCAGTGGCGCGGCGGCAGCGGGAGGCCCCATTAGCTAAAGTGGTGCTTCAGGTTAAGAACAGTTACAGGTTAAGAACGGACCTCTGGAACGAATTAAGTACTTAACCTGAGGTACCACTGTATTAAATTTGCAGGCCGCCCTTTGCACCTTGGTTTTTGAATGTTTCGGATGGTCTTCCAGAACAGATTATGTTCAAAAACTGAGGTGCCACTGTATATTAATTCCGTAGGGCTTACTTCTGAGTAAGCACGCTCTACTATCTTCATTTCTTTACCATTTCTTGACATTTTATTGCAGTGATGGCATTGACTGAGCAGGAGGAATATACCTATATATACAGAGACAGCTCTCATCCTGTGGAGTTCTTGGATGCATTCAGAACATTCTACCTTGAAGGTGTATTCACTGATATTGCCCTTCAATGTGCATCAGGTGTGGTTTTCCATTGCCATAAAGCTGTGCTAGCTGCTTGCAGCAACTATTTCAAGGCCATGTTCACCTCTGACATGAAAGAGAAGATTAAGAACCAAGTCAAACTTTCTGGACTCAGTCCCACAATACTGGAATCCCTGGTGATTTACGCTTACACGTCAGAGATTCAAATAACAAAGAGAAATGTCCAAAGCCTGCTCCAAGCAGCAGACCTCCTTCAGTTTGCCTCGGTGAAAAAAGCCTGTGAGCGGTTTCTGATACGGCACTTGGATGTCGACAACTGCCTAGGAATGCACTCCTTTGCAGAATACCACGTCTGCTCAGAGCTGGAGAAGGAATCTAGAAGGATATTGTTATCGAGATTTGATGAGGTGTGGGCGCAGGAAGAATTTTTGGAAATCAGCAGCGAGAAGCTCCAGTTTATTCTCTCCAGAAAGAACCTCGGCCTTTGGAAAGAGGGGGCAGCCGTGGAACCCATTGTTAAGTGGATAGCCTACGACGTGGAAAAGAGAAGCGAGTGCATTTATGATCTGCTGAGCTGCCTCGAAGCAGATTTAGATGAAATGTATCTGAGGTCAGCTTTAAGTTTGCACAAGAAAAGCCGGCTGAACGAAAACAAGATCCGCTCTCTAATACACAACGCGCTACGCCCCAACCCAAAAGCAATTCCTACGAGGTCTACGGCTGTTATGTACGTGATTGGAGGGTACTACTGGCATCCTTTATCTGAGGTGCATGCATGGGATCCAGTCGCCAATGTCTGGATCCAGGGAGCTGACATGCCGGACCACGCGAGGGAAAGTTATGCAGTTGCTAGTCTGGGGCCCAACATTTATGTGACAGGCGGCTATAGAACAGACAATATAGAATCCCTCGATGTCATGTGGATATACAACTGTGAAGCCGATGAATGGGTTGAAGGCTGCCCGATGCTTAACGCAAGGTACTACCACTGCGCAGTTACCTTGAGCGGCTGCATCTACGCTTTAGGGGGTTACAGAAAAGGGGCTCCAGCTGAAGAAGCAGAATTCTATGACCCTTTAAAAAAGATATGGGTCCCTATTGCAAACATGATTAAAGGTAAGTGGAATATTGCATGCTTATTTGCATTTTCGCATGTGTCTTTTAAAAATGAATGAATATTTTTTCCCCTCTCCCCTAGGATACACAATTTATTTTTTGTTCAAGCTTTTAAAAGACAGCCTGATCAGCCTTCTGCCCATGAAAAGAAATGTGTGAGATGCAATTGCTTGAGTGAAGAAACATTGTCAGCTGCATTTTTCACTTAGAATTTATGTTTGACTATTACAACGGAATTTCTGCTCCATCGCAATCTTACAATAAGTTTGTTCTGGTATAAGTTTTCGGGTGCATGCACACTTCTTCAGATACATGCATGCACACGAAAGCTTATACCAGAACAAACTTAGTTGGTCTATAAGGTGCTACTGGACAATTTTTCATTTCTACTGCGTCAGACCAACACGGCTACCTACCTGAATCTACAATCTATCACTGTAGCTTAAGCTTCAAGTGCATTCATTGTTCTTATTAGCTGTTCATAACTCGTTATCAGGAGCACATTTCTCTTAATGCTTTGGATATTATTGTCTTCTGTTAAATCATTTGAAGTTCTTGTGTTGCCTTCCTCAACAAATTTCAAATGAAAATATACAAACTTGTGCATTCTCACTTACAAGCTTGATCAGCAGAATATATTGCCATACCTACCTTGTTTCTTCTTAAGCATTGAAAAAACTAGCCCTGTGACCAAATGCAGATATATAATTATTGGAAAAGCTTCAAGATGAACCAGAAAAAGCCTTTAGTGTATAATTTATTATGAAATCATTTAAAATATTGAATTTCAAGTTCTGTATTTCTATACCATTACACCATTGCTAATGTATTAGTTGTACTAATAACTTGATGGTGAATGTTACTCCGTTTTAAAGCTTTTTAGCAATTTCAGTTTTTATTAATTAGGGGTTGGGAATGCCACAGCCTGTGTCTTGAATGAGGTTATCTATGTCACTGGAGGTCACTACGGTTATCGGGGAAGCTGCACTTACGACAAAGTTCAAAGTTACCACTCTAATATTAATGAATGGAATGTCATCACCACCAGTCCGTATCCAGGTAAGCTTTACTTCCGCTCGGTGGTTTGAATAATTGCCTTCCAAAAGCAGCAGTTTGCCTGTTTTTCGTCCAAGAAAAGAAATATCTGCAGCTGCTCTGCTGATTTGCACCCACACGTTAACATTCAAAAGCTCACAGCCGGCTAGCAATACTTGGGCATTAACAGGCATTGTTGAGTAACCCACTTCCTTGCAGGGAGCCCACTGCTGACTCACAGAACCTGCTACTCCCCTGTTCAGTTTTTCCCCAGTGCTTTTGTATTATGGCCCCCAAACTCTGCTCCTGCTGTACTTCTACCATTTAGGGATTTTAGATTTGGAAGGTGTGGGAATGTTCAGGGAGGCAGGAGAGGATATATTGTTTAGTAATAATATCCTTCCTAACTTGCGCTAGCAAGTTCTATAATTTAGCAGAGTTTTAACATTCCCCTTTAAACGCACAGCGGGTAGCTGGTTGCAAGCTTGTTTAAGCTTCTCACCATAGATTTCTGGTAAGATCCCTTCCTTCTCCATCTTCCTTTCGTTGCGTGAGCTGCCGTGACTGTCAGTCTGCAGTCACTGGGGTGAACCCCCCATATGGGGTAGATCCACATGTATATATACCTTTGTAACTAGGTCTGCCTTCAGGGATCTGACTGTGAAGTGATGATGTGAATAAAATACTTTTATATATCTTAAACAAGATTGTGGCGTGTTTATTCTTTTAAGAGGGAAATAAGGGATCTTACCAGGAATCTATACAGTGGTACCTCTGGTTACGTACTTAATTCGTTCCGGAGGTCCATTCTTAACCTGAAACGGTTCTTAACATGAAGCACCACTTTAGCTAATGGGGCCTCCCGCTGCTGCCGCACCGCCACTGCGCGATTTCTGTTCTCATCCTGAAGCAAAGTTCCTAACCCGAGGTACTATTTCTGGGTTAGCGGAGTCTGTAACCTGAAGCGTATGTAATCTGAAGCATATGTAATCCGAGGTACCACTGTACTGAGAAGCTTAAACAAGCTTGCAACCAGCTACCCGCAATGCGTTTAAAGGGGAATGTTAAAACTCTGCTAAATTATAGAACTTGCTAGGGCAAGTTAAGGTAAAGGTAAAGGGACCCCTGACCATTAGGTCCAGTTGTGGCTGACTCTGGGGTTGCGGCGCTCATCTTGCTTTATTGGCCGAGAGAGCCGGCGTACAGCTTCCGGGTCATGCGGCCAGCATGACTAAGCCGCTTCTGGCGAACCAGAACAGCGCACGGAAACACCGTTTACCTTCCCGCCGGAGTGGTACCTATTTATCTACTTGCACTTTGAGGTGCTTTCGGACTGCTAGGTTGGCAGGAGCAGGGACCGAGCAACGGGAGCTCACGCCGTCGTGGGGATTCGAACCGCTGACCTTCTGATCGGCAAGCCCTAGGCTCTGTGGTTTAACCCACAGTGCCACCCGCGTCCCTTCAGCGCAAGTTAGGAAGGATATTAATAAACAATATATCCTCTCTTGCCTCCCTGAACATTCCCACAGAAGGGACCCTGTGGACCATCTAGTCCAGCCCCCTGCAATGCAGGTATACAGTATGCAGCTGTTCCATACGGGGACCGAACCTGCAACCTTGGCATTATCAGCGCCACACTCTAACCAACTGAGCAATCCTGCTGCCTGCCCTTTTTCTTCCTTTTCTTCAAATGCTTATTCAGTGTTTTCCGGCACTCTCTGTTTTACCTGTAGAATATGGGCTGTGTTCCATTGCACTGGAGAACAAACTGTACCTTGTGGGTGGACAATCGACGGTGACGGATTGCTATGACCCAGAGCAGAATGTGTGGAAACAGAAGGCTGATATGGTAGAAAGAAGGATGGAGTGCGGTGCTGTCGTCATGAATGGATGCATCTATGTGACGGGAGGCTATTCCTCTTCCAAAGGGTCGTATTTGCAGAACATTGAGAAGTACGATCCTGAATGCGATACATGGGAAATTGTGGGGAACCTCCCCAGTTCTATGCGCTCGCATGGCTGTGTCTGCCTGTACAGTGTGCTAGAGGTTGAAAATGCCACTTACGGGACAAGGAACTAATAATATAAGGGAGCCCAAAACTAGAGGAAGGTGACCCACCACCTAATGATGGGACTTAGCCTATGGTATTCAGTCACTATGGAACACTACTCCGTTTGGCTTTTATTGACACTAAGCCTAGTGCATCAACTCCAGTTAAGCTCCAGCATTGTTGATACAAGGGCTACCACTTCTTTTGTTACTACTGTTCTCTGCCCTACAAGCAATGTGAATGTTTGGTTGCTGCCAGATCTGATTAACTGTTGGGGGGTTAGGGCAGGCATAGGCAAACTCCGGCCCTCCAGGTGTTTGGGACTACAGTTCTCATCATCCCTAGCTAACAGGACCAGTGGTCAGGGATGATGGCAATTGTAGTCCCAAACATCTGGAGGGCCGGAGTTTGCCTATGCCTGGGTTAGGGTTTTATATTTCTAAAGGGAGGATAAACATTGGTTTTTGTATGTGTGTGAACCAAGTTATTTTTTGCACAATATAAGGTCTTAAAGCCCATGTTAAACAGGGATGAGGAGGAGTCTGTGACTTTCCATATACTGCTAAACTCCAAGTCTCATCCGTCCCAACCAGCGTGACTAATGGTCATGGGTTCTCCATCTCTGGTATAACATCTCCATTTTATCTCAGGATCATAGCAAGCTGCAGACTTGGGCTTCTCATAATACCCAGCACAACCCCCCCCCCCCCCCTTTTCCACTCTGCCCTTGACATTTGGAAAGTTGTTTGGCTTTACATACAAGCTCTGTAAGGGTTAGGGTGAACTCAGCAGGTTGGTCACTATTTTGTGATATTTTTAATCGGCCCTGAAATAGTTATTGTGCTACTGTTGCTTTTGGATTTTTATCCGAGAGACCGACACCACTGCCTACAATTTATGTCTAATCAATAGGTGGCATCTACGCTATAGGTTGACCTCCTTTATTAATTTTATGTTACTACTGTGTTGCCGTTGTGTATGAATGGTACAATATCTGTCAAAATAAAATATAGGTGGGGTGTGTGGAAATGAGCACAACTCCCTAATTTTAGGGTCATATGAGGTTAGGCAGTGGTACTTTCTTGGTTCTGACTGGGCAGAAGACCTCGCTTTCTGTATATTACCTAACTGCCTACCCTATAAATTTGAACAATGTGCTTTTCAAATGCATTTTGGACTAGAAATGTATCGTTTATCTTTCATAGTTGTAAAACTACTTTTGCATATCGTGTTTGTGTTTCAGAATGACGACCTAAAAATGACTTTTTGAAAATGTAAACAATTGAATTTGTGGTCTAGGCCACTGACGATAACCAGCTGCTTATAAAACATTGCCTCCTTTTCTTGGCTTACATAGCACCAAATACTAAGCCAAACTATGCCTTACCGTGAACAAGCAAGTGTGCAACTAGAAAGTCTGGGCCACTTCACTCCTACCCTGGTCCTGCAGCTACCATGCTACAGACACCTATACCATGGTTTGACTTAGCATTACATGTAAACCTGAGTTCATGATTTGTCTTCCCTGATAAGTCAAGCACAAACCTTGGTGACAGCTCACTGCGGAGCTTTGAGCAAGACAAAGCATGTGCCCAGGTTGGCACATAATGCTAATGGATTGGTTCCTGGCAGCATGGCAACCACGGGAATGGAGAGGGTGAGGAGCAAAGCAGTCACAAGAACTTTAAGAATTACTATTTGGATTTTAGTCCAAAAGTACCAGCACTGTAATATCACTTCAGTACTTTTCTTATTTCCAAAAAAGTTGCTTCACCAGCACAATGATAGCAAATACTAAGAAAAGGAACCCACCTGTAACAGTTTCAGGATGACAATGCAGGAGACATCAGCATAAATGTTTACAAACTGCGATTGCCACTGTTCCAGTCACGACTTCAGAGTTATTACTAAACATTATTATTTATGGAAGCGGAAAAGGATTAGAATGTAGAGCTTTCAGGTTCTCGTTACAATTGTATTTATTGTTGTTGTTTATATTTAATTTATATTTAATTCACATTAAGTATGTTGTGCATTTGATAAAAATTTGTAAAGTGTGATTTACTTTTAGGAGTAAACAAAATGCTGCACTGTTTTCTAAATTGTAAAGAATACACTACTTGAAACCCTTTTTCAAGATGTGCTCATTAACTTTGGGGGAAAATAAAAGACTAATCTAGTATCTTATACCACTGAAAACACAGGCAACCTCAACTTTTGCAGGGTTTGCATTTTGGGTCATCGCTCGCTTCCGTGAAATCGTGTGCAATTGAAAAAGCCTGCAAACACCCCATTACCTCGGGTTAAGAACTTAATTCGTTCTGGAGGTCTGTTCTTAACCTGAAACTGTTCTTAACCTGAAGCACCACTTTAGCTAATGAGGCCGCTGCGCCACCACTGCACGATTTCTGTTCTCATCCTGAAGCAAAGTTCTTAACCCAAGGTTCTATTTCTGGGTTAGCGGAGTCTGTAACCTGAAGCGTCTGTAACCTGAAGCGTATGTAACCCGAGGTACCACTGTATTCCACCCCTGTCCACCCTGGGTCACTTCAGGGTTTGGTGATGTGCGCATGTACACGATTGCTCACATACAGTATTGGTAGTGCCTAAAATGGGAGTTGCCTCTGGAAATGTGTTTAGGACCAAGAGGGAAGAATACCGTTTCCTTGAAGTAACCTCAGCCATTTTTTCTCAACCATGCCAACAGGCTTTCAAGAAGCGATCAAATAAATAATTATATCATTGGTTACAGTCTGGGGGGGATGGGGTGGGGTATACTTACGCAATACATCAATAGTACACCATTGTGCCTTTTGTACGTTCAGGTCCCAATGCATTAGAAATATACCCCATTTCTCAGTGAATGTTATCCGACTGTAGTTAAGTATGTTAATTTAATCAAAAATACAGTACACCAAATCCCCAATAACCAATCTGATATTAATGGAAACGTTTTGATTTTTCCTGTTTATGGAAAATTCTATGGAAGTTCACACTGCTTTGAAGACTTCAATCCCGTTTGACTGACCTGAGCAAGGGGATAATAACCCGCAGCTGAAAAGCAGGACAGTGGTTGTGCTTAATCATCACAGGTCAAATGAGATATGTTATGCCCAAATCTGTACCCGATTGCCAAACAGGTGAGTGCTGCAGCTTATGATCAATCAATAATCAGAGATGTGTACTTCATAAATGCTCAGAGAGGTGCTTTATTTACTTTTTTATTGATTACCTAGCTTCCAATGTGGGCTGCGAGGCTGTCGTCACTTACTTCCCGCTTTAACAAAATCGATAGTTTAGCTATGCTATGCTAAAAAACAAACGAGGCTGGCTTTACCCTAAAAATTTTTTTTGCTGTCAGAAATTTCTTCCTGATGTTTAGCCATAGAATCGCACGCAAGACGATCATATTAGGAGCTGCACGGTGCGCGCCCGCTTCCTGCTCCTTTGCAACCCATCCTGACAACCCGCTGCTCGCTGGGCACCTTCCGAGGATCCGGATTCAGGAGGCGGGCGCCGCGGAAGCCCAGCCCTCGTGGGCCGGGCCGGGGAAAGGGGTGCGGCCAGCGCCGCACAGGCTGCTGGGCTGGCCGGCGAGAGGAGGACGGGAGCGCGTAAAGGCGCACGGAGAAGCGGCGCCGGCGGCCTACGCGATCTAGAGAAGGAGAGGCCGGGGTTTGCCTTGGGCGAAGGTTGGTTCGTTTCCGCGGGCGCGCAATCCTGGCTCCGGGGCTTTTGGGGAGCGCCTGCGTTGCGCGCGGCTGCCCGGAGCTCGTTCCAGGCTTGGGTGGTCGTCCCCACGTGCGTCGCGGGTGGGCTCCCCGGGTGGGATTTCGGGCTTCGCCGCACCGGATGGGCAGGTGGGTGGGGAGCGAGGAGGGTCGGCTTGCTTGCGCGCCTCCGCCGGCGACGGGTTCCCACGACGAGGCCTGCTCTTTCCCCCCAGCCCGGGGAAGGAGCCGAGCTACAAACAGGGCCCGTGTGCGCGCAGCAGAAGGACATGCTGGAGGTTCAAAGCCCAGGAGAGTTGAGATTTCTTTCCCCGGGGCGCTTGCTCGATGTAACGCTCTCCAGACTTGACCTACACGTGTAGGTCAAACCCCGGAATGCGGTGGTCGTGGGGTCTCTTTGGGGAGCACGGATGCGCCGCTTGGCGTGATGGGGGGAGTAATCCGTCTCTTTCCCCGCTTTAAGGCTTCCCACGCGTGTTTTTTCTTGGCTTTGCTTTTAACGCACGTGAAGGCGGAGCGGGGAACTTCTCGGAACGCGCAGGCGACGTGTTCAGGGGAGAAACTTGCATTTTAAATGCCCAGGGAGCTTTTTCCTATTGGAGGTGGCCGGCGAGGAAGAGCACCACGCAGCGCTCTTGTGCGCGCAGGTTTGGACCACGTGGAGGATGGTTTGATTGGCAGCTAGGAGTCCTTTACTGCAAATGCTCAAGGAGGTGTGGCAAAGGCTCGACTTTCCGATCCTTCGGGTTTTTGTTTTGCTTCCCTTTCTCACATGAGTAATACACAAGAGAAGAGTTCTCTATTTTTTGGTAGTATCTCATTTGGCAAAAGTGAGGCCAGGCTGATATCAGCCATGCGGCGTGACTTCTTGGAATCGGTGGCCGGTATCTAGAACTAGTGGCGCTCTTTAATCTCTTTAGTGTTTCTCAAACTTGGATCTCCAGCTGTTGTTGGACTACAACTCCCATCATACCAAGCTAGCAGGACCAAGTGGTCAGGGATGATGGGAGTTGTAGTCCAACAACCACTGGGGACCCCAGTTTAAGGTAAGGGTCCAGCAGCGCAGTTTAGTAGGACTGGGCAATAAATCGCCATACCATTGAGTACCGCTACTGAAATAACATTGTGATGAATGTTTGAACAAGGCAATATACCTGTGAACAAAAGGTGGACACTTGACAGCTTCCCAGGGGGTAGCTCTGCTGAACAGAATACTTTGCAGATAATTTGCAGGCATGGTGTCTTCAGCTATGTTTGCAATTTCCTTCATCTCTCCTAACTGCTAAGAAATGTTTCCACTTAAAGGTAAAGGGACCCCTGACCATTAGGTACAGTTGTGGCCGACTCTGGGGTTGCGGCGCTCATCTCGCTTTATTGGCCGAGGGAGCCAGCGTACAGCTTCCAGGTCATGTGGCCAGCATGGCTAAGCCACTTCTGGCGAACCAGAGCAGCGCATGGAAACGCCATTTACCTTCCCGCTGGAGCGGTACTTATTTATCTACTTGCACTTTGAGGTGCTTTCGAACTGCTAGGTTGGTAGGAGCAGGGACCGAGCAACGGGAGCTCACCCCGTCGCGGGGATTCGAACCGCCGACCTGAGGCAAGTCCTAGGCTCTGTGGTTTAACCCACAGCACCACCCATGTCGTTGGGACGCGGGTGGCGCTGTGGGTAAAACCTCAGTGCCTAGGACTTGCCGATCGTATGGTCGGCGGTTCGAATCCCCGCGGCGGGGTGAGCTCCCGTCTTTCGGTCCCAGCTCCTGCCCACCTAGCAGTTCGAAAGCACCTCTAAGTGCAAGTAGATAAATAGGTACCGCTTTCTAGCGGGAAGGTAAACGGTGTTTCAGTGTGCTGCGCTGGTGCTGGCTCGCCAGAGCAGCTTTGTCACGCTGGCCACGTGACCTGGAAGTGTCTCTGGACAGCGCTGGCCCCCGGCCTCTTGAGCGAGATGAGCGCGCAACCCTAGAGTCGGTCACGACTGGCCCGTACGGGCAGGGGTACCTTTACCTTTACCTTACCACCCATGTCACTTAGTGTGCCACTTAGAGCACAGCAATACAATACAATACAATACAGGAGGGACACCCCCCCCCCCCCACAGCTAGACAAAGAGGCAAAGTAAACAAAGAACTGGAAAACATTTCTTCCTTCACCCCTGAAAAAAAGAGGAGGAAGAGTTTTTATTTTCATTTTCTGGTGGTGTTTATGTTGTTGGTTCTCCCTAAATAGCTTTCCTCCATATCAGAAAGGAAGGGTTTGTTGTTTAAAGGAGACGATCTTTTTGCTTACTTGCCCTCCCTCCCTTTGATTAAAAATGGAGAGATTGGTGGGATCTGGGGTGGAGGGGGAAAGATATAGCTGGCTGCCTAATGCTGAAATGGGAGGCTGGGTACCATGTGAGAATGATGGGGAGGGTATAGAGACTAATACAAATTATCAGAAACAGGAACAGAGTTTTTTTAACAAGCCAATATTACTGATCAGTGACTACAGTATCATATGAGCACTGGTCCAGAGCGTATTTTCTACAGCGTTTGTATTTCCTTACATGTAAGATTGGCTCGTTAAGAAATTGAACTGCATCCTTCTCGTATTAATTCTTACAAGTCTGGCTGATGAAGAATTGATCAAGATTGGCTGATGAAGCATTGAACAAAACAGATTGGTTATCCAGAAACTCTGTTCCGGTGCTATTTGGTGACAGATTATGTATATATCAACCTTTTGAATTATTCTGTGGCAACTGGTGAAGAAGATTTAGAGACTTTGGCTGTAATTTCTGATCATTTGTATTAGTCTATAAATAGTGTTTAGTGCCATATCTTAACCTGCACAATTTCAGGAACCAAAATGCTTTCAGTGCGCAGCCTTAAGAAGAACAGTGAACAACGCTATAGTTAATTGTTGCAGCTTGCTTTCACTTACCATACTTTTCCGTGTATAAAGGTAAAAGGACCCCTGACCATTAGGTCCAGTTGCGGACGACTCTGGGGTTGCGGTGCTCATCTCGCTTTATTGGCCAAGGGAGCCGGCGTATAGCTTCCGGGTCATGTGGCCAGCATGACTAAGCCACTTCTGGCGAACCAGAGCAGTGCACGGAAACGCTGTTTACCTTCCCGCCGGAGTGGTACCTATTTATCTACTTGCACTTTGATGTGTTTTTGAACTGCTAGGTTGGCAGGAGCAGGGACCGAGCAACAGGAGCTCACCCCATCGCGGGGATTCGAACTGCTGACCTTCTGATTGGCAAGTCCTAGGCTCTGTGGTTTAACCCACAGCGCCACCCGCGTTCCTTCCGTGTATAAGACACCCCGTATTTTGGGTGGCTCAAATTTAAGAAAATGGGGGGAGATGTTGAGCTTTTTTGCGAAGGATTGCTCAGAGTTGTGGAGCTTTATTGGGGTGGGGGATTACGCTGGGTTGTTCAGCTTTTTTAAGGGGAGGTTGCCAAAAATTGCTCACCTGCACACGTAGCAAAACCCGACTCTTGTCTGTCCCTTTGCCGGCAGAAGCTGACAATAGCCCGCCCAATTGGCGCAGCGTCAGCCAGTCAACACCACCCATTGACGCATCAACCAATAACACTCACAATAGCTGCTGACAGCCGCGGCAGCAACCAATCAAACGTCCACCCTATGCACTACCCAGGTATAAGACAAACCCCATTTTTTAGCATGATTTTTACATAATAAAACTTAGTCTTATACACGCAAAAGTATGGTACCTCACCCCGCTGCCCTCCTCATAGTTGTGAAGGACGTTCTCATGTTATGAATGATCTGTGTCACCATTCAGAAAAAGAAGTCAGGATATATGTGGACTGTCCCTTGATAAAGTGACTTTTCTTCTTTTAAGTTCTCAAATTTCTTAACCCAGCTCAAGCTTGTCAGCAGAACTTGCCAGGTGTTTTAACCGATAATCAGTCACCACCAGTCCATCCTTTGAAAATAATAATTTAGAGTTGTCTTGCTCCAAAATGGCAACTAGACATTCTGTTTCGGTGACTAATCTTGGTTAAAGGAGCTGTTTGGTGTCTAGCTTATACACCTGCGTTTCTAACAGGGGCTCATGGTCCTCTGCTGCCCAAAGGGCAGGGCAGGGCCGGCCCACCCGTAAGACAAGTGGAAGCGATCACCTCAGGTGGTAGGTTCCAAGGTAGATACCGTAATTTTTCGCTCTATAAGACGCACTCCCCCCCCCCCCCCCCGCAAAAATTAAGGGGAAATGTGTCTGCGTCTTATGGAGCGAATGCAGGCTCCATGGCTTCAGCGATAGCAACGCAAAGCCTCCGAAGCGCAGTGGGAGCGCTTCCGCCGCGCTCCGGAGGCTTCGCGTTGCTATCGCTGAAGCCTGGAGAGCAAGAGGGGTCAGTGCGCACTGATCCCTCTTGCTCTCTTGGCTTTGCTCCGCTGGAGAGGTGCTGCGCAGAGAGGGAGAGGATTTTGTTTTCTTGTTCTCCCCCTCTAAAACAGGGTGCATCCTATAGAGCGAAAAATAAGGTATTTATTGTCCCCCTTGATCCTGATGTCGATCTTCACCCACTCCTACTTCCCTGGCTGGGAGGGGGACTCCATTCTGCAGCTCGCCTCAAATGGCAAAATATATTGGGCCGGCCCTGCCAATGGGTAACGGATAGCGCTATTTCTTCTTTTCATTAGGCACTGTGGGGAGATGCTGGGTGTCCTGAACCTGTGGCAGGAGGTGGCTCAAATCTGAAATGTGGGGCGTATGTTTTTTTAGACTTGCTTGGAAATCAATATACATTTACAACAGCGTTCGAAATTTGCCAGGTGCATTTTGCACCCGGTCATTGGCCACTTGCGACCAAGTGAAGATGCCTGGGCGTCAGGATGGCGCCTGATGTTTCCTCCTTCTGGCCTGGGAACCCTTGGGTCTTGCCTGTTTTCACATACTAGCAACACATCCTGTAGAATTCAACCTGTGATGTTTTATCTTCACAATCAAGTTCAATTTCAGGAAGGCAACTAGGCATTTTGTTTTGGTGACTGTCAGGGTGGATTTGATTTAAATCAGATCGATTTAAATCACTAGTCATTAAGACTTGATTTAAATCATTTATTTTTTTTTACAGAAATATTCATTCTTGCTGGTATAATCTTAATATTTACAACCAGATAAAGCTTTCATTTTTGGAATAAAAATTTTTCAGTGTAGTTTTTACAGTTATATCAAAAATTATTGATTTGGTTATACTATTAGAAATAAAAAAGACAGGTAATTATGAAATTATTGTTTATATTTGGACAACTTTTCTGCTGTACTTTATTGGAAGGAGAAAAATAATCATTTCCTTAATAATTTAAACAATTTATTTAACTAACACAATAACATTATAGCATACGTAGCCATGTTAACTGATGTGGTTAAACAATTAAAAAAAAACTTAGAGTTTTAAGACACTTGAAAAACTTAAAACAAATCCTTATTTCCTGATGAATAGCCTTTGGACTATAATGTAACTTAAATAGAAAACGATCTTTAGAATTTTTTTTCGTCCAGATGCATTTAAATAAAAAAAAAATCTAATTTAAATTGAAAAATTCCGTTTTTTTAAAAAAAAATTAAAAATCTTTGATTTTTATCCACCCTGGTGACTGTAATCCCATTTGCTGCCTAGTTTATATCTCTGTGTTTCTAACACAGATTTAAAAGAAGAATATTCTATAATAATAGAGGCAATTGCTGGTAAAGTGGGGTCTAAGCCATTTAAATGAGCCCTAGTGCTTAAATGATTTGTAATGCTCTGATTACAGGTGGCGAAAATGGCCGAAAATGGAGACAGCGAAAACATGTCTGACTTGGAAAGGAAGGTCTGCCAACAGATTGAGGTACGAATATTGAGACTAGCATAGCATTAATGCAAAACGCCCATTATAAACTTTGTGTAGCTGTCTTGGTTGAGTACTTAAAATGAGGATTCCTCACAGCTTAGAACTGTTTTATTCCTGGTATCAGCCTGATGTTTTGGAATAGGACTCGTCATCTGCACAGCTTTGCTGGCCGATTGCTGATAAAGTACAATACTTCTTAAGCTGAACAGACTTTTGTAAAAACAAATATTAAAAACAGGCTTGAAAAGTCAGGCAAGGAGCTATAAAGGGTTCTGCAGCTGCAGAAATTCTCCGTTTGTTCTGATGACGCATGAGACGAGACGCAGTTCAGGAGACTGAGATGCAGTCCAGAATTGAATTGTCAGAACAATTTTAAGCATCCACAAATTGTGACCAGTGTCACAATTACCTTGGGGGGGGGTTAACTCAATAATGTAGCTTCATCTGTGCTGATATTTTTCATACATCAAGCTTCTGGCAAGCAATTTGTAATACAGTGGTGCCTCGCAAGACGAAAAGAATCCGTTCCGCGAGTCTCTTCGTCTTGCGGTTTGTCTTGCGAAGCAAGCCCATTAGCGGTTTAGGGGATTAGCGCTATTAGCGGCTTAGCGGGCTTAGCGGATCAGCTGATAAGCGGCTTAGTGGCTTAACGGATCAGCTGTTAAGCGGCTTAGCGGATCAGCTGATAAGCGGCTTAGTGGCTTAGCGGATCAGCTGTTAAGCGGCTTAGCGGATCAGCTGATAAGTGACTTAGCAATCAGCTGCTTAGCGGATTAGCTGATAAGCGGTTTAGTGGCTTGGGGAAAGGGGGGGGAGGAAAAAAAACCCCGCAGGAACTCGCAATACATTTTCGTCTTGCGAAGCAAGCCCATAGGAAATTCGTTTTGCGAAGCACCTCCAAAACGGAAAACCCTTTCGTCTAGCGGGTTTTCCGTCTTGCGAGGCATTCGTCTTGTGGGGCACCACTGTATAAAACCATTGAGGGAACGACGTTAAGGCATTTTAAAATATTGAACAGAAACCTGGACGTTTTTCATCTGGCGCTCAGAAATGTGTGCCGTAAATTCCGATGACGCTCTGAAGAAAGGCTTCTGGAAGCTCCCGTGCATGGAAACTGATTTCTTGGTGCTAAATGAAGCAGTAGGTTGTGCTTGGCTTCTAATATTTGCGTTGCTCTTCGTACTTGCGTCATAGTACTATTTTGGCGACCACAACTTGCCACGGGACAAGTTCCTCCAGGAGAAGATCAAGCTAGACGATGGCTGGGTGACTTTGGAAACGTTAATCAAATTCAACAGGTAAATCTATGGGTGCTTATTCAAAGTTAACTTAAAGGAAGGGGAAGTGGTGACGGGGTTTTTTGTTGAGTCCTATGAGTCCTGCCAGGGGCGTGGGTGGCGCTGTGGGTTAAACCACAGAGCCTAGGACTTGCTGATCAAAATGTTGGTGGTTCGAATCCCCGCGATGGGGTGAGCTCCCGTTGCTCGGTCCCTGCTCCTGCCAACCTAGCAGTTCGAAAGCACCTCAAAGTGAAAGTAGATAAATAGGTACCGCTCTGGCGGGAAGGTAAACGGCGTTTCTGTGTGCTGCTCTGGTTCGCCAGAAGCGGCTTAGTCATGCTGGCCACATGACCCGGAAGCTGTACGCCGGCTCCCTCGGCCAGTAAAGCGAGATGAGTGCTGCAACCCCAGAGTTGGTCATGACTGGACCTAATGGTCAGGGGTCCCTTTACTTTTACCTTTATGAGTCCTGCCTCCCTCATCTTCTCCCCTGTGCTGCATCCCATGTTGTCCAGCAAGGCTTTAAGGCAGACCTCTTCAACCTCGGCCCTCCAGATGTTTTGAGACTACAATTCCCATCATCCCTGACCACTGGTACTGCGAGCTAGGGATCATGGGAGTTGTAGGCCAAAAACATCTGGAGCACCCTTTCTCAACCTGTGGGTCCCCAGACGTTGTTGGACTACAACTCCCATCACCCCTAGCTAGCAAGGCCAGAGCTCAGGGATGATGGGAGTTGTAGTCCAACAACGTCTGGGGACCCACAGGTTGAGAACGGCTGATCTGGAGGGCCGAGGTTGAGGAAGCCTGCTTTAAGCGGTTGTAGGTGAGGAGAAAACTATAGGTTGAGGAGTAAAACTATTTCTATGAGCTTCTTACATAACCTTACTACGGCATCCAAGCCAGTATGTTCAGTAGAACGTAATGGTTTCAGTTTTAAGGATTTGTGCAGCCTTCATGTTATCTGAATGCAATGCAAGCAATATTTTATATTTTTTATGAATTTAGTACAAATCCAATAAAAGCCACATTATCACAGTACCCAATCACAATCCAATTAAAAACAGAGCCGATTATTCAAAACCCGAATTAACAATTTGAGGTGACTTCTGTGCACTGGGTTTCAGGATACGAGGTTCTTATTTCTTCCTGCTTTCATAATCTTCATTAATCCATTTACCGCAGTTCCGATCTTAATCTTTTGTTTAACAGCCACTGGTTTCTTGACTTTCATTTGTAGTTGCAAATTTATTAACTTTCGTTTCTGCAAAAGGAGTTTGTGTCCAATAAATTTCCTGTGTGAGATACTCATTTTCCCTCTATTTCTTCATTTTTCCTGATGTAATCCAATCATAAAGGGCACCTATGCTTCCACATTTTCGCTCAGGTTGTATTTAGAGGAGACTTAATATAATTGATCTTTTTTTAAAAAAAAAAAAAAGACGAAAACAAATAACCTCTTTTTACCCACCTTTCTATCTTCCTTCCTAGGTTAAATCGCCTCACAAAAGACTTTGATGTAATAGTGGGGGCGTTGAAAAAATCAACGACTGAGCTGATGGAAATTAGCGAAGACAAAGCTAAAGTCCGAAGATCTCCAAACAAACCTTTGCCGGAAGTGACGGAGCAATATAAGAACGCGGTTAAAAGCAGATCTGTGTATATTGTAAGTGGGAACGATAATGTGTTTTAATGCACCTGGATTTCAAACGTTTTAGTTTGGGGGACCCCAGTCCTGTATGAAAATTTCTTTGCCATTACCGAGGACACCCTGAGTGTTGCAAAGGATTCTGGGAAGCATATTGTAGGCCCTGGGCTTCACTAGGCTCAGTGAATTGAAAATGCACTCTTCCCCAGGGAAGATCTACAGTGGTACCTTGATTGTCAAGCTTAATCTCTTCTGGAAGTTCATTCAAAAACCAAAGCGTTCCAAAACCAAGGCGCACTTTCTCATAGAAAGTAATGCAAAATGGATTAATCCGTTCGAGATTTCTAAAAACAACCCTTGAAACAGCAATTTAACATGAATTTTACTATTTTAACGAGACCACTGATCCATAAAACGAAAGCAATAAACAGTGTACTGCAGTCACACAATCAAGCCATCAGTAGCTGAACTGGGTTCCACACAGTCAGAAAAACAAAACAAAAGGAGCCGCAAAAATGCAAAATAAATAGCACAAACAGACAGACCTCAGCTTAACACTCAAAATGGAAGTGTGGCACTCAAGTCAGAAGCGTAACACTCAAAACGGAGCACATTCAGCTTCCGAAAAAAGTTCTCAAACCGGAACACTTACTTCCGGGTTTGCAATGTTTGGGTTCCAAGTTGTTTGAGTACCAAGGCGTTTGAGAACCAAGGTACCACTGTACTATGAAAATGATGAAGCTGAGCCTTCAGGGCCCCTAATCCCAGAGGAGCCTCAGAAACGACTTTAGCCCACAATGCTTAAAAAAAGCTGGGTCTAGTCAACGCAAGCTGAGTCGCACGACTCAAATTGATTATTTTTTGGTTGTATATATTTCAGGGTGGATTTGATTTACATCACATAAATTTAAATCATTTTTTTTTTTTTTTTACAGAAAGACTCATTCTTTCTGGTATAATCTTAATATTTACAACCAAATGAAGTTTTCATTTTTGGAATAATAAATTTTCAGAGTAGTTTTTGCAGTTGTATCAAAAATGGCTGATTTGGTTATACTATTAGAAATACAGAGATTATTGTGAGGTTTAATAAGTTAACTGTTTATATTTGGACAGCTGTTCTGCTGTACTTTATTGGAAGGAGAAAAATAATCATTTCCTTAATAACGATTTAAACAATTTATTTAACTAAAACAATAACATGTTTGTTAACTGATGTGGTTAAACATTAAAAAAACACACACCTTAGACTGAGTTTTAGCACACAGGAAAAACTTAAAACAAATCCTTATTTCTTGATGAATAGTCTTTGGACTGCAATGTAACTTAAATAGAAAACGATATTTAGAAAGATTTCCCCCCGAAAAGCATTTTATTTTAAAAATCCGATTTGAATTAAAAAAAACCTCTGATTTAAATAAAAAAATCAGTTTTTTATTTTTTTAAAAATCATTGATTTTTATCCATTGTGCCCCATATTATGTTGCCTGGTAATGAGCAGTTCAGCTTAAGTTGGCTAATTCTGCTTGACATTCAATTTTTGCTCGTCGTGAGGGAGGCTCTCAAATATCGTTCTTTACTGCTACCCATCCTGCTTATGGGTATTGTTCACAAACAAGACTACGCCCGTGTAAATACCCTAAACGTCCCCATATAGGTGTTTGCATAAATGTGTCTCTGAATATGAAGTCACTGACCGAATCCTCGATTTTCAGAAAGGTTTTCCACAGGATGCAACCCTTGATGATATCAAGGAATGGCTAGACTGTAAAGGAAAAGTTGAAAACATTCAGATGCGGAAAACCATTCAGAAAATGTTCAAGGTAACTCCTTTTCCTCAAAGCTCTTTTCAATTATTATTTTTTCCTGTGGGAATATTCCACCGATCTAAATTAAAACACCCTCCTTTCTTACCTCCTTCAGGGATCAGTATTTGCAGTTTTTGACAGCGTCGAATCTGCCAAACAGTTCGTTGAAACTCCAAACCAAAAATACAAGGACACGGAGCTTATTGTACTTTTCAGGTGAGTTATGTACTTGATATCGTAATGCTTTGGACTTATAGATTGTTACTAGTCACCCAGTGTGTTACTATTAGTATTCAAAGCCCTTAACAACATGGGACCAGTTTACCTGCAAGATCGCCTTGCCCATATATGCCCACTTGACCTCTTTGATTTGCGGAGCTGTCGCAGAATACCTGATCCACATTTGTCAAAAATTGGATCTCTTAGTGTAATGGCATCTAAACTTTAGAACTCCTTACCTGTTGACACCAGGCAGGCCTTTTCACTGTACCCATTTTGGCGCCTGCTAAAAACACTCTTGTTTATACGAGCTTATCCAGGTATGTAGAGTATTGCAAGTTTTAATCTGTTTTTAGTTTATTGCTGATTTTATTTTTATTAAAAATAAAAACTTTAAATGGTTGTACTTAACCAATTTATTGGTTTTATTCTTTTTGCAAACTGCAAACTACTGAGAGCCAGCAGACAGCAAAATACATTAGTATCAGAAGAGAGCAGCAAAAGAGTCAGATAGGAAGATGATTGCGTGACTGGCCTTTTACAGGCACTCACAGAGTCATGCCCATCTACCTGGTCACACTCGGGGATGATGCTCTAGACAGGTGTGACAGGAAGTCCTCCTGGCTGGAGTAACACCCACCCCTGTCTGTGTCCACTCTGGGCAAACAGGAAGTGTTGTACTTGACTGCTTATGTTACATCCCACACCAAGTTGTAAAGGCAAGCTTTGAGAGCCTTGGCGAAGGAGCCTACGATCAAGGCTGGAGTGGACCTTTGCTTGTAAGTCTCTTGGCAGACGCTTTTGGGTGTGCTGCGCTCTAGTCCATTACACCAAGTGCTAGAAAATGGGTCTAGGGGGGTCTTCTGCCTTGCTCTGCCTGCCTGCCCTCTAGCATCATAGAATCGTAGAACTGGGAGGAATCTTAGCTATAAAGCATCTATGACAGATGGCCATCCAACCCTCCAAGGAAGGAGAGTCCACAACCTCCCGATGGAGATCTTTCCACTGGCAATGGTAGCGATTTCTTGCAGTCTGAGGAACAAAGCACAGTGGGGAGAAGAGTCTCATCGTGCTTTGAGGGGGAAACAGATGGCCAGTTTTAATAAGAGCTGATTATTTTTTTCTTGAACCAAAGCCAGTTTTTCTGTCAATGCTAATTGGTCACCATTGTCTATAGCAGTACCAAGGCAGCGATTAGCTTGCTTCAAAGAACAGCCAGGCATCTTAAGGGTGGCTTTCATATTCCTTTCCGTTGCACAGAGTACCCCTAAATTGGCTCGCTTAATTGAATTATATATTCCGTGCAGGGATGATTACTTTGCGAAGAAGAATGACGAGAAAAAAAGGAACAGATTGGAAGCGAAAGCAAAGGCCAAGCAGTAAGCGGAGACTTTTTAACCTCACAATTATCATCTCCTCTTTGTTTGCCAGCAGTGCGCTCTGCTTAACTTCACAACCCTTTTTCTTATTTTTTTTCGTCACAGGGAGAAAGAGGAGAAACAGAAGCAAGCGGAAGATGCGGAAATGGTACATGCTCCTTGATTTCACTGACAAAACTGTGTAATCCACAGTGCCTCTGTTTCCCCTGTGTAATTTAGAAGGATAAGGTGGAAGAATAAAGACTTGGAAAGCAATTAGCTAAGACCAGCTTGAGTCTTCTCTCCTGGACCTGATAAGAACAATAAAACAAACAGGAAATTTCCCCCTGGGTTCTCCAAAACACACGACGCTGTTTAGTAATTAAAGGTAAAGGGACCCCTGACCATTAGGTCCAGTCGTGGCCGACTCTGGGATTGCGGTGCTCATCTCGCTTTACTGGCCGAGGGAGCCGGCGTACAGCTTCCGGGTCATGTGGCCAGCATGACTAAGCCGCTTCTGGAGAACCAGAGCAGCGCACGGAAACGCCGTTTACCTTCCTGCCGGAGTGGTACCTATTTATCTACTTGCACTTTGACGTGCTTTTGAACTGCTAGGTTGGCAGGAGCAGGGACCGAGCAACGGGAGCTCACCCCGTACGCACTTGATTTCTTACATATACTGGGACTGAGCCAGTAGTCGGCCCCAACGTCCGTTTTCAGTGCGAAGGCTCAATCCTAGAGCATATGAAGTAAGTAGGAAATGCCCCTGAGAAGGTACAGAGTGCATTTTTATCCCAGATATGAGTAACTGGCTGTGGACTGGGACTAGCTGTAAGGAGGGTTTGCACAGGAACCTGAACCTTGACAACATTTCTTCTGCTGATAATTCCCTGTACGGGACAGCTGCATATGCCTTCATTGCAGAGGGTTGGACTAGATGATTCTCAGGGTCCCTTCCAACTCTACAGTTCTCTGATTCTTCTAGAAATTAAATCCGGAGTGCCTCATTTATAAGGGCTGTTTGCCTAGTGCTGCTGGAGATACAGGAGACCTAGAAAGCAGTTCTGCTCCTTTTTATGTCATTAGGTCAGCCTTGTATTTAACACCTTGCGGGGTAGACAAAAATCACCTGGAATTTCATTCCGACAAAGGGGCTGGCTGGAGGAGAAAGGGCCTTCTCTTTCAGTCCACTTGGTAGAAGGGTTTTTTTTTTTAATTTAAAAAGGTAGTCAGCATTTTCATGCTAGTCGCAAACTTAATCAGCCAAGGCTCCATTTAGGCCATACAGTGGAAAAGGCTGTTCTGACCCAGATGGGAGAGAATTGAGGTTTGTAAGAGTTGTGTGGATAAGGCTAAAGGCAACGGTACTGTTTGGTTTCAAGCTTCTTCCAAAATAGTCTTTCGGAGACTTAAAACTCAATTGCCAAAGTGCATCTGGGATTGTAATACCCCCTTTTATTAATTTTCAATTGCAAACCAATAATAGCCTCATTATAACAATGCCAAATTATAATACAATGAATAATAACAATCATTGAGATGCCAAATTATACAATTTAGATGGCCCTCTACGTGCTAGAATTGGTTTAGTGATTTACTTTGTTTCTGTGCTCCAGAATCTTACAAATTTCAATTACGCTCCAATCAGACTGGAGTGTAATAGTCCTCCTCCTGCCAGTGTCCTGTGCTAAAGTAGTTTTCCTGGAAGAAGGAGCCCCCCCCCCCAAATTCCAGATTTAATGTGATCATGGGTACCTTTGTGTTACATGGGTTGTGGGGGGGGGAGATGAGCAATGCCAAATAAATTCACATTCTTGAAGTTGTGGTTGGAAGACTTTGAGCGTACAGTGGTGCCTCGCAAGACGAAATTAATCCGTTCCGCGAGAGTCTTCGTCTAGCGGTTTTTTCGTCTTGCGAAGCAAGCCCATTGACAGATTAGCGCTATTAGCGCTATTAGCGGTTTAGCGGCTATTAAAGGCTTAAAGGCTTAGGGGATTAGCTGCTAAAAGGCTATTAAAGGCTATTAAAGGCTTAGCAGATTAGATAAAGGGGGGGGGGAAGCGAAAAAAAATCTCAAGACTCGCAAGGTATTTTCGTCTTGCGAAGCCAGCCCATAGGGGAATTTGTCCTGCGAAGCAACTTCAAAACGGAAAACCCTTTCGTCTAGCGGTTTTTCCGTCTTGCGAGGCATTCGTCTTGCGGGGCACCACTGTATTGGTTTTGTGATGGTACCACCATATACTGCAGGAAGGTGTGATCAAGGGTACTCTTGTCTTAACCGAGGTTAGATCGCTGGAGCATGCTTGGGAAACTGAACCTTAGAGTAAAGCAGCACATAGCTTGAAGCATGCAACTCAAAATGCGACGGCTATCACGAGCCACCAGCAGCCCTATGCAGCCAACAGCACTGAAGGAATGTCCCAATTCAGGCATTCTCTTTCATGACATCATAATCACATGGTGGAAGGGGGTGGAGCTGTGTTGGTTGGGGAATGGGTCCTCCCAAAGTGTGGATGGCGGTGGGGGGGGGGTGCAGGGCCATGGAGCCAGCTGAGGAGTGTGGAGGTACAGTGCTGTGGCCCCCCACCCTTCCGCCTTGTGATTATGGTAGCATGAGAATCTCTGAATGGGGCCATTTTAACAGCCAGGAACTTGGGAACTCGCCAATGGTCTTATCTACAAGCTTGATCCTCCACCCATCCACCTTGGAACGTTCCAAGTTTGTGTACATCTCATTGCCCAAGTGCTGGGAAGCTTTAAAACCCATCTCTTGCTTGAAGTCTTGTTCAATCCTGCTGGGGTATAAATGTCTGTCCTGTCTAATGGAATCTTTTCCCTCCCCTTTTGTAAATGAAAGAAATCTCTGGAGGAGAAGCAAGGCTGCTTGCTGAAGTTCTTTGGAGACCTGGAAGATCAGACTTGCCGAGAAGACCTCCATGCCCTCTTTTCTGGCCATGGCGAAATTAAATGGATAGACTTTGTCAGAGGTGCCAAAGAGGTCAGACCCGGGGCGCTGATGCAACAAAATGGGGCACTGTTTTCAGGTTTTGCTGCGCTCGCTGCCCGATACGACGGTGGTTCTCTTCGAAACGTATACACCAGGGACGTCCAACTCCCCAGAGACTGCGATCTACTCACAGAATAAAAATCTGGCAGTGATCCAGCCCTTCAGGTCAAAGTTGTGGAGCTTTTCTTAGGGAGGAAAGACAAAGTTGTGGAGCTTTTTTTAAGAGGGGGAGGTAAAAAAATGTTGAGCTTTCTTTAGGGGAGAAAGGAAAAAGTCGCTCACCAAAAGATTGCTCAGTAAACAATCAGCCTCACAGCAAAAACTCCGTCTTCCATTCTAGCGATCATGCGCAAATGGAAGAGGGGGCGAGGCCAGCTGCTTTTTTCCCCCAGCAAAGGAAAACAAGCCAGCAATCAACTGCAGTCGACCTTAACCTCCCAGGGATCGACCAGTAGATCGCAGTCGATCGGTTGGACATCCCTGGTATATACAATCTATTACTGAAAATCAGAATGGAAAACTTGGCAGAAACGTTTGATTCCTCCTATCCAAGGCGCACTTGTAAAAACAGGAAGCATAAATTTCATTCTCGTTTGCTAGACAGAATGCTGTGATTACTTCGCTGTATTCTTCTAAGCGGCAAATTAATAGGTAGAGGTAAAACTCTGCATTGTGGTGAATAACTAACAATGGGTTTCAACCCTAGGAGACCTGTGGCCTGCCTTAAAATGTTCTGCACTCCCGCCAGCCCCAGCTGGTGGTCACAAGTGATGGAGGTTGTAGTCCGAACAGCACCTAAAGGGTGTCTGCTTTTCCCATCCCTCCCTTAAACAAATTGGGTGGTATTTCAACTAAGATTTACTCAGAGTACACCCATTGAAATTAATGAGCGTGACCAAGTTAGGTCCATAAATTTCAATGGTTCAACTCTTGAGTAATACCTCCCACAGATTTGCCACACGAGCGATGTCCCAGGAACCAGAGCTAGTATAAAACACCCCAGGAAACTCTGGCAGCTACTAGCTGAAGGAGCCACAGCTAGCTTTGGAAGGACTGCTTTATGCTCATAAGCTACTGGAACTGGTCGATTCCCCTCTGTAGTCTGCTATAGCATCTTCGCCTGGGAAAGAGAGAATAGCTAAAGGGCAGAGTTGTGGGTAGTGACCCATGTGCTGCTTTAGGAACATAGAAAGCAGTATTGTCTCTATTGACCGGTAGCAGTTATCTGGGATTTCAGACAGAAATGTCTCCCAGGCCTAGCTGGAGATGGCAGGGATTAAACCTGGGACCTTCTGTGGGCAAAATCGATGCTCCAGCACCAAGCCACTGTTCTTTGGGTCATAAGTTTATCCTGTCCGGCTTAGGCCTCAAATGAAAAGAACAGCAACTAATGCCAGTACAGTCGTACCTTGGAAGTCGAGCACCTTTGAACTTGAATGTTCCGGCTCCCAAAGGATTGAAAACCAGAAGTGATTGTTCCAGTTTTCGAACGATTTTCGGAAGCCAAATGTCCGGCGCGGCTTCCGATTGGCTGCAGGAAGCTCCTGCAGCCAATCGGAAGCCACGCCTTGGTTTTCGAACTGTTCTGGGAGTCAAACGGACTCCTGGAACGGATTAAATTAAAAAACCAAGGTACGACTGTGGTACCTTGTTATGTACTTAATTTGTTCCAGAGGTCTGTTCTTAACCTGAAACCGTTCTTAACCTGAGGTACTTTAGCTTAATGGGGCCTGCTGCACCACTAGCATTCAATTTCAGTTCTCATGCTGAGGTAAAGTTCTTAACCCGAGGTACTACTTCCTTGTTAGCAGAGTTTGTAACCCAAGGTGTTTGTAACCCGAGGCACCACTGTAGTAGCTTATCTCAATTTTTCACAATAATAAACACATGCTTTTTCATAAAAGCACGAGTTTTACGCCAGGTGCATAATGACTTTCAGATATGGAGACACCGATGAGCACAATATAAAACAGAGTAAAACTGTAATGTAATACAGTGCTACCTCAGGTTACATACGCTTCAGGTTACAGACTCCACTCACCCAGAAATGGTGCTTCAGGTTAAGAACTTTGCTTCAGGATGAGAACAGAAATCGTGCTCCGGCGGCAGCAGGAGGCCCCATTAGCTAAAGTGGTGCTTCAGGTTAAGAACAGTTTCAGGTTAAGTACGGACCTCCGGAACAAATTAAGTACTTAACCTGAGGCACCACTGTAATTATATAAGTACCTAATACCACTTAACCTCTGTCCGAGTTGTATTGCATGTGGCCAATACAGACCTAATACCTCAAATACCGCTTGTGTTTGTGCACACCTATACGATGTCAGGATTTATTTGTATAGTTGTTCAAGGCTTTGACCTTTTTAAAAGAGCTATGGTCTTGTATCTGTGCACTGTGTTCGTGCCACACCCCAGTAGAACCATTCTTGCATCGGCTACTACGTGCACACACACGTTATATGCCACCACATGCCCCGATATCTGTGAGCTCTCGTGATAGATGAGTCTGCGCATGGTGTGAATTTGGTGCTTTTCCGAAGAAGTGCATGACATGCCAGCTATGTTGCTGCAGCGCTAAAAACGAAATAGGAGTACTTAACAGTGGGCTGCCTTAAGAGGGCTCAGATGAGTGATCAGTTATGTTCCTGGGCAACTGGTGTCAAATACAGTCATACCTCATGTTAGGGCCACTTCAGGTTACGTGTTTTTGGGTTGTGGACCACGAGAAACCTGGAAGTACCGGAATAGGTTACTTTCGGGTTTCACCGCTCACGCATGTGCAGAAGCGCCAAATCGCACCTGCGCAGATGCAGCGCTTCAGGATGCGAACGCTGCGGGTTGCAGACGTGCCTCCATCACGGATTATATCCGCAACCTGGGGTTCTACTGTAAACTGTTCCAACAAACCTAGTTTAGGCCGGGGTCTCGTGGGAGTGCTTGGCCTGCGTGGTCCTTACCGCTGCATCCGTTACGACTCGGCGGCAAATTTTAGCTATCGAATCGCCACCTTGTCTGTCTCTTCTGACCGCAGGGAAGCCATAGAAAGAAAATGTCTGAGCGAACGGTTGTGTATTGAGATAACAAACTTGCGTTTCTGCACACAGGGAATCATCCTGTTCAAGAGCAGCGCCAAAGAAGCGCTGGATAAAGCCCAGGCGGCAAATGACGGGAGCCTGCAGCTGCGAGGCAGAGAGGTGACGTGGGACGTGCTGGAAGGAGACGTGGCGAGAGAAGCGCTCAAGAAAATCATGGAGGGGCAGCAAGAACTGTTGAACAAAAAGAAAGGAAAAGGTGACGTTTTGCCTTGATTTTGTCTTCTTCTTTCATTTAGTTTACCTTCTTGGAAGCCTTATTATGTGGATAGCCGGTGTTGAGCAAAGCAGTGGGCTGCTCTTCTCAAGTAGGGTCCTGGTCTGGGGATCTGCAGAGCAAACGTTTCTAGACTCTTCGGTAGCTCACAGAAGCTATGTAAGGACACAAAGATGAGTCTGGCTGGATCAGACCAGGGAGCTATCTTGTCCGGAAATGGTTTAATGCAGTGGTGGACCAGTTGCCTTTGGGAAACCTGCAAGCCAGACATGAGGCCTAGGCCAGTGCCAGAATAGCTCACTTGGTAGAGCATGACTCTCTTGATCTCAGGGTTGTGTGTTTGAGCTTCATGTTGAGCAAAGCATACCTGCATTGCAATGGGTTGGTCTAGGTGACTCCTGTGGTCCCGATTCTAGGAATGCTGGAAGAGCAGCAGTGGGGGTGGGGCTTTGGAGGGGACTGCAAAACTGGTGGTGAACTGGACTGTGCAGCAGAGGGGAAAGCCTATGAAATAAGATCATGCTGGGGCAGTGAGAGCGCGCTGGGGATGTAATCCGAATTCTGCAACTGATTCGCACACCTCATTGCTCGTGGTTGGATGGGCAGACTAACTCTCAGCACCGTGCGTGGAGGGGATGCACGAGTTCTGCTGGCGGGGTTTGATCTATGAAGGCTTACCCGCACATACCGGCAAAATGCTTGGGGAGCGCTGCACATGAATATGCTTTGTAGAAGGGTCCAGGGTTCAAGTTCTGGGCAAGGCAGGGCAAAAGTGGAAAACCGCTGCCTGTCAACATTTGGCTTAGATAGTTGAGGTTGCAGTTTTCTTATCCTCTTGAGATGCGTTGCAGGAAGCCCCTAAAGCTGAATATTAAGCGGCCTAAGACGTGCCTATTCTTGCCTAACAGGCCGCAAAGGTAAAGGAAAAGGTGGCAAGGGACCTCAAGGTGCGCAGGACAGGAAAGTGAAATTCCAAGGCAAGAAAACGAAGTTTGAGAGTGAAGATGAAGAAGAGGGGGAAGACGAAAGTGCGACAGGTGAGCGCTTTTCTTTATTAGAACAAGATTCTGAATGCATGCATTGGGTTTAGTATCACATCCTCTTAATACTGGCTGGGGTTTTTCCTGGTATCAAATGCAGCTTCCCACTGCAGAATAAAAGGGCTAGGTAAGGAATAAGCCTCAGCAACTCAAGTCTCACATACTTTAGGTTGAATGTCTTTGCAGAATGGTTTACCCGGAACAGGCAAAAATAGTGCTGTGCAACAGAGGCTCCAGCCAACCTGATCTTTCAAGGAGCCTTGGCAGGGCAAGTAATAAAAAGGCGGTGTTAATCTCCACGAAAAAGCCAGAAGGCCAGTAAGATTGGTTGGCAACTCATAGCTCAACGCCAAAATACATTCCCAGCACACTGAGCTGTGTTTACCATCCAGCTTGTTCAGGCTTTTGCTGCTGGGGGGAAATGGCTGATCAGTCAAAATAGGCTCGGAGGCCTCTGTTACTTCAAAATAGTCACTTTACAGCTGAATCTGTTTCACCTTGAACAGCTTCAGGTCCAAGGGGAGAATGGCTGTCTGAGGGTCACAAGCATTCCTCGATATTCTTCCATCCAAATACGTAGCGTAAGCATTTGATGTTGTTCTGAGAGAGGCACCAAGGACGGTTGCACAAAAAGTTTCAGTAATACTTGCTTTATTGGCAGAGGTATGGATCTGGCTGTTTCATAGATCAAATACTGAGTTAACTCTTGGACGTTTTTAGGGGCGGCGAGTCCAAAGAAAAGACCACTGGAAGAGGCTGAGAAGGAAGAGCCTGCCCGCAAACAGCTGAAGACAGAAAATGGAGCTGGAGATACAGAATAGTACTCCAAAAAAAGCATTGAGGGTTTTGCTTTAAAGAAACAAATGATTTGTTTTCAATCATTCCTCCGTTCATCCTGTTTTCTGCAAGAGAATCTAATAAAATCGACTTCGATGTCCACCTGCAAAAAGGGGATAGAAGAAAGAGTTACATTTCACGTTATTTCTTTGGGATTTTTTCTTTTTAAAAAACATACCCTTTTATAATAGCTATTTGAGTGAAATCGAACTGTGTTGTCCCTCTTAACATAAATGGGACTTCCCTTTCCTCTATTCTCCCCTTACAACCCCCCTGCATGCCCCCCCCCAAATACGCTCTGGAGGATTGGGGGCAGGGACTGTGGCCTGGATAAAAGCGTAAATTGTTTGTTATACAACGCACCAGGAGTTGCCAACTCTTTTTGTAGGCCACACACACTAATTACGGCAACCTTTTCTATTAGCTACAACCGAATGCTCTTTTCGAGCCTAATTTCAGCAGTGGGGAAAGGCAGGGCAGCCGTGGGAAAGGCTTCTGCAGGAAAATCTCTGCCCGTGGGCACCACCTCCGTAACCCCTGGGCCAAAGGGGAAAGGCTCAAGAAAACTGAACCACCTTCATTCAAAACTATGTACAAAAGTTGTATTTAGTAGATACCAAATAAACTTAACGTGCTTCAGTGTTGGAATTCAATGAATTATATTGCATTAGGTTTCAGAAGTGGAACAACAGGTGTACCACCGTCTTGAGTTTGATGGGAAAGGTGGGCTTAAATAAAGCAAAATGTGTACAGTTACCCGACTTGAGTGATTCGATTCTGAACTGCTTGCCAGTGCTTCTGTTAAATAGCTACCTTTGAATTTCATTTGCTTTTCCTGTTTACCACAACAATGGGAGTTGGGTTGTGTGTGATCAACCTGGTGTCTGTAAAAGCCTTTCTTGGCATCCCTCAAGCAACCGGGGCACCTGTTATTTAAGTTGGTTTTTATTGCTTTGCCACATGGGATTTATTTTTTTTTTAGATGGGGAGGGTCAAGGAAGAGGAAACTGCCATTTTTCTCCCCACCAGCCACATAGAGCCCCTTAGAGGGCCTTTTTTTTTTTTCAAAATGGGGGGAGGAGAGAAGGAACAAGGGCCACTTTGCTTGCTCAGTTATTGCTTGCCTGCCAGTAGGGAGTTGCTTAGTACTGCAGAGGGCCTTTAAAAAAAAACTGAGTGGGGATAACCCTGTACAGAGGTACCTCGGGTTAAGTACTTAATTCGTTCAGGAGGTCCGTTCTTAACCTGAAGCACCACTTTAGCTAATGGGGCCTCCTGCTGCTGCTGCGCCGCAGGAGCACGATTTCTGTTCTCATCCTGAAGCAAAGTTCTTAACCCGAGGTAGTATTTCTGGGTTAGCGGAGTCTGTAACCTGAAGCACCACTGTATATGTGAGAAAGATTGGGGGTGGGTTGCCTGTGAGAAAATAGGTGGGTGTATCCACCTTGTATATTTTTGCTTCTACTTGAATATGGTGCTTTCTAGCAACAGCACTTGCGTGTGAAAAATCAATATGGTGTAATCCATAATGTGGACCAGCAGGACACAGATGACTTCATGCTCTGTTAGTAAACAGAGGCTTAGTGTAATGTTTACCTGGATCTCTGCTGGCCAACACTTAGGTTGTACCACCTGCTTGTATCACCACCAGTTTGTTTAGGGGGATGTGTACCTGTACAGTGGTACTTTGGTTCTCAAACTAAGTCTGTTCCAAAACCAAAGCGTTCCAAAACCAAGGCACGCTTTCCCATAGAAGGTAATGCAAAACGGATTAATCCGTTCCAGACTTTTAAAAACAACCCCTAAAACAGCAATTTAACTTGAATTTTACTATCTTAACGAGACCACTGATCCATAAAATGAAAGCAATAATCAATGTACTGTACTAGAAAATAAATAAGACAGTATTGTAGATGATAAAAATTGTTTGGATTGGGGGCTTTTATCCATTTCCGCAGTGTCACAATCAATCAGCAGCTGAACTGGGGTTCCACACAGTCACAAAAACAAATTAACTGAAAAAGCCTCAAAAATGCAAAATAAATAGCAAAAACAAAAACAATTGTTCAAAAACCGGAACACTTACTTCCGGGTTTTCAGCATTTGAGAACCAAGGTACCACTGTATACATAATCATGTTCAAAACAGGTTTCATGTTATACGTTCGAGTTAAGTGGCTTCTAGGGCTGAGCCATTCTTAAGGTCTCTGCTCCCACAGAGTTGATTCTCGGGATCCTGATTTCTGTTCCTGGATCGACCTTTAGTGCCTGAACAGTTCAGTCACAGAATACACAGAGCTCCTTGCCTAAAAGGTTTTCATACGTGGTCCTAAGCCCATGCTTCCGTTAAAACTACCAAGTTCCTATATTCACTCTGGCTCAAGAGTGATTTAATACTTGCCGATTTCTTCTTGTGAAACTTGAATGAGGCTGGTAGGTCGTATCTCAGTTCTGAAAACAAAATGAGTAAACACATTAAGCTGTAATGGATGGTATCAGGCAATTATGTCTCTGGGTGTAAACAGCAAAAGCATTAGGGAATAATGATGCGAAAGCAGGTTAACTGGAATCAGGAAGAAAACACAAGTTTCCATGGACTAAATGCATTTTAGATACACAGCCTGTTTTTCCAGGGCCATCAGATGTTGTATGATAAAGATTCTGGGAGAGGGAGGCAAGGCGACAAAGCCTGAACTAGATGAAAAATGCACTTGCCACAAAGGAGGACCATCTACCATCTGCTGCCCTCGAGGAAGGTTGTTGCAGGCTTGTTACGCATGCTGCATTTTTTTTTATAAAAAAAGCATTATGATATTTGTAATCTGTCTTAGAAGAATCCATCCTAGTGTTTCCCAGACGGTGGGTCTCCAGCTGTTTTTGGACTACAATTCCCATCATGCCTGACCACTGGTCTTGCTAGCGAGGGATGATGGGAGTTGTAGTCTAGAAATAGCAGGAGATAAGGCAGGATATAAATTAAAATAAAATGGATATTGGAGGTCAGGAACATTATTTGTCTAAGGTTTGGATGGGGGGGTACATTATCGGACAAGCAGTAAATCACCTGATCTACTTCTAAAATGGAATTTAAAAGATTTTTTAAAATTGTCTGCTCTCATTTAACCATACTTATTTCCCCTAATAGCCAAGTTCTCAGGGCAACTCAACCGGAAAAAGCAAAACTGGCTCCTACATCGTATGTAATCAAGTCAGCATCGTTATAGCTCTTACAAAATGACTTTTGGAAGCAGCTCTTTTGAGTTTCATTTTTTAGGCACTATAAGACAACCCAAATACGGTCAAACCTTGGTTCCCGAACGCCTCCATTTTGGAACGTTTTGGCTCCCGAACGCCGAAAACCCGGAAGTAAGTGATCCGGCTTTCAAAGATTTTTCGGAAGCCGAACATCTGACGCGGCTTCCGCTGGAGTGCAGGAAGCTCCTGCAGCCAATTGGAAGCCGCGCCTCAGTTGTCAAAACATTTCGGAAGCCGAACGGGTTTTTGTAACAGATTACGTTCAACAACCGAGGTTTGACTGTATTAGGCATAATCTGTGTTTCATTTTTTTTATTAAATTCAAGTTGCTCTTCCTCACAGCAGCCTCCCATCTAGCCCAAACATTCTCTGAGCCTGGCTTCGGCTGGGGAGGACGGGATATAAATAAAAAATTATTATTATTATTATTATTATTATTATTATTATTATTATTAGCAAGGGGAACTATGTTCCTTTAAGGCTGATCTAAACAGTCAGCTCTTACCTGCTAAAACTTCCATTTTCACATTCCATTCATCTGCTTTCTTCTGGATATGCTAAGCATGGAAGAAATGCAAGGTGTTTAGTGGTCACCTCGGCAATCGGCAGAAGCATGCCTGATCTTTTGAACTGGCGCAACAGCTGCGATAGGACTGCTTCCATCGTGACCAAAGGGTAAGAATCCTAAACACTGACTTGTAATGTAGCTGATCGTGAAATTATGTTCCAAAGTGTGATCTTTGTATCGCTAGAGCTCCCATAAGTTCTGACCCACTCAGTTCCTGTAATATAGGTGGAAAGAAGACAAACTTGACTGAGATGTACCTGTCGGGTCGAAGTCTTGTGCAAGGAATATACGGCTGTCCTTGCCAACTGCAATGCTGTCTTGAGAAAAGCCATATCCATGCCTAGGAAATTAAAGATGGTTGTTACGTTTCACATCGCCTATTGAATGAGCCAAAGCAAAACTTGTTTTATTGAAACGGGTAGCAGGCTAGCAATCTTGAAAGGTGCGATGACAAACATTAAATTGATTTTAAGCTTTGTCCGTCAGCATTAAGTGAAACTTGGTAACTCTGGGAAAAAATGTTTTGTTTAATTTGGAAGCCAAATGTGTCTCTTCCAGGTTTTCAGCATTGAAAGCCTAATTAAACAGTATATTTGAATATTCAGTTTCCCTGCCCAAGAAGAGTAAATATTTTAGCTACCTGTTCCTGTCTAACATCATGCTTTTAGTTACAACCTTAAACAAATTAGTGCCTCTTTCCACAAAAGATGACAGACCTTACTGACGAGTGGGAAGGAACAGAAGCGATGTGCCTAAACTTCAGTAAAACTTTTGCCATTTTCAGATGACTTACTCCGCCCACCCAACCCCCCCAAAAAACAGGGAAGGTTTTGCCCCCTATTAAATAAAGGTAAAGGGATCCCTGACCATTAGGTCCAGTCGGGACCAAATCTGGGGTTGTGGTGCTCATCTCGCTTTATTGGCCAAGGGAGCCGGCATACAGCTTCAGGGTCATGTGGCCAGCAGGACTAAGCCGCTTCTGGCGAACCAGAGCAGCACACGGAAACGCCATTTACCTTCCCACTGGAGTGGTACCTATTTATCTACTTGCACTTTGACGTGCTTTCGAACTGCTAGGTTGGCAGGAGCAGGGACCGAGCAACGGGAGCTCACCCCGTCGCGGGGATTCAAACCGCCGACCTTCTGATCGGCAAGTCCTAGGCTCTGTGGTTTAACCCACAGCGCCACCTGCGTCCCTTTTAGATGCCCCCTATTAGATGGCTACAATGTGCTGGATAAAATAGCATATGCTTGGAAATATTAACAAGCAGAACATCACAAGCATCCATCTTAAATCTAGTGCTAAATGTAGAAAGAAAGTGAACACTTTTGAAGAACAGAAGGAATTGGGTTTGCACAACCTGGGAGGAGAGCAAAACAGGATTGGTGACATGAGTCTTCCAATATATAGAAGATGCATGAGGACAAATCCTTATTAACACCACACATGCAGCCTAAAAAAATGGCACTAGACTTTAGAAATCGCCACTCTTACACAATCCAAAAGTAAGTACTGAAAGAAATTGCCAAGAAGTGTAATTACAAAACCTTTCGTTTGTAAAGCTAGTTGCTTTATCACTGGAAATAAGGCTGCATCGTTACCAACCTTTATTGTGCTTCGTTCCAAAGGGAGGATTCATAATGACTGTATCAAAGGTTTTTGGCATTCTGTCAGACAAAGAACACACATTGCACTGGACCAAATCAATATTTCTCAGCTCAAATTCTTCAGCGTTCTTGCTAAATACTTCCAAGGCATCAGCATCTATGTCAAATCCTATACATAACCTGGAAAAGGGGAAAATGAAAAACAGCAATTACAGTTACGAATATTTCTAGTTAGAGGTAGGTAGCCGTGCCGGTCTGCCGTAGTCGAAACAAAATGAAAAAATTCCTTGCAGTAGCACCTTAGAGACCAACTAAGTTTGTTATTGGTATGAGCTTTCGTGTGCATGCACACTTATCTGAAGTGGTATCTGAAGAAGTGTGCATGCACATGAAAGCTCATACCAATAACAAACTCAGTTGGTCTGTAAGGTGCTACTGGACGGATTTTTTTTTATTTTGTTTCAGTTACGAATATGTTGATGTTATTCCTGGTATAGATAAAAGGTAAAGGTAAAGGACCCCTGGACAGTTAAGTCCAGTCAAAGGCAACTATGGGGTTGCGGTGCTCATCTCGCCTTCAAGCCAAGGGAGCCGGCGTTTGTCCACAGTTAGTTTTCTGGGTCATGTGGCCAGCATGACTAAACCGCTTCTGGCACACGGAGGACCGTGACAAGTGCCAGAGCGCACGGAAACACCGTTTACCTTCCCGCTGCAGCGATACCTATTTATCTACTTGCACTGGCGTGCTTTCAAACTGCTGGGTTGGCAGGAGCTGGAAGCTTACCCCGTGGCGGGGATTCAAACCACCGACCTTCTGATCAGCAAGCCCAAGAGGCTCAGTGGTTTAGACCACAGCGCCACCTGCACCCCTATTCCTGGTATATGTGTACTGTGAAAGAATGCTCAATACTAGCCTTTTCTGTCGAAGGAAATAACGGATTTGTATTGAAGACTGGATGCATAAATGAATGATTACCAAGATGCAGACCAGTAGCGTGGTGTGACTTTTTTTTTTGTAGGGCTAGAAGTGCCAGCTTGCGAAAGCGATTGGGGAGGGGACGTCACGTACATGAGCATCGTGCCTCCCCCCCCCCCCAAGCCGGGCTGATGCTTCCAGGGCTTTGAGGAGACGCCAGGGCTCTGAGAGGACCCTGGAGCCCTCTTGCCTCCTTCCAAAAGCTGGGCAGGTGGGAAGGCTCTTGGACCCATCAGAGCATCACACCTCCCTCCCTAGGCTGGGCAGAAGCTTCCTGGGCATTGGGAAGGTGGTGCCAGGGGAACATTTAAGGGACTAGACTAATCCCCCCAGTCCAATGACCGCACACCACTGATGCAGACAATAAAAAGACAATTTCCCCTGTTGCTATGTGACTTTGTTCTAGGAAGGCTAGCCAAACTTTGCACCCTGTTCATTCAGACATTTAAACATACGAGTAATTACCCCTTACCCAACTAATGTGTCTTTAGGATGCTAATCTTCAAGTCACCTGAGCGACTCAAAAGTGGGTGTAAGGTTGCACATTTTATAAACGTCAATAAACTAAGAGTGTCAAATGTTTTCTTCATAGGAATGACTTTTGTGAATTCCTTCATGTGAAAGCTTGCAATACAGAAGAGTTACTCTATGGCAGGCAATCCAACTCTCCAGAGACTGCTATCTACTCCCAATATAATAAAACTGGCAGTGATCTACCCATTGTCATTGTCCATAGCTGTTGAGCTTTTCTAGGGGGGGAGTCAACTGAGTTGTTGTTGAGCTTATTTTAGGGGGAAAGATCAGAGCTGTTGAGCTTTTTTAAGGAAGGATTGCAGAAAACCGCTCACCCAATGGTTCACAGCCTCCCTGCTTCTCCCACTGCCACCAATGCAGGGAACAAGAGCTTTCATAGCAGCAGTGGCAGCAGCGATGGTACATGGAGGCGAGGCGCATCGCGAGTGCTCAGGAGAGACCAGGCTATCAGGTTTTTTTACTTCCACAATTGACCTGGAGTTCCCATCATCCCTGACCACTGGTCCTGTTAGCTACGGATGATGGGAGTTGCAGTCCCAAAACATCCGGAGGGTCAAGTTTGGCCATGCCTGGTTTAAGCTCTGCAATAATGGCAGCATTCAGACGTGGCATACGTCATGATTTCTTTAACTGTACCGTGCATAAACTATGTTCTGCCACAGCAGCTCGTTCCATAGTTAAGTGGCTAAATAAACCACAAGCTGTCTTAGTTACTCCTGATCACGTGCTTGTAGTTTGCGTCTCTCCAAATTCCAATCTAGAGGTTTCCCAATTGTGTTATGTGTCAGAAATAAACCATGCTGGTTTGGATGTAACACTAAGCGAAGGATTGGTCTTAGTTTCCCCACCTGACTAGAGCAAAGTGGGAAAAGACATGAGCTTTGTGCACAGTCTAGTTAAACAAACCATACTCTGTGGCTCAGTGTGGCGTTTGAAGGCAGCCAGTGTATTTAGGGACACACGTTACAGTGGTACCTTGGTAGTCAAACGGCTTGACTCCTGAACAAATCGGCTCACCCAGAAGTGAGTGTTCAGGTTTTCGGAAGCCGAATGTCCGACGCGGCTTCTAATTGAGTGCAGGAAGCTCCTGCAGCCAGTCGGAAGCCGCGCCTTGGTTTTCGAACCATTTTGGAAGTCGAATGGATTAAATTTGAGAGCCAAGGTACCACGGTATATTCAAAGCAACAAAGCATGGCTAGACTGCATCTCCACTCAGCAGTATATCCAATTTACGCCTGCAGTTTTCAAACCAATATGGATACAAGCCATTCCTCAGCAGGTCCCAGTTTCAATCCCCAGCATAAATAGGTGGGACTGATATGTCCCCAGTCTGCAACTCTGGAGAACCACTGCAATTCACTCTATACTGAGCTAGAAGGACCAATGGTCTCACTCAGTACAGTGGTACCTCAGTTTAAGAACAGTCTAGTTTAAGAACAATTCGGTTTACAAACTCCGCAAAACCGGAAATAGTGTCTTGGTTTGAGAACTTTACCTCGGTCTAATAATGGAATCCGAACGGTGGACGGGCACCAGCAGTGGGAGGCCTCATTAGGGAAAGTGTGCCTTGGTTTAAGAATGGTTTTGGTTTAAGAACGGACTTCTGGAACGGATTAAGTTCGTAAACCAAGGTACCACTGTATTAGGGATTTCCTAATGCACATACATAATAGGTCCAGGTCCTTTAGTATAGGTCCAGATCAGGATGCTAGCCTTTAACGTAAAACCCTTTCTAAAAATTTACTAACTGCACTTTTCTAGGTTGGTTGGCTTCATCAAGACTTTCTGGTTACACACTTTTATCATTTTTCAGAAATATATCCAGTATCGGCACCCATTATGAGAAAGCAAGAAACACATTGCTGTAAGAGACCTACCCTGCTCCCAACATGGCACTTCCAACGCTCAACACACCACAACCGCACCCAAGATCTGCAACAGTCTTGTTTTCAATATCACCAAAAGTATTGTGAATTGTATAAAGCATACATGCTAGATGACAAAAACAAAGAAATACAGGTGACAGGTTCCGGGCAAATACAAAACCATACTGTAAGGCTGGAATGAAATGCAGGCCTCTAATCTATCCCCTTTTCACCAGCTGAACAGTTTCCTATTAAGTCCAAACACTCCCAGCCAATCAGCCAACTTTATAGTGGGCAAGGCAAGCTAAGAAGACTAAAGTAAATATATTTGCAAGACAGGTTGTAAAAAATCCAGGTGGCTCCAGCCAGTGATTAGCACAGAACAAGTCAAACAAGAACGTGTTTCTGTTCATGACCCCAAAATATGGGAATTATCTTGGCAGCATGTTTTCTTCCACTAAATTGTTTCGAACATGGACTCCTGCTTTTCAGAGGAGTCCAAGAGCATAACAAAACAGTCATAATTCAATATTCACCATCAATTAATAAGTTAAGCTCCAGGGATACAAATTAAGCTCTTGACTTCCTTGACAGCCCCAGGAGAAAAACATGTTTTATCCACAACTTAAAGCTTGTTAATGAGAATTTTTGCTGCCCACATGACTTAAATTTAATGCTAAATATACATGATTGCTATATACATCATCCACACCAACAACCATAGGTTCTAGAATGAGGCTACTTTCTTGAATTAGCGTTTGCAGAATAGATTTATAGGGTTGCATCCAAGTCACAGTAAATCCATTTAAATCAAGAAATTTAAGTTAGTCATTATTAGCTTAACCCTTTTGTTTTCAATAAGTCTCCTCTGAGTATGTTAGCCATACTGTTAAGAAATAGAATAAATATTGAGATTTACCTGCAATATGTGGTCTTGTTGGATATTGCTCAAGCAGAAGTTTTGGATTCTCAAAATCATCAACTTGTTGAAGATTGCTCTCTAGTTCTTTAAGTTTTAACTTCTTCATGTTTAGTTTAAGCTTGAAGGGAAATTTATAATCAGATATACATAGGAATTAAACACGGATGTGGTTGTTACATGCATGCACTGGGTTCAAGAGCACAATTCCTGTTTTTCTTAATTTGTTTTTGTCCTCTGCCACCTGTATTTATTAAAGTTTTAGGAAAGAACATAAATAATACAGCGGCAAGTCAACAGATTAAATTTGTAAAAAAAGATAAAGTGTTACCAAGCACGATAAAACAACAACTTTAATAGTTATACCCTGCCCATCTGACTAGGTTGTCCTGGCCACTCTGGGTGGCTTCCAACATATATTTAAAAAATTATAAAACATCCAGCATTTAAAAGATTCCCTATGTAGGGTTGCCTTCAGATGCCTTCCAACTTTTCTTTCAATTTCTAACACTTAGAATTTTTCACTTATTCATCCGTTCAGTTTATAAGCCGCAATATAACAGTCCTCCAGGCACCATACAAGGTCCAACGACAATGCTATAAAACAAGCTTACAAATTAAATACAGAAAACACACGACCGTAAAACCAAACAAAATACTCTTTTGGGGAAAAAACTGCCAAGAGAAGGAAATGCTGGAGCGCTATGACAGTTGGAACAAAGAAGCAAAATAATGTGAAATGGTGGCACCCCACCAAAACCAAACCAAAACAAAACCCCACCCTACAATAGGGTAAAACTTTTATTTAGGCCAATTTAAAAAGAGCACAAACTCTCAGGCTGGATGCTAATAAGGAGAGAAAAAGGTGCCAGGCCTTACGAAACTGAAGCCATCAGGCCTTCAGTATACGTGGACCAATGTTTTTTAATGTGCTTCAAGAATCGTGAGACATGGGAGATCACTGGGAAAATTCTCAAAATTGGGGAGAGCTCAAAATCGAGCCCCCTGGTATTTGAACAATTGGCCTTAGGAATTGTATTACAATTTGGTGTTGTTATAATGAGGCTATTATTGGATTGCAATTGAAAATTAATTTTTTTTTTTTTTAATCGAGCCCCCTTGCACGCTTACTCGGAAGTAAAGCTGCACCTGAAAGAAGCCTGAACAGGATAGCAACCGTCCCAAAGGGAAAAGGAGCTTCTCTTCCAGCGTTATATTCGTGTTCCCGAGAAGATAGTGCAAAGAGCAACAGCAGCAACGAGTTTTGGGGTTTTTTGGAAAATAAAATAATAATACTAATTTTATCATTCATATGCCGCCCATCTGACTGGGCTGCTCCCAACCAAATAGTAAAAACACAATGAAACTTCAACCATTTAAAAAAAAACTCCCTGAAAAAACTTCAGATGCCTTCTAAAAGTCAAATAGTTGTTTGCAAGAATAAGAACCCGAAGTGGCTTCCAGGAAGATGCCTTTTACCTTCCTCGCTGCAGCTTCCACGCCACGAAAGATCACATTTCCGCTTTGTGCGGTTTCTTAAGGGATCCCCTGTACACAAAAGAAACAGCAGCCCCCTCGCTTTAGTTCCTCTTGCTGCTGCAGCAGCGAAAACCCGGAGCAGGAATCCGGCGCCTGCCCTGGAAGCGCGAGAAACGGGATGGAAACTGTCACTTTCGATGCACGAGCATAGCTGTCAACTTTCAGATCTGAAAATAAGGGATCAGCAGCCTAGAAAATAAGGGATCAGCAGCCTAGAAAATAAGGGATCAGCAGCCTCACCTGTCCCAGGGATATCTAACAATCCGGGATAGCAGCCGGAAGCAGCGGGAAACGGCGCTGGAATAAGGGGATTTCCCGCAAAAAAAAAGGGAAGGTTGACAGCTATGTGCACAAGTCAGGGTTGGATTGCCATATATATTTCGAAAAGTAAAGAACCCAGGACACCGCGAAAGTTGTGGGGCTTTTTTTTTTTTAGGAAGACCCCCCCCCCAAAAAAAAAACACTCTGCGATTTTTCTTTTGGAAATAGTTTTATTTGATTTTACAAATGAAAAATTAGTTACGATGCCTAATACACAGCCATAAAATGAGAATTCTCTGAATCTCGCAATTTCCCCCCACCCCCTCCATCGGTCCTATTGTCAGCATTTCCAACTGCATATTATTTCATAGTCTGTGTTTGGTATCTATCCATATTGTCCATGATATTTGTTATTACAAGTGAAGTTAAAATCCTGCTAATGTTTTCATCTGCTTTCGATCAACTTGCCTAATAATAATAATAATAATAATAATAATTTATTATTTATACCCCGCCCATCTGGCTGGGTTTCCCCAGCCACTCTGGGCAGCTTCTAACCAAATATTAAAAACAATACAGTGTCAGACATTAAAAACTTCCCTAAACAGGGCAGACTTCAGTTGTCTTTTAAAAGTAAAATAGTTGTTTATTGCCTTGACATCCGCTGCAAGGGCGATCCAGGACAAAGCACCACCTTTTGGAAATTCAAACTGGATGTCAATTCCGCCTTTGAAATCCAGTTCATGTCCGGGAAAATCCGGACGTATGGCAGTCCTACACCAGGGAGAAGTGGTTGGGGGAGTGAGATTGATTCAGCACAGTTGGTTTCCCTTCTGCCTAAAAGCCCCATTGGATCAGAGGGGTAGATCCGCTTGGTTCTGCGCAGATTTTTAAGCGATTGCAAACCCGCTTAAAATCCCAGGATTCAAACGTGCTAACTTCAGTACAGATGGCAGCTTTTAACTATTGCATTTCATGTAAGCCGCTTATGTAAGATGTTACGTGTTAAGTTGTGGGTGAACATATCAGTCGACACAGCAATTCTTCAAACAGCTCTTGTTTATTCACCGGCCAGAACAGAACTGAACTGAAGGGTTCAGCCAGCCTGCTTATATAGAGCTCCACTACAACGCAACTGTAACAACTTTCTATAACTATCCAATCACTGAACGTCACTTTCAATCCCTTATTTGCATATGTGGACCTGAGTGAAAACTATCTATAGTATCCCCCTGCTGGCCCAGGCTGAAAACTTCAGTACATAACATTACGGGGAAGCAGCATACAATTCTAGGCCAAATAAGCTGCTTTCGGAAACCCAACGCCCGCCAGTAGCACGAGCCAATCCATGCCTACTCAGAAGCGAGTCCAGTTGAGTTAGGTAAGTGGGATTTACTCCCAAATTGGTGTAGCTTTTGGGGAGCTATCTGGGGTGAAAGGGCAGCCAGTGTCCAATTAAACCCTGTGGCAGCTCATAGGCAGTCGAAATCTCAGTGCCCCCCCCCCCCCCGCAAATGATCTCCTAATACTTGACTGTAATTTTCTTTCAAGATCACATCAATATTATTTCGATCCGTTGTTGTGGGGTCCCTAAAAGGTGTGGGGTCGGCCCCTAGGCCTACTCTGCCTATTTGGTAATCAGGCACTGAGGACACCCAGGTACATTGATTCAAAACTTTTTGTGGCTTTTGCATATTTGCAACCACTTGTTTCACCGCTTTTAGTGCTGGGCCTTCTATACCACTGCCTGCGGTGACAGAGGTTAACAGAGTGCTATCAGTAGTGGGGTGCATCCAAGGCAGCAGTACATAGGGTGGAATACCTTTCCTTGGTTATTTTCTTTCAAGAACAAATAAATATTGTTTTAATCCGTTATTGTGGGGCCCCTAAAAGGCATGGAACCCATAGGCCTACTCCATGGGCATAGCCAGGATTTTTGTTGAGCAGGGGATAGAACCTCAGATTTGATTTTACTAATTTTGGGGAGGGGGCAGCAGCCCTCTCTGCCCATGGCCTATTCTACCTTTCTGGTAATCTAGCACTGCTTCCAAACCTAGTGGGTGCCTGAAGTGAAGGACTATCAGTCAAAAAATGTCATCAGCCTTCCTTATGCGTGGCTCGAACGCCCTTCATGTGCATGCCACCCACACAATTGTTCCCCAGGGGTGCCCAAACTTTTTTCAAAGAGGGCCAGATTTTATGAAGCGAACATGCATGAAGGCTGATCATAGTTGTTGAGGACTGAAGTTGCTGAGCTTTTTTTTTACGATTTTACCCCAAAGTTGTTGAGCTCTCTTTAGAATTGAAGTTGTTGAAATAAAATAAACTGCCACAGGGCCGAATTAGGCCCTCGAAACGGACTTTGGACACACTTGCCTTAAAACCAGCGTTTCCCAAGCTTGGGTCTCCCGCTGCGTTTGAACTACAACTCCCATCTTCCCTAGTTAGCAAGACCAGTGGTCAGGAATGATGGGAATTGTAGTCCCCCCAAAAAACCTATGTGGTAACCCAAGTTTGGGGAACAGTACTTGGGGGTTGTTGCTTTTATTTTGACTATATATTTTATGGCTTTATATCTTGATTTTGTTCTGTGAACCGCCCTGAGACCTCTGGGCATAGGGCGGTATATAATAATAATAATAAAATAATAATAATAATACAACCCAGAGAAGCCAATATGAATAAAATATTGAGGGGTGGGGCAGGTAACCCTCACCTCACATGACCGATCACCTGATGCGGTGCACAATGCCCATTAACTTTGGCCTCAAATGTTTTATGGAAAGTGGGGTGTCCCTTCGGCCCCTAGGAGTTGGCTCCTATGCCTCTAGCTAAAGAGTTGGGTCGGGCCTCCGTAACGCGCGTCTCGCTTCTGAGTGGACACGCGAAGAAGGGCCGTTTGGCGGAAACGTGTGTCGTGTGAACGCCGCGAGCGCTTTGCGTTTCACGCGCGTTAGCAGGCGCACCAACCCGCCCTGTACACACGTATATATATAAACACGCAGGTTCCTCGGAGGCTGCACACCGGAGGGGGCGGGTGTGTGTACAGTAACATCAGGGCGGGGAGGCGCCGCCAGGAGCCAGCCGTGGCAGAAGGAGGCGGCGGCGGCGGCGGCGGGTCGAGGCGAGGAGGCGGCCTGAGGCGGGCGGGCAGGGCGCCGGCTTTCCCGGCTATCGCGAGAGGCGGCGAAGGGAGGGGAAAGCGGAGCCGAGAGGGCCGCGAGCGAAGGAGCCCGGCGGCCGGAGCTGCGTCGCGGTTGCTGAGGGGGGAGAAGGCCGCCGCCGTCATGGCGGGCGCCGCCGGGGGCTCGAGCGCCCAGGAGAAGCGGGCCACGGCGTCGCGCCTCAAAGCGGCCCTCAGCCTGAGCGCGGACGAGAGCGAGGCCGCGGCGGGCGAGCTGCGGGCGCTGCTGGAGACGGTGCTGAGCCCGCCGAGCGGCGGCGCCGGAGGAGGCGGCGGCGAGTCGGTGTCGGAGGCGCTGGCGTGGTGCCGCTGCCTGCTGGCGGGCGGCGAGCCGTGGGACAGCTTCGTGCAGGCGGTGCGGGCCTACGACCCGGCCACGCTGTGCGGCCTGGTGTGGACCGCCAACTTCGTGGCCTACCGGTGCCGGACGTGCGGCATCTCGCCCTGCATGAGCCTCTGCGCCGAGTGCTTCCACCAAGGCGAGCACGCCGGACACGACTACAACATGTTCCGCAGCCAGGCCGGCGGAGCCTGCGACTGCGGCGACGGCAACGTCATGCGGGAGGCCGGGTGAGTGCGCCGTGGGGGGGGGGCGGGCTGGCTGGGTTGGGGGTGGTGAGGGGAGACACTTGTCTAGGGCTGAGGGCGGGGGAAGGCCAAGGGAAGGCCTCCGGGCGGGTGTCTGCGAGGGGGTGGCAATCCCCCACCCCACCCCTCCATAAAATACCCGAGGGGGCACCCCCAAAGTGGATGGGCACTGCCCTTCAAATGGTGCGTGTGCGCCACGTCATGCGATCGGTTATGTGAGGTGGGTCTTTACCTGGAAAAACACACACAGGCACAATATTTTATTCAAGTTGGCACCCTTGGCATCTGGGAGAAAAGCGAGAGACCCTCCCTCCCTCCCTTCCACGGACAATAATGGTGAAAATAATAGTACCAGGGAGGACCGGTTGAGTGTGTGCAAAAACCTGACCTAATCCATCCTATTAAGTAAACCGGAGCGAGCATGTTTCTGCGCTCATGGGCTCTGTTTTAACTCCACAGACGGACAACAACACAATTATTATTGTTGTTATTATTATTATTAGCTATATGCCACTCATCGGACTGGGTTGGCCCAGCCTCTCTGGACAGCTCCTGACAAAAAATAGTAAAAACCCGACACTACGTCAAACACTAAAAACTTCCCTCAAGAGGGCTGCCTTCAGGTGTCTTTTAAAAACCACATAGCTGTTTATCTGTTTGACATCTGCTGGGAGGGCGTTCCACAGGGCATATGTGCCGTGTAATCCTAGGCGTGTCTGCTCAGAAGCAAAGCCGCACTGAACTAAATGGGACTTGTGTACTCTGTAAAGTGCTGCACACATTGATTGAATAATAATAATAATAATTTTATTTATACCCTGCTCATTATCTGGGGCAGCTTAGCACATATAAAAACGTAATAATACGTCAGACATTAAAAACTTCCCGATACCAGTAATAATGGATGCAGAATTGCAGCCTGTTTGCGGAATATGTTTATGTGGTGAAGTGGGCTTTATGGAAACTTTGGTCCAGCAGAGGTTTTTTCACTGGGGCAAAGGTGGCCGTGCACCACCAACCTCAGTTTGGCCTTAGGCAGTCTCCACCTGCCCTCCTTCTGCCTTGCATCCAGCCCAGGAGGTGGCACTGATCATTGGCTTCCTTCTCTGGAGCCTCCCCATTATATAACTTGGTAGGATTGGGGCAAAACTAGAATTAATTTGTTCTGTGTGTCATTTGCTGTTGCTCCACCCACGGTTGACCTTTCTGCCTTCTGTCCTTAATGTGCACCGACTTCCACTGCTTGTGTTGCAATGTGAAAGGCTTTAAGATGTCACAGCACTCTTTATTTGTTTGCTACCTCTGCGGTTTGTCATGTGGGTTGAAATTCTCGCTTCATCCAGAAATATGCATTCCAAGGGGAGAAAATAACAATCATCAGGCATATATTATGCAAATCTTGACAGGTGAATCTTGCTGGTATGTAATCTATGGATGACGGTCTTATAAATGCATCCTTGATGCGTGTTACAAGTTAATGGTGTGCGCATGCTTATGTGAAAACATTGAGAGTGAAACCAGTACTAAAGAGAAAAAAGTAGAGCATTGTAACAGTAAACATTTCTGTAGCACTTTCAAATGGTCTAAATGCGTAACATGATCCAGTTATCTAACAGAGAGGTGAGTTTCAAACCAGGGATTTGATGGTATGTGAAATGAGAGAAATGTATGTATTGGAGAAGACAGATGGATGCATGCCTATGGAATGAATACACATGATCACACATTTCATCACGCTGATCAAGAATGCCAGCAAACTTATGATCTTGTGTTTTTACAGACACATTCCATCCATGTGATTTTATGCACAAAAGCATGATAAGGCATAACTAACCCAGAAATCAGTCTTCAGATTTTGCAATTCTTCTACCTTCTACTGATTGGTTGTGTTGGTCTGTATGTGCCTGGTGGGTTTTATAGACCATGTAGGCACTGAGTGATGCTGCAAGGTTTGGTGTACAGTCTTACACCTAGGATCCCCCCTTTGGCTGTTGTACAGTCTTCATGTTGCACAACCCAGTGCTTCTTACTCCTGTTCTTGTGTGGCATAAAGTAGAAATATTGTGTACATTAATGTACTTAAAAGGAGTGAAAAGATTGTAGAATTTGGGTCTCCAGTTGTGGGGGCAGGGGAAGATAGACACACAGGTAAGGATGCTGAAATAATTTGTGGGGAAGAGTGATGCTTAGAACACTGTCAGCCTGTTCAAGTGTTACTCTGTCCCAGGATACAATTTGTGTGTGCTCCCCCTCTTTCCCCTCATTACAGGTACAAGGTAACTATGGAAAGGAGGTACTTCCAAGTTTGCTCCTGCAACACACCTGTTTTGGCTTGAGTGCCACTTACACATTTTGCCAAACCTCTAGGGGCTGTGGATGCTGCTACGGTCTCCCTGCAATCTTGCTTGTGCATGCATGTAGCCCACATATACACAGAGCTCCCTTCCTCAGTTGATCCATTATCAGCCCCTTCCCTCTAATCTATATGATCAGTCTGATGGCCAGGAATGAACAGTCTGCCTTCCGAGCAAGGTGATGAGCTGGCACAGGAAGCGGGTGGCGCTGGGGTCTAAACCCCTGAGCCTCTTAGACCTGCCGATCAGAAGGTGGGCAGTTCGAATCTGCGCGACGGGGTGACCTCCTGTTGCTCTGTCCCAGCTTCTGCCAACCTAGCAGTTCAAAAGCACGCCAGTGCAAGTAGATAAATAGGTACCACTGCGGCAGGAAGGTAAACAGCGTTTCTGTGTGCTCTGGTTTCCGTTATGGTGTCCTGTTGCGACAGAAGCGGTTTAGTCATGCTGGCCATATGACCCAGAAAGCTGTCTGTGGACAAATGCTGGCTCCCTCAGCCTGAAAAGTGAGATGAGCACCGCAACCCCATAGTCGCCTTGACTGGACTTAACCGTCCAGGGGTCCTTTACCCTTTACCTTTTTTTACTTTGCTGAGCTGGCCAGAGACATAGTGCTGTGTATCTCCTTAAAGTTTTGTCTTATTGGCACCACATCCAGAATGGGTGGAATCTTATGGGGTGAGGTGGGGGGGACAGAAAAATTTGTGGGGGGCATGATTTGGCCTCTAGGCCAGGAGTCAACCACCCCATCCTACGTTATTTAATTGTACAGTGGTACCCCGAGTTACAAACGCCTCAGGTTACAAACGCTTCAGGTGACAAACTCCGCTAACCTGGAAGAGTTACCTCGAGTTGATAACTTTGCCCCAGGATGAGAACGGAAATCGTGTGCCGGCGGCGCAGCGGCAGCAAGAGGCCCCATTAGCGAAAGCACATCTCTAGTTAAGAACAGTTTCAGGTTAAGAATGGACCTCCGGAATGAATTAAGTTCGTAACTAAAGGTACCACTATGGGGATTCCCTGCAGTGTGGTGGTTCCTGGTAGAAGTCAAAGGGTATAATGTGCTAAGCGACTTCTTGTTGTTTTTTGAAGCATTCGAGGGTGGGAGTAGCTGCTGTTGCTGCAGTAATGGACAGATGTAAAGCTGTGAGGGTGTAATTTCAGCAGCACAGTAGTGTTTTATTGGCAGGGCGAGACGATGAAGTGCTGCCAAATTATGGAAGAGTCACTAGCTGTCATATTGAACACATGTGATAGCTGGAGTCATCCTATCCCCGACTCTCATTTTAGTAAGGACTGAAGTGTGAACTCTGAAGGTATGCCAGTATGTAAACAATTCCCAAGTGTCGTCTGATCACCATGATAGACACTGTCCATTGTTGGCAGTGCCAGCTGTGGAACTTGGCTGTTTTTATTTTTGTGTGCTAATGCTGTGTCATCACAGCAGGCAAGCCTATAATTAAAATGTAGCTGTACCTTATAAATTCAATGGGGGAAAATAACATAATGCAGTTGTCATAGTTTCTAAAAAGATTGCTTCTTGATCTGTTTGACTGCTAAATTGCCATGAGAATCTGCCGTGTGTTGCTGGATTCTTCTTGTTGAAGTTTGCATCGTTGATCATCGATGCAATGTGAATGTGGGGACAATGAAGTGGGAATGCGGGATCTGATTGGGGTTATTTTAATTTAGTGATAGTGTGTAGTGGCTGTCTGCACTTAGGTTTTCAGATGTGCCAAATACTCTTTTGGATGACAAGTAACAGTGTGTTTTGACAAATCCAATATATCACATTTGAAGGAGATGTAGCAAAAGCCAATAAAGATGTTCCCTGGATTATATACTTGAAGTTGATGTGCAAATGAACTCAGTTAGGCCTAGTTCCCAGAAATAACAAATGGAATTGTAAGGTTGTTACATGTGGCCATAGGGAACCTAAATTCAGGTGGTCATTCGATGGCTAGCTCCTTGAATTGGACCACTTGTTCAAATACTTTGGACTTCATGTCAATGAGAATCTCTCATGGAAGCTACATCTGGGTGCCATTAAATTATCAAGAGCCCAGGTCCACTGGCCAGCTCAGCAGATTTTTCTGTACAAAAGAAAACCAATGAATTAATGCTGTTCTCAAGATCTTTATGGCTAAAATTATAGCACAAATGTAGAAATCTGGGAAGTTGGAGCAAAGTACAAGTTCTGCAAAATAAATTTGCACTAGCAGCCAAGAAGCTGCATTCTAGCCATATCAAGAATTATAGTGTATTGTAAAGTTTTATCCCAGGGGTAGGCAACCTAAAGCCCGTGGGTCCGATCACCTTCTCAATCCGGCCCATGGACGGTCTGGGAATCAGTGTGTTTTTACAAGAGTAGAATGTGTGCTTTTATTTAAAATGCATCTCTGGGTTATTTGTGGGGCCTGCCTGGTGTTTTTACATGAGTAGAATGTGTGCTTTTATTTAAAATGCATCTCTGGGTTATTTGTGGGGCATAGGAATTCGTTCATTTCCCCCCCCCCCAACAAAATATAGTCCGGCCCACCACATGGTCTGAGGGATGGTGGACCGGCCCATGGCTGAAAAAGGTTGCTGACCCCTGTTTTATCCAATGTTTTGTTACCCCTGGGGTAACAAGAAAACTGGCATGTCAGAAAGAAGTTTAGTTTCTATGTTGAGGGAAACTTTTAAATTGAGAATTCAAACATGCGAACCCCACTTTCCATAAAAAGGCTTACCACCTCCTCTGATACTTGTAATAACTAGTATTTAATTCCCAACAGTCTTGCATTAATTAATGTATCTTGTGAAAACAGTGAATGTGTTTATAACATAAGAGTATGCTAATTGCTGTAGTAACCAATATCCAGTGAGACTTTGTGGTCGCTTTTATGTCTTGGCAAATCTGCTGATTCTTCCCACTGAATTGATAGACATCACTATTTAAGCTAAGGAACTATCAAGTATAAAAGATAAAACCCCAGTCCCTTTTGGGTAACTGAAAAGGTTGGAGGAAAGTGAGCTACTATATTTTGTGTGTTGCTTCTTAGTTTACAGCTGAGATCTTTTGGACTGTTTCAAGTTCTGGAATAGGAATTTGCCTCTATAATTCTAGATTTTTCTCTTTCTCATTGTTCTCATTCATTCTTCACCTCTCCTTAATATTGTCTACCCTTCCCATGGTCTGTGTGAATATCCAGCAGACCAATCAAGACTGTATTAGTCAAGATCATCCTTTATCTGTTTTGTGTTTTAAGTTTTTCATCAGAGCAAGCAGTTGCCCTCTCTTTCAGGTCAACATTAACAGCTATGTGAAAGATCAGGTTTCCTGGTACTTTTGCCACAGCAAAAATTTCTACCATGCAAATAAATAAAGTTCAAGTCATATCCTGCCTGGCACTACTTTTTTTTTTTTCTGAAATCCCTGGTTGATTGTGTCCAGTGTAACGTCTCCTAAAACAACCTCCTTGGCTGCTGAGCCAATGAATGGTGGTCAGTAAAGCTATGATTCACAGTGCTGTGTACCCATACACAATCTCTTGTCAAACTAAACTTTCTAATATTTGCTTTGCCTAAATACATTTTGGCTTTGAAATCAAGATGGATTTAATTATTCATCTACCTCTTCCCCCTGACACTATAGAGATTTTGGGGCTATAAATTAGAGCATAGAAGCTCAGAATCAGGTAGTTTATATTTGCAATGTGGCTTTTGTCCAATACCACCCCACCCCCGAAAACCCCAATCTAGTCAAATGCTAAGAGATGCTTTTTGGTAAATCCAGGCAATTATGAAACAGTTTTTTAAATCACTGAGTGGTTTTCTGTTTTAAAATTTATCCAGTTGTACTTTAAAACAACAACAACCCCAGGCTTATGATTTATTAGTGAAACATTTTATTGACATTATAATTTTACCCCTACACTTTTCTGTGACATTTTTTGTGCACTAATTTTGTACTTGAGTCTTGAATATGCACTTCTGAAATAGCTGTTATGTTTTTATATAGTTGTAAAACAAATAAAAGAACTTCGTTTGTATTTATGTAGAGGATGCTCTTTAACTAAAGATCATTCCAAGATCATTAATATCTAAGGAAACTACTTTAGCTATGACAAGTAAAGTGAGATTTTGAATAAATTATAGAAGGGAAAGTCATATGAGAAATAAAAAAAAAATCCACTGAGGATTTTGCTTTGACAGCAAGCCTTCAGGAACGTGTACTTGGCAGGGCAACAAAATAGAAGCCAAAGGTTATTTCAGTGGTTTATTCAAGTAAGTGGTGTTGGGCATACTTTGAGTGAAATTCTTCATGCATAGCTGAGAATGTGTTCTGTACCAGACCTTTAAGGGAAACATTCTTCAGTTATGTCTTAGGAGGAATTATATAGATTCTGTTCTCCAAAAAACTTTTTTGTAATTCGTGGAGTCTCTGTTTCCTCAAACATTTAATGTATCTGCAGCTTTTCTTTTATTGGTATTTTTTGCTGCTGCAAGGATAGTCCAGTGTTTTTGTGTGTGGTCAAGGCAAATCACATCTTACATAAGCTCTAAATTATCTGCAAATAGTTTGATTTCTCTCTGTGTTGGATTTGTGTTTTGTCTTTTGTGTTGAAAGAGCTTCGGTTGACTTCCAGACCTGTATTTTCGCATTTGATATAAGCATTATGTAATAGACACTATAATCCTTCTTTCTCTTTCATTTCTCCTGAAATTGTAACTTTGCTTCTGTTGTAGCGTTTAAAGTTGGGTGAGAAACTGTGCTTTCTGAATGTGTGCAAACGAAAGCATTCCAACTAGTACTGCAAGATCCAGTAGTTGTTTGTCTGGTAGTACAGATGGTTGTATGGCAAGTCCTATATCAGTGAGCTGTGAGAAATGCTATGATTAGAGTTTTTCTTTGCACTTTCTTCCCAGTTTCTCTACAGTTTATGGCAGGAATGGGGAATCTGTAGCCGACCATATGTAGTTGTGGGAGTTGGGAGTCCAGTAATATCTGGAACAGGCATAGGCAAACTCAGCCCTCCAGATGTTTTGAGACTACAGTTCCCATCATCTCTGACCACTGATCCTGTTAGCTAGGGATGATGGGAGTTGTAGTCCCAAAACATCTGGAGGGTCGAGTTTGCCTATGCCTAATCTGGAAGGTCACAGGTTTCCCATCACTTGGATAGTTTTGCATTACTTGGTGGGTATAAAGAGTTCTCGTTTCTTCAGCTCAATAGAGCTGGTAAAGATTCAGAAAAGGACAACCAAAATGACCAGGGAGATAGAGCAACTTCCCTTTCCTGTGAGGAAAGGTGACAACAGTTGGCGTTTTTAAGTTTAGAGAAAAGGTGAGTAAAACTATGCTTGGTGTGAAGAAAGTGAATAGAGAAAGGTCTTTCACTTCTTACAGTGCAGAACTTGGGGAAATCCAACGAATCTGGATGTTGGAAGAGTCAGGGCAGACAAAAGAAAGTACCTTTTCACTCAGTTAAACTGTACAATTTGCTCCCACAAGGTAGTCACCAACATGGATGGCTTTAAAATAATATTGGACAGTTTCATGGAGGACATGGTAATCAGTGGCAACTACCATATTTTTTGCTCTATAAGACTCACCTTTCCCCCCCTAAAAATTAAGGGGAAATGTTTGTGCGTCTTATGGAGCGAATGCAGGCTGCGCAGCTATCCCAGAAGCCAGAACAGCAAGAGGGATTGCTGCTTTCACTACGCAGTGATTCCTCTTGCTGTTCTGGCTTCTGAGATTCAGAATAATTTTTTTTCTTGTTTTCCTCCTCCAAAAACTAGGTGCGTCTTGTGGTCTGGTGCGTCTTATAGAGCGAAAAATACGGTACTAACAATGGCTGTGCTTTTGAATATCAGTTATTGGAACTTGCAAGGAAAGAAAGTGATGTTGCACTCATGTCCTGCCTTTTGGTTTTCTGTAAGAATCTGGTTAGCCACTGTGACATCAGGATGCTGGACCCATTATGCTCTTTTTATATTATTATCAGTGCTATTTTTCTAGAAAAAGGGGTGCTGGAAAACCTCCCTTATTCTCTTAGAATGGCAATGGTGCCCACCTGAGAGGTGCCTGAACTAGTTCCCCTTGAAAAAAGCCCTACTTAGGTTATGTTTACATACGCAGCCATAGCATGGGGGGTTTCAAAATTAGCAACTATCAGTTCTTTGTTATTAATTAGGTGGCTGAGTATAACTTTGTATAACTTTCTTTGTAGGTTTTGCAAAAGGCATCGGATAAAATCAAGCTCAGAAGTTCCGTCTGTTCCAAAAGATCTGTTGATAATGTCAGAACTAGTTCTTCCACAATTCATCTTCTGTCTTATTCAGTACTTACGGGAAGGCTATGATGAACCAGGTATGGATGCTATTAATATTTTTGGAAAAGTTCACAAGGCAGATTCTCAGTGTTGTTAGTTTCATTTTTGTGACGGTCTGTTTTGTTCTGAAGGTAAGGATGATTTCAAACTGTTGGTGAATTGCAAGTGGGCTTTTAATAAAATGTGATTGTCAGGATTGTGAAGTTGAATATGATCAGTGAAGCTGAGGTTAGTCTGCTCCCTGCCACCCACGTAAGCAACTCCTTATATTTTGCAAAATGGGAGAAAAGCTGAAATCCTAGAGAAAGTTGATGCAGAGTGTCCTGGGTTACACAGAAGAGAGTGGAGTGGGAGAGAATTATACTTTGAGTGGAGTAAGCCATGGTGTGAACGCTGGGATAGAGGTTAAGATAACTTAGAGCCATAATGATAGAGTGTAAGGGAAGAATTTAGATACCTGATAATGTTAGAATTGAGGGAATGAAAGGCATCACTCTGTGGAAAGGAAACAAGAACTTCCAACATCCTGTCTTGGATATAAAAGGAAAAGAAAAGCCAGTTGCTTGGTGAAAAAAAGTTTATTACTGTTTTTTCTTCCTTTATTGATCATAGAGATGTGAGCAGCTTACGTCTCTTACAAATATTGTAATCAGCAAGGGGTGTATAATCTAAAATTTTAATTGTTGGGATGGGGTCATGTCGTAACAAGTAAGGAGCCACAAAGTTGCTAGAACGGTTTGCTCAATCTGCTACAAACTTCTTGCTTGTTTGTTTTACAGTTCTTGATGTTCCATCAGAAAAAGACCTTCACAAAGTCCTTCAGATATTGGAATCCCACATTTCATTTCTGGAAGATCTGACAAAAATGGGAGGAGCGATGCGTTCAGTCCTTACTCAGGTTTTGACAAATCAGCAGTTCTATAAAGATCTTAGCTCTGGTGAGTTGGTGTGTTATTACGTCTTGAGGAGTTTTTTTGTATTAACCATCCATTCTGTACTTTAAAAAGTCACAAAATAGTGTGGGCATGGGAGAAGGGAGTGGCATTTATTATTGCCGGTGATGTCACAGTCTGTGACACACAACTACAATTCCACACTGGTCTTGTGGTAGTTGCAGGTGTGCTGCCAACAGAGGAGTCAAATTTTCCTTATGACAAAGCACATTGAAAACCCTACTTGAAGGAATAAGAAGAAGAAGAAGAAGAAGAAGAAGTTATTATTTGTTCCCCAGCCACTCTGGGCGGCTTCCGACAAAAATTAAAAATACATTAAAATGGCACACATAAAAAACTTCCCTGAACAGGGCTGTCTTCAGATGTCTTCTAAATGTCAGGTAGTTGCTTATATCTTTGACATCTGGTGGGAGGGCGTTCCACAGGGCTGGCGTCACTACCGAGAAAGCCCTCTGCCTGTTTCCCTGTAGCTTTGCTTCTCGCAGTGAGGGAACAGGCAGAAGGCCCTTGGAGCTGGACCTCAGTGTCCGGGCAGAACAATGGGGGTGGAGACGCTCCTTCAGGTATACTGGACCAAGGCAGTTCAGGGCTTTAAAGGTCAACACCAACACTTTGAATTGTGCTCGGAAACGTACTGGGAGCCAAAGTATGTGAATCCCATGCATCAAATGTGTTATAGGACATTTATTGTGTTGCAAAGCCCAAAATGTATTTAATTCTGTGGGCTAAATTTATTTATTTTTAATCTCTAGTCAAACTTTCTAACCCATTTCATGCTACAAGGCACATGTGAGCAACTCAAGGGCTTTGTGTTTCTCCTCGGTTGCTCATAGTGCAGTCTTCTAAGCCCCAGGAAGCCCAGTTCACTTTCTGCATCTGATCAGCTGTCAGTTGGGCGGTGGTGGAAGGGTTGCTGTAACAGTGCTGCTAAGCGGGGGGGGGGGGCAGCAGTTTTAGCTGCCTTGGGATGGCTGTGGAGTGCAGGCTTTAATCTGCCTGCCCAGAGCACTCAGTGCAGCTGAAATTGCAAACCCTGCACTGCCGACAGCAGTGTGAGGGCAGAATTTTTAGCTGCATCAGGATTACTGGGGGTGGCATGCAGACTTTAATGGTCAAAGTTGCATCAGAGTTCCTGATGCAGCTGCAAAGGGGAAGATTAAACTGTTGTTGTGAGGTGGGGAGAATATGTGTGCAAGGTGGAGGAATGCCAGGCCCTGCCCTGCCCTGCCCACTGGCATGCAGCCCCTGACCAGCTGCACACCACCACATCTGCAGACAGGTGGCTACCCCTGCAATAAGGCTTAGTAAGGCTGGTCCCTAGAGTGAACGCAAACCTTTTGAAATACATTCCAGGTGGTGCAGAAAATGCATGTGCCAAGAAAAGCCACGAGAAGTATCTTGTAGCTCTGAAAGGTTCTGGACTCACATTTCCTGAAGACAAGGCTGCATGTGGAGGGCAGGAGCAAGCAGCTGGAGGAGCAAGCTCTTCAGTAGTTCAAGGTCTCTCTGTTTATTTATTTCTTTATTTTTTAAAAATATATTTGTTATTTGAAGAATCTTCTTAGACTTACAGCATTGCCACAGGTCTGCTTCTGAAATAATTGACAGAATGCAGTCGAAACTACACAGTAGCAGATACAGAGAGGAAAACAGAACCCCTTTTCAATTGCTACAATGGGGGAGTATCTCAATTCTTACAGACGTAAACTGCAAATGGAAGCTTTGGGTCCCTTTGATCCTATCCATTAGAAAATGTGTAAGTTTGAATGAGTGCTTAGTAACTGTGTGGCACAAGGTCACATTTCATTATCAGCAGCAGCACTACCCCAGCAACATGCATTTCTGCACTGTTCCAGGCATTGTCCCAAACCACACGTAGCACTTCCTGAAGTATTTACCATTTTCCTCCTAGTATTTTAATTCCAATATTGCTAGACCTAATGCAGCCCATGCTCGAAAGATAAATCCAAATATACATGGAGAGATAGATGGGGGGTATTTATGAAATTATCTGATTATTCTTTTGTCTAGCTGTGTGTGAATTAGAAAAGATAATTTAATGTTTAATTTCTCAAGGTTTTGCAGGTGCTACGCCAGCTTCAGGGCAAGGTGACTCTTCAGATGAGGTGAGATTTCTTCAGAAATAAAATAAAGCACAATAATATGTGAAATAAGTTGAAATACCCTAATTTTTATCATGCTTGCCTTTGCTAACACGTACTGTAGACTGGTGGTGTCAGCCCTATAAGCCATTAAGCAGAAAACACAGCTCTTTGTATTTATGTAGGGCCAGTCCCTCTCTGCTTTCTCCCCTGGGAGGGTTGTTGTTAATACTGCTTTCGTTGAACTAATTTTAGCAACACTGGGGATCGGAGTGTATATAGCAACTTCTGGAAATAACGCTAACTCATTACTATGTCAGATTCACATGCTGGGGCAGGTTTTAACCAGTGTTAATGCAGCGAAGGTTGTGTTTCAACTGCATCTTTCTAGTGCTCTCGTATTGACAACAACGGCTTGTTCTTAACCAGGTTCCTTTTCTTAGAACTTGTAGGATAGGTATACTTATTTCTAACAGGGCACTCCTAAGTATGTTTATTCAGAAGTCCTGCTGAGGTTGGTGGGGTTTATTTCCTAGAAAGCATGCTTAGGATTTAGCTGGAAGTAAGTCCTATTGGAACACTGAGTAGGCGCGCATGGTATTGTTCTGCACGTTAACTATGCTAGGTGAATAACTAACAACATATGTGTGTTTATATATACACATTTTTAACACAGAAATAATTAAAGTACCTATGAGTTGCAGATGTTTCCCGAGAGCTCTTGTAAACCTGACGTAGGACTCTGTAAAGTTGCTAGATTAGATGCTGAATAAGCATCTTCCTGAGATCCCTTTACCTTGTAAAGAAGAGGAGTAAAGTGAGAAAAGTGGGAAATTGGGGAAAGGGCCTGCTGTTTCAGTAGTTCCGTCTCTGGTTCTAATCTAGAACTGGGTTCTTGGCGACTGGACAGGAAAGATTTTGTTGAAGCTCTTCCCACATCTGCATACAACCAGGAGTCATATGCTGCAACTGTGTGCATCCTCCAGTTTTTCGTACACTTAGATGCTGAAGTCCTATTTTTCTAGCATGTAAATGACGGGAATCTCCCATGGCAAATAATAGTCCATCTTCAAAATAAAAGGTTCTTAACAGTAGCCTGACTTAACAGGATACAGTGGTACCTCTGGATACGAACGGGATCCGTTCTGGAGCCCTGTTTGCATCCTGAAGTAAACACAACCCGTGTCTGTGCGGGTCGCGATTCGCCGCTTCCGTGCATGCACGTGGTGTCATTTTTACCGCATGCGCGAGCAGCGAAACCCGGAGGTAACGCGTTCCGTTACTTCCGGGTCGCCGTGGAGCGCAACCCGAAAGTGCTCAATCTGAAGCAACTTCAACCCGAGGTATGACTGTATAACCAGTGAACCTTTCATTGATACTGATATCAGTGCTAGGAAAAGCTTTATGAACTCAATTTCTGCATAACAGGCTGCAGTAAAAGTTGCCAGAATAAAATGCAAAAAAAGAAAAGAAAAGTATCTTTGTTTGAAAACCTTAGTTCAAAACTTTTTGCAGTATTTTCGATTTTTTTTCAGCTTCAGGAACAAAATGAACATATTGATGGCTGCTTCAGAGTCATTTTCAGATGTAATTGCAAAATGAACATGTTGCATGTTTATAACATTTGCAAATGATTTCTGGTTAATGCTGAACTGTAATTAAACAGATTTGGAGGAGGGAAATAATTGGTTTATATCCAGAACAATTTATTAGAAGTTTGTTGTTGTTTGTGCAGCAGAGTCTGCTATTGCTTTTAGCAGTGCTATTTATAAGCTAATGTGTTTCAAAGTGCTGCCGTACTTTCACAGTTTTTAAAAACAAAGCTATTTTTTAAAAATGGCAGTGTAACCGAAGGTGAACTTAAATCCCTGAATTAATGAGGCCCAGCTAAAAATGATACTTGCGACACTTCATATTTGCTCAGTTTATTGTGAAGGAAGGAATATGTAAGGTTAGGATTTAGACAGGAATCTGGTACAATGATCTTAACAGGGGGAAGTGGGAATAGGAGGGTAGCACACCCTGACTTACTGCTTGTGGTGTTGGGAAGGAAAGATGCGGGATCATTTCAATAAAAGATGCAAATATGGGAATTTTCAAATAAAGAAACTTAAATAATTAAATGGTATAGGAAACAAATCTAAGTGCTTTATACAGTCATACCTTGGGTTACAGACTCTTCAGGTTGCACTTTTCGGGTTGCACACCGCGCCAAACCCGGAAGTACTGGAACGGGTTACTTCCTGGTTTTGGCGCATGCGCAGAAGCGCTAAATCGCGCTTTGCGCATGCGCAGACACGGCACTGCAGGTTGAGAACGCTGTAGGTTGTGAACGTGCCTCCTGCATGGATCACGTTCACAACCCGAGTGTCCACTGTATTTGCTGGTGGCTGCATTATTTAATTTTGCCTTTCTAGCATTTAAGTGGATTTAAGATCACTAAATAGTTTATTAACCTGTGTGTGTGCATATCCAATAATGTCTACTAGCAAAAAGTGCTTGTGCAAGGCAAGAGTACCCAATTTTTGTTAATCACAGCTTATTAACCCATTTCTCTGTGCCCGTGTTGAACCAAGCAGTGGTTTGTACCAGCAAAAAGCACTCTTGCTTGTGTAAGACAGAGCACCTAATTTCCAGTTAACACCCCCCCCCCCCGTTCACTATAGTATTCTGCTACACAGAGCTGCTCCTGGAGCTTAGGAGACCCTCCCGTTATGAGATACGGCAGAGGGCTGTAGTGGATAGCGAGGATTAGCAAAAGTTATGTACCCTTCCTTACATTATCAGAAATGGTTTCCATTAGTGCAGAACCACAACTAGATACAATCCTGTGTGTATATCTCTCTCTGAAGTAGATGTAAAATGCATATTATGGGCAAGCTAATTAAACCAAAGAGCACTTGCCTATGAGAGAGCAAAGTCAAGGTCTCAAATAACACACTTGTAATCTTATCCAGAAAACTGTGAGTTAGCACTGACATGTCTCGTTCAAGGCTTCTACATGTAAATAATCTAAAACAAGGACATCTGGTGAGATACTAGTAAATTCTTCAGTTGCATGTGTTTTATCAGAGTCTCCGTTTTCAACTCTGCAAATACTAAGCGGATCTAGTTGCATCTATCTGCAAGCGAGTAAATGTACTCTGTTGCTTCTGCTTTCCTTAAAACATTGATGTATTTCAACTGTTTTTGCCTCCGTATACTTCTGTGTTGCCACATATTGGTGAGCAGGTACTGCATATGAAGACAGACTTCCCACGAGGGGCCCAAAAAATCTATGTGAGAGGTCTTTCTTTCCCATTCCTCCCATTTGCACAGTTCACAATTCTTGCAGTCTTAAGTGACTACAGTATTCTGAGTTGGCTCTGGGGACATAAAAGCTGTCCCCCCCCCCAATCCCTGTACGAGGAGGAGCTAGTGATAATAGTCAAGACTGTGAGAACAAACAAGGGATGCATAGTTACCGTATTTTTCGCTCTATTAGACGCACCGGACGATTGGACTCACCTAGTTTTTAGGGGAGGAAAACAAGAAATAAGAAAGGAACGCAAAGCATCCTGAGCTAAGAGGGAGCGCAAAAGATCCCTCTTGCCCTCCTGGCTTTCTGCGAAAACAAGCCTACTGGCTTTCCTCCCGCAAGAGCCATGCGCTCTTTAAAGGGAGCGCGGCTCTTGGGGGCTTTTCTGGGCAGCCCTTCTCCCTCCTCTGGAAAAGCCGCACACACACTCCACGTGGCTCTTTAAAGGGAGCGCTGACAGAGCCTCCCGCCTGCATTCGTTGCATAAGACGCACACACATTTTCCCTTACTTTTTAGGACGGGAAAAGTGCGTCTTATAGAGCGAAAAATACGGTATATATGGTTGCCATCTAGGGAGGATAGATTACTAGGAAAGACTTACCACTCAGATGCCACCCAAATAGCTTTCTGTTATCCAAGCTTTCAACATACTGGTGCCAAGTATGTTCATTTTATTCATTGTGCTGCTGAATAAAATTAATTATTAGAAAATACTAATAGTATTTAAGCATTCAAATGTTTTATGATTGCTTTCTACTTAGGCTGTGCACACGTTTCTAAGTGTGCATGTTTCTAAGCAAGTGCCGTTGAAACTAACAGTATTTGCATCCAAGTAAATATATTTAGGATTGGGGCGACTGACATGTAATACCTTTAACTCCAGAACTTGAATAAAACCATTAAATCAATTGGAAGATGTGCCATTCTTTGTTTTGGTTCTAAAGCCACAAGTTGAAGTCAATTCATAGAGAATCAAATAACAACAATAACAAATCCCCATAGTTCAGATTATGCATTTGTAAACATAATTAGAAGCAGCAGAAGGAATGTTTAAGGAAGATTATGAAGACCAATCCAATGAAGAATATGTTATTAAGAGTTTGAGTTCCTACAGTATTATTGGAATGAGTTGCTGCAATAATTAAACCGTTCCTTTGTTTCATTCTTTTTTCTTTGAAAAGCATATTCATAGCATATATAGTCTTTGACATTAAGACATTTTATATTGATCCACTTTCAAACTCTTCCCATATCTCAGGAGGACCAAGATGGTGGCCAAGACGTGGGAAAACGCAAGAGGGTAAAACTAAGCAGCAGCACCAAAGGTACATGGCATATAGTTTGTCAACTACTTTTGTGTTTTTGTATCTTGAGGTCACCAAGCCTGATCAGTTTTTGATCAGTCTTGGCTGAAGAATGCAGTATGAGAAAAGACTGAGAAATATGCCGGCATGACATACTTTCACCAGAATTCACTGCTGCCACCAGTGTCTTGTATTGGTTGCATATGTTTCCTGTAAGCGGCCAGTAAGTTTGCAAAATGCCCCTTGATCGAACGATGAAGAGAGTTCTTAGAGTTGTATCATACGGGGCTTTTGTTTCTTCTCCACACACCCCCACCGCCACATCCCCCCATAATCTTCTTTGGTAGGTCCCCCAACTCTCTGGAGCTGATTTTGAGGGTTCCTTGGGGGTTGGAGAGGACAAGAGCAGAAGAGGAAATTCTGGTGTATGCATGGAAACCTGATGTAGCAGCAGAGCTGCAGTGTTTGATACAACCCTTAAAATGTAATTTTGTGTGTGTGCGTGTGTGTGTGTGTGTGTGTGTGTGTGTGTGTGTTTTACACAATATTTTCTTTGGGACAAGGAATTCCATGGCTCAGCTTTCTACGAGCTAAGTACAGTGGTACCTCTGGTTACGTACTTAATTCATTCCGGAGGTCTGTTCTTAACCTGAAACTATTCTTAACCTGAAGCACCACTTTAGCTAATGGGGCCTCCCGCTGCCACTGCGCCGCCACTGCATGATTTCTGTTCTTATCCTGAAGCAAAGTTCTTAACCCGAGGTACTATTTCTGGGTTAGTGGAGTCTGTAACCTGAAGCGTATGTAACCCGAGATACCACTGTACAGGCATTTGATCTGGAGGTATTTGTGACTCACCACCTCTGTTTTAGGCAGAGGTTGCTGAACCAGAGGGTCTACATGGAAAAGTCTTTTTCTATTATATTTTTCCTTATCCATTCCCCGTAACTTTTTCACCTTGTAATTTCTTCTCATGATTCTCCTTTCATACTCAACTTGTACCTTATTTCTGTACCTTATTTCAACCCCCCCCCAATCATTTTCGTTCATCCCTCCTCTCTGCTCCTTTCCCCCTCACTTCTTCCTCCTTTAGCAGCTTTACTCTCTAGCGCCTTCCTTTCTATTCTCAGGTTATTTTATCACTAATAATTATAATTATAATATCTCACTTTCTAATTCTCTTCAGCAACACCCCTGGAGGCCTCCCTTCCCTTCCTCCACTCTCCTGGCCACTTTCACTTTCACTCAGCAAGCGTAGAGCTCCAGGCATTGGTCCAACTAGAAAGCTTTGGCATGGGCTAGGGGTCAGGACAGTGGGACGTGGGTGGCGCTGTGGGTAAAACCTCAGCGCCTAGGACTTGCCGATCGCATGGTCGGCGGTTCGAATCCCCGCGGCGGGGTGCGCTCCCGTCGTTCGGTCCCAGCGCCTGCCAACCTAGCAGTTCAAAAGCACCCCCGGGTGCAAGTAGATAAATAGCGGGAAGGTAAACGGCGTTCCGTGTGCTGCGCTGGCTCACCAGATGCAGCTTGTCACGCTGGCCACGTGACCCGGAAGTGTCTGCGGACAGCGCTGGCTCCCGGCCTATAGAGTGAGATGAGCGCACAACCCTAGAGTCTGGCAAGACTGGCCCGTACGGGCAGGGGTACCTTTACCTTACCTAGGGGGCAGGACAAGGGACGCGGGTGGCACTGTGGGTTAAACCACAGAGCCTAGGACTTGCCGATCAGAAGGTTGGCGGTTCAAATCCCCGTGACGGGGTGAGCTCCCGTTGCTTGGTCCCTGCTCCTGCCAACCTAGCAGCTCGAAAGCACGTCAAAGTGCAAGTAGATAAATAGGTACCGCTCCGGCGGGAAGGTAAACGGTGTTTCCGTGCACTTCTCTGGTTCGCCAGAAGCAGCTTAGTCATGCTGGCCACATGACCCGGAAGCTGTATGCCAGCTCCCTCGGCCAATAAAGCGAGATGAGTGCCGCAACCCCAGAGTCGGTCACGGCTGGACCTAATGGTCAGGGGTCCCCTTTACTCTTTACCTTTGGGGGCAGGACAGGCAAGCGACTAGGCATTGGGCACACTGAGGCCCCTCTGAAATTGCCCCGGGGTGCATTGACGGGTCCCTGCTGTTTGAGAAACCTCGGTGCAAATTGTTATGAGCGGCTGACCCCTTCAGAATTGCACTGAATGATGTGACCAGACATGAAAGATGACTGTCCAAAAAAAAAGAAAGAAAAGATTGTAACCTAGCTGCCAGATAGCATGCAATTAGTATAATTTGCACATCGTTTTCATGGATATGGTTCGTGTCAAACTGCAGTTGATGGATGTGTTGTGCCGGTTCTCAGTATTATTATGCTCACTTTGTTATCCTTAAAGACAACCCTCCACAAGCCATTCAGCCATCAGTAGTTAGGAAAAACAATTAATTTAGATATGTCTTGGTTTTCTCTCTATTACTTTACAGTACTCAGAAATGCACCTTTTTACAGTACTTTTTAAAAACAGTAGGCTATTTTGTGTGAAAAGGGTATATAGTGTGTGTTTTGATTTTTAATGCTTGCTGGATCTACTTTAGGACAAGATTGTGGGTTTGGAGGGCCTTGACTTCGGTAGAATAATAGGAACAGAATAAAGCTGAAATTCTAACCAGTGCCCATATGTACCAGATAAGTGGCCCCAGCACAGTGGGCAACCTGTAGGTTGCAGATCATTGCTTGTATCCTCCTGTATCTGTAACCTTTAATTATTCACTATGAATGATCAGCAAGCTATTGTGTACACTTTTCTTCCTGTCCTCCATTTTCTGCAACTATGGTACCTAATTCTTAAGCAGCCTTTTAAGCTTTGAGCAGATGAGATGAAAAACACCGGCCTGTTTATATGATGGGGTTTGTAGTTGCTGTGTGTGATTTGAATTGTATGGAAGATTTGTACTGAAGTCTTCTTTGCAAAAAAACAACAACAACAACAACCCTCTGAAAATAAAGTTCCCGGGGCCAGCCAGGTGTACTGATTTGCCCAATCTAGTTTTTCTCTTAGTAATAAACTCCAGACTTTTTCTTTTTTGTTAGTAGAAAAATATTAAAGAGTTAACAATACTTCTTAACAACCTCCTTCCAATTTTATTACTTGTTTTTGTACAGATCAATCCATTATGGATGTTTTGAAGCATAAATGTTTTCTAGAAGAATTATTATTTTGGACAATAAAATATGAATTTCCCCAGAAGATGGTAACTTTCTTACTCAACATGCTTCCAGATCAGGATTATAAGGTATTTGTGTGTTTCCTCTTTCCTTTCCTGTCAGAACACTTCCCCGCTTCAGTTTGCATACAGTTCCCCATTGCAGTTTGCATTGGGCACGGGGTAGGTATTGCAGAACATCTTCGAATGCCGCATTTATTTATTTTTACAGTAGCATAAGGTTGCTGGTTGAAAATAGCGCAAAAGAACATAAATAGCTCAGACTAAGTTAGAAGGAACAAATTTAAAAACCTGTAAAAATTCCTGTTTCTTTTATGAGCCATAATTGGAAGGAGTGCTGTCTCTGTAGCTGGTGCTTCCTCACAGTTGGCATGCAATAGCTTGCAGTTACTGTTCTTTGAGTTGCAGAGCTAGGATGTGGAAACTAGCTGCCCCTTTAGTTTTCTGAAACACAGTGCAAAATTTCAACTGTTAATGGAGCCCACAAGAAAAGGTTAAGATTTGTACACATTTGATGGTTTCTTAGCGCTTGAGTGCTTTGGATAGCTCCAACTTATTCTTAAGGGCTTACCATATATGATAACAGGTGCCAGTTCAGACTGCTTAATAAGCTGCATTACGAACAAGGCTCATTCCCCTTTCACATAGCAGATTCTCTTTCTTTGCCGGATTGACTTATAAACCTGCAAGTCTTCTGTTAACTCTAGGTTTTCCATTTCATCTGAATCAGCAAACTATGGCTAACTGGATATGAAGCCACAATTCAATTCACAATTCCTAGCTTGTTCCAGATACATTAACCATTGTTTCCTGGTTGGGTTGTAACAGGAAACTATACTTAGCTGAAGACTTCCTGGCTTGTTTCCTTGTGCAAAGTAATAATAATAATTTTATTATTTATATCCCAGCCATCTGGCTGGGTTTCCCCAGCCACTCTGGGAAGCTTAAAACACATTAAAAATTGTAAAACATTAGACATAAAAACTTCCCAATACAGGGTTGCCTTCAGATGTTTTTCTAAAAGTCAGATAGTTGTTTATTTCCTTGACGTCTGATGGGAGAACGTTCCACCAGGTGGGTGCCACTACCGAGAAGGCCGTCTGCCTTGTTCCCTGTAGCTTCACTTCTCGCAATGAGGGAACCGCCAGAAGGCCCTTGGAGCTGGACCTCAGTGTCCAGGCTGAACAATGGGGGTGGAGACACTCCTTCAGGTGTACTGGGCTGAGGCTGTTTAGGGTTTTAAAGGTCAGCACCAACACTTTGGATTGTGCTCGGAAACGTACTGGGAGCCAATGTAGGTCTTTCAGGACCGGTGTTATATGGTCTCGGCAGCCACTCCCAGTCACCAGTCTAGCTGCCGCATTCTGGATTAGTTGTAGTTTCCGGGTCATCTTCAGAGGTGTCCTCACGTAGAGTGCATTGCAGTAGTCCAAGCAGGAGATAACTAGAGCATGCACCACTCTGGCGAGACAGTCCGCGGGCAGGTAGGGTCTCAGCCTGCGTACCAGATGGAGCTGGTAGATAGCTGCCCTGGACACAGAATTGAAGTGAAATGACTGTGTTCAGGGGCAGAAGGTTTGTTCATATTCCACCTGGTTACATTGAGATGTAATTGTACCAACATGCCCATTGTGTCCTCTAGATGATACTTACCTGGACATTTGGTCCTCATTAACAGATTTTAAAAAAGCATTCATGTTAGCAGAAGTATAGTCTGATACAATGCAGAGTGAGGCACACATAAAGTACATTGAAATAATTGGATTGGGCCACATGTACTTGGAAAGTAATTGCATGGCATGGCATCCTAGTCTTGGTTTTGTGCAACAACTGGTTTAATATACTTTCAGTAACACTTCTTATTGAGACTTGTTCGGGGGTTGGGAATGCAAATGGTAACGCTAACCTTTATTTTATACCCTGCAGATTGCTTTTACTAAAACTTTTGTGCAGCACTACGCTTTTATTATGAAAACCCTGAAGAAAAGCCATGAATCGGATACCATGTCTAACAGAATAGTACATATTAGTGTCCAATTGTTCAGCAATGAGGAGCTGGCACGCCAAGTGACAGAGGAATGCCAGCTGCTTGATATTATGGTTACTGTCCTACTGTACATGATGGAGAGTTGCCTTATTAAAAGTGAGCTGCAAGGTGAGTCGAATTCAGAATTTGCTTTAAGAGCACTAGAGAGGCACACACAGAATATTCTCAGCCTGTATTTAGGCTTCTTTCTGTAAGGGGGATGCAATGCTAGCAGTTGACAGGGCTAGAGTCCAAGGTGGGCCACCCTTTCGTCTCTCTTACCCTGTTCCCTTCTTTCCTGCTTGTTTCCCCATCCTCTGCACTCCCATGAAAGTGCCAAGTGCCACAGTTTACCCACCTGTGGGCTATAGTGGAGGAGGGTCTGTTTTAAGCTTTCCAGCTGAAAGAGTGAAAAATGGCTAAAATAGAAGGAAAACAGCCCTATCATCTTTCCCCTTCCATTTCTCTACCAGAACATGCAGACAGAGAGACTGCTTTGTGTAAAAGAGAGAAAATGTTGGAGATGATCATTACTGCTGTAGTCTTAGACATAAAGACCAGATTCAGAGTTCACTGCATCCGGGAAGTCCGCATGGAACTTAACTAGCATGCAGACACCTTGTGAGGTTTGGGAGAAACAAGGAAAGTGGTTGTAAAGTGAATGAGGAAGTACTGATACAGGTAGAAGCTCTGTTTTGCACGCTCCATCAGTGTGTATGTTTAACATTGGCAGTCTTAACATTTGTGTCTTCAAAACTACTTTACTTGCCTTTTAGATGAGGAAAACAGTTTGCATGTAGTAGTGAACTGTGGGGAAGCTCTACTCAAGAACAACACCTACTGGCCACTTGTCAGCGACTTTATAAATATCCTTTCACACCAGAGCGTGGCTAAGAAATTTTTGGAAGACCACAGGCTATTAGTAACATGGATGAATTTTGTATCATTTTTCCAAGGTATGCGTCACTTTTGCTAATTATGTGCCCTAGTATTGACTGTCCAACTATATATACCTAGATAGGGTTTAGGGGATGCAGGTGGCAATGTGGTCTAAACCACTGAGCCTCTTGGGCTTGCCGATCAGAAGGTTGGTGGTCCGAATCCCCGTGATGGTGTGAGTTCCCGTTGCTCTGTCCCAGCTCCTGTCTACCTAGCAGTTCGAAAGCACGCCAGTGCAAGTAGATAAACAGGTACCGCTGTGGCGGGAAAGTAAACGGTGTTTCCGTATGCTCTGGCACTTGTTACAGTGTCCCATTGCACCAGAAGCGGTTTAGTCATGCTGACCACATGGCCCAGAAAGCTGTCTGTGGACAAATGCCGGCTCCCTCGGCCTGAAAAGCGAGATGAGTGCCACAACCCCAGCCTTTGACTGGACTTAACCATCCAGGGGTCCTTTACTTTTTACCTTAGATAGGGGTTTGATGACTAACTTTCATTTTCTGGGTGTTTGAATTGTATACAGTGCGAAAAAGATGGTGTACTGGTTAGCTGTAACTTTGTGCAACTTTGTCTTGATCTTTTAAGGAATGAATTTAAACAAGAGAGAACTTAATGAGCATGTTGAGTTTGAATCTCAGACCTACTATGCTGCTTTTGCCGCTGAGCTTGAGGCCTGTGCCCAGCCAATGTGGGGGCTACTATCACACTGCAAAATCAGGGTAAGCTGAACACTACCTCCCCCTTTGGTTCTCTAGTGATTAAATATTTTAAATGTGAAATATGCAGTTTTAGAAAGTTGTACACTCTCCTTGTGTTAAGTTGGTACACACACCCCCGTGCCTGTTGTGTACCTTGCAGTTAATATGATAGCATTGTGCTCTTAGCTTAACACCCTTAACTTTTTATTTAATCAACTATATTCGTCAAGGTGAGCAGTAAAACTCCTTTTGAGGGTATGCTCCTTAATCTGTTGTCCTGTTACTGAAAATGTGTTCAGGTGCTTTATTAGTTATGTTGTGCAAATAATAAATAGAATGCTTTCATGTTTTTGATGGAAGTCCTTCAAAAATGTGCCTTTTTATCAAACAGAGAAATGCAGGTCCAGTGACTCCAGTTTGAAAGTACATTTATTCTCTCAGCCCCCACTGCCAAGAGCACAGAATGAGTTAACATTCCTGAAGAATTGTTGTCAGAGACCATGGTTTCGTTTTGGTTTCTGTTTCTTTTACTTTGATCGCACAGTATTGTATAATTGTTATCAGTAGGTTGAAACATCCCCCTCCCCCAGATATCAGATTGCCGATCATATCCATAAGTAAATATTGGTTCTCGACCCTGAGGGTGTACATGAGGTGAGACTAGAAACAGGACTCAGGTTCCAAATCATACATTGGGAGAGGAGAGGAAAGGGAAGGGAAGGGATGCTTGCGCCCTCTAGCAAATTTTGCTGTGTCGTTTAACTTCAGAGAGTTCATTTTTCCATTTGTGCAACCTTTGTATCCCGCTTCAGGAGACGCAGGAATACACACGAAACGTTGTTAGATACTGCCTAGAAGCACTCCAGGATTGGTTTGATGCTATCAACTTTGTGGATGAGGTTTGTGTGTCTAATGTATTTGACTTTGCATTACGGAGTAGGGTCTTCTTCTAAAATTTGGAAGCATCTTCCCTTCAAACCTATATTGCACGCACCTCCATTCCACCCTCTCTTATTGCAAGAGATTTCCCTGAGCCAAGCTACCCGGTGGAGGGTTGCTTTTGTGTCTGTAGCAATAAAAGAGCGCAGCGTCACAATTTCTGGAGTAAAAGCAGAAGTGTATGTGCGCATGTCGAAGTTTTGGGTTTTACCAGACGAGAGGAAATAATGAGTGATTTAATAGTGTGCAAAATGGAATTGTTTATTCCTTTGAATTGTAAGCGACCTTTGTTTCCATTGCAGCCTACTCCTAATCAGGTCACTTTTCATCTGCCTCTGCATCGTTACTATGCCATGTTTCTAAGTAAGGTAAGTGAATGGTTTTTTGCAGAATAGGTTTTTTGGGGGGGGGGGGGAGAGGCATTATTTAGGTAGACACGTCCAGATCAAATATGTACATATTTTGTTTGTAGGCTGTTAAATGCCAAGAGCTAGATCTCGATTCCCTCCTTCCAGACCAGGAGATGTTGATGAAGCTCATGGTTCACCCACTTCAGATTCAGGTAAGTTGGCCAAGTATTTTTCTCTCTCTGCATGTATCACCTCTGTGATGTGTCAAGCGGTAATCGCAAATAGCGAGCAGATACAGAGGGTAACATCCGATTACGTACATCCACAGTCAATACAGAAATTTGCTTGCACAATGGGAATTTTTGGTTTCTCCTCTCCCCCCTCCAGCTTCTTGTGTGGCCTAAGAAGATGCTTTGGTGGCTCTCCGAATCCTCCAAAGCAAATTGGGGGCGGGGGGGGGGGCTGCAAGGGAGAGAAAAGGAAGGAGATGCCCCATTGTATCTACATTGGATTTCACTCATGGTTCATTGCCTCAGACAGTTTTTCACCACTGGAGGCCATTGATTTGTGGCTGAATGTAACTGAGTGCTAAGGGCATGGATATCTGAATAACTGCAAGTTCATTCCCACATTGTATGTACAGCACTCTTTGTTTTCCACATATGGATCACAATAACGAGTGAGAAATTTGTGGGTGATTCTATTGAATTAGCAAGAGGTAAAGTGAAGGCCAAAAGCGGGAGTGTATCTGAGAACAACACAGAAAAAAGTTAGACGGTATAAATAAGCAGGGAAAATATTCAGATCCTGTGGAACAACTGCTCAGTGGTTGCAGTTAAAAATGTGATTACATCCTTGGTTGTGGCTGACATTTTGTCTGGATGGCATCCTATGTATTAGTGAAAGTCACAGGGGAGAAAGATTGCTATGTTTGCTATGTTGGTTTTGCAGTGCCTCCAAAGTCTAGTGTGCCACCACGGATTGAAATATTCTGCAAAAAGCTGTGTGATCAGCTACAAAAATATATTCTCAGCTTTTCAAGTTCTTAACACTGCAAAATAGTATGCCTAAGCAACAGGTAGCATGTTGAGCTGAAACAGCTTTCTTTTTGCTCTTTCCGATAGGCAAGCCTCTCTGAAATCCATAGTAATATGTGGGTAAGGAACGGCCTGCAGATTAAAGGACAAGCCATGACTTATGTGCAGTCCCACTTCTGTAATTCCATGATTGATCCTGACATTTATCTGTTACAGGTAGGTCAGTACTTTTTGTAACCTCATCTGCTCTATGTTATTAGATAGCTAAACAGTAATAACTAACATATATATTTTCTCCTCCCCCCCCCCCCCCGAAAACAGGTTTGCGCTTCAAGACTTGACCCAGATTATTTCATTTCCTCAGTTTTTGAAAGGTAAGATACTGTTGAAAAGAACACACCGTCTAAGCAATGTCTGCCTTGTGGTTTAAATACACCATGTGGTGGCAGTGCAAATTTGCAAAAAAAAAATCTGGGTAATGGTATATGACAAATTTAAAAAGTGCACTTTCCCCCAAAAAACCAGAAGCATTCCAGTTAGCAATAGTAGGTCAGGAAACAAAGTTCAAAACTTACTTCTATACGGAACAGCAGCTGCAAGAATAGTGTACGCAAAAATGCGGAAAGAGAAGGCTTTTCCAACAAAGGACCAATGGCTGCTTAAACTAATAGAATACATCGAACTAGTATGTACGGCAGCCAAAAGAAGAAATAATGATGGGAAGATAGTAACAAGTGAGTGGGAACAATTGGAAGAGTGTTTAAAAGGAAGTGGTATTAAGATAAATCTACAAGCAGGGATAAATCTGTAGTCGTCAGCAGCAGACACAATAAAGCAGCGGTCACCAACGTCCGGCCCGGGGGCCGGATAAGGCCCGAGACCCTCGTTTATCCAGGCCCCCGCCACCCATTCTTACCAGTGCGGTCCGCCGTGGGGACCCACTTCCAGGTCGGAGGAGCACTGGAAACAGCTTGTGCACATGCAGAGGAATAGCCGCCTGAAGCCCCCGGAGTTCCCGCTGCGCTCCGAAGGCTTGCGGATAGCCGCCTGATTCCTGGAGAGTGAGAGAGGTTGGTTCACATCAATCCCTCTTGCTCTCCAGGCTTCGCTTCGCTGGAGAGGCGCTGCACAGTTTTCCCTCTCTGCGCAGCGCCCCTTCAGCGAAGCGGGAGGAGAAATGGAAGGGGCTCCATTTCTCCTCCCGATTCACTGAAGGGGCGCTGCGCAGAGAGGGGGAGAATTTTTTTTCCTGTTCTCCCCCTCCTATGATCCTGTGCGTCCTATGGTCTGGTGCGTCCTATAGAGCAAAAAATACGGTAATTGTTTTGATTATCTTGATGTCTGGAGACATGGAATGGAGAGTGGAATATTTGTAAAACAGTTTGGGTTGCCATTGAAGGGGAGTAGTTTTGGACACCAGCAGTGGATCCCCTCTTTGGAGAAAGTGGCAACTTTGAGCGGATGGCTTTTATCCATGGAGTGCGTCAGTGGGTTAACCCCACCCTCTGTGTGCCATGGTTCTAGTTCAAACTGGGTTACCAAACAAACAAACAAAGCATGTAATACTAATTGGAAATACATTTTTAATGTTTAAAAGTAAACATGCACATTTCTGTTTGCCTGGATATCGGTTGCCCTTGGGTGATGAGCTAATTGCAAAATGGTGCCTTCACTCCAGCTTCTCTCAGGGCACTGCTGAGTTTCCTGGCTAAAATGCAGCAGCACTTGTGCTCTGATGTTTATCCTGAAGATGCGAGGGCCAGACGACAGCCCATCTGCCTTAATGTGCCCATATTCGCACGTGTGCATCCTCTCTTTTCTGGCCTTGGTATTGTAGCGCTGTTGTGTTTCTGAAGAAGGGGCTGATGAAATACATTCCGGCGCTATGGAGACAGTGTGCTCCCTCCTCCCCATCCTTTGTTTATGGCTTAGGGAATAGAGACGGGCAGCAGGCATTTCACAGTACAGTGGTACCTCTGGTTACGTACTTAATTCGTTCCGGAGGTCCGTTCTTAACCTGAAACTGTTCTTAATCTGAAGCACCACTTTAGCTAATGGGGCCTCCTGCACCACCACCACGTGATTTCTGTTCTCATCCTGAAGCAAAGTTCTTTACCTGAGGTAGTATTTATGGGTTAGCAGAGTCTGTAATCTGAAGCGAGATACCACTGTACCTTGGTTTGCATACGTCTTGGATTACAAACACATCAAACCCGGAAGTGCGTGTCCCAGTTTGCAACCTGTTTTTTGGATTACACCCCACACTTTTTTCTTTTTCTTTTTTTGGATTATGAACAAAAAATTTTGGGAGGCCCCATTGGCGAAAGTGCGCCTTGGGTTACAACCTGTTACGGACCTCCGGAACGGATTATGGTTGTAAACCATAGAGATGCTTCAGGTTACAGGATCCTCTAACCCAGAAATAGTACCTTGGGTTAAGAACTTTACCTCAGGATGAGAACAAAAACCGTGTGCTGGCCGTGCGACGGCAGCGGGAGGCCCCATTAGCTAAAGTGGTGCTTCAGGTTAAGAACAGACCTCTGGAACAAATTAAGTTTTTAACCCGAGATACCACTGTACTGCATTTCATTGGAAACTCGGTGTCAAAAGTATCTAAGCACCCTCCGACCTGCTCCCTCTGTGTTAAGGTTTGGGAAAAGGCTGACAGACTGAATTGGGAGCAGATGCTGCATGGCAGCTCTGGGGCATGTAGGGAAGGAGAAAAGTAGAGCTATCTGTAGGCAAACAACACAAAGTGTGCGATAACCCATTAAAAAAAATAAATCCAAATTTCAATGGAAGGTTGAATCTTGTACTGTGTGCCAGATGTTGCAGGGTGTAATGGCACAGAGAGAAATTTGTTACTTCTTTTTTTAAAAAAATAGACAGTCGTTTATCCTCACAGATCTCATGGTGGTATACACTAGGCAAGAGTAAAATATATCGTGCCAAAACCACAATAGAGTAATAGTCATCCTCATAAAAACAGTTAGAGGCAACCAAAAACAAGCAGGCTAAATGATAGCGAACATCAAAATATCTGGGCAAGTAAGCAAGTTGCACTTCAATATTCGCTGCTGTTGTGCTGTGTGAAGTTAAGGGGTCTCCATTTGATCATGTCTGGATGGGCAAATGCCTGGGAGCCTTGTGAGCTTCCTGGAGGAGCAACAGGAAATGTTCTCAAATTATTAACCGTACTAGATTTTCTAAAATTCATATTTTCCTCACCTGTAGGTTCAAGGTGGTTGACCTCTTAACAATGGCTTCCCAACATCAGAATACAGTGCTAGATTCAGAGCATGAGAGATCGATGTTAGAAGGCGCCTTAACATTTCTTGTCATTCTTTTAAGTCTCCGTTTACACTTGGGTAAGATTAATTGGCTTTCTGCTTTACTCCTAGTAATATCTATGTCGGGGTAGGAATGGTCACAGGCACCAGTGTTTAGGTAGGAATGGTGATGGAAACCTCAGCCAAAAGCACTTGCTAATTCTTAATGTTATTGAATTGTTTCTCGGAACCTTCGCCTTTGTTAGTCCCTCTTGGTGGAAGCCAAAAGTTGTGGTTGCCCACTAAGTTGTGTTTATTTAGTCAGTCTCCATTCTTGTAACTTGAATCCATTGGTTTGGGTCCTAGCTTGCTCGATCCTCCTTGTGACAGACCTTTAGATATTTGAAGCTGGCTATCCTATCTCTTTTCAGTCTCCTCTTTACTAGGCTATACATGCCCAGTTCCCTCAACCATCCCTAATAAGGCTCTAAATCAGGCATAGGCAAACTCGGCCCTCCAGATGTTTTGGGACCACAACTCCCATCATCCCTAGCTAACATGACCAGTGGCCAGGGATGATAGGAGTTGTAGTCCCAAAACATCTGGAGGGCCGAGTTTGCCTATGCCTGCTCTAAATCCTTGTTTCTTATTGATACTCTGTGGATTAACAGCCCAAATTTTTTTTTAAATCAGTCATAGTACTTTTTTAAAACTCTTTTACTGTAAAACTGAATGCACTTCTAGGTAGTAATAACTCCACCTCCGCTTCCTATCTTATGGTATGTATTATATGGTTATGTTAATTTACCTTTCAATTTCTCCTAGGAATGACTGATGATGAGATTCTTCGGGCAGAGATGGTAGCTCAGCTCTGCATGAATGACAGGACTCATAGTTCTCTACTGGACCTCATATCCTTGGAATGTTGTTAAATGCATTTTTTCTGTGACTAATTAACAGGATTCATGTATTGTTCTTCTCTTTGGTGTACAACAAGTAAGACTATTAGAAGCAATTTTGAATGCCTTGAAACAATATTAGCATATAATTTTCATATGAAAAGTTGCATGTTGAGCTTGCAATGAAATTTGATGTTGTACTGAGCTGGAGATATAGATCATATATATATATATATATATATATATATATTACACCCACACCCATAAGCACTCTAGTCTTTCTAACTCTGGTCTAGGAATATAAATCATCACCTTTCTTCCAACCTTCTGATTCAAAAGGATAGATTTGGGATTTACAACTGTGTTTGCCTTTCCATTGAATTAAACTGCCTTCCCCAGATTGGGTTCTTGCACTCCAGGGAGTAATTGGGCAATATGCCAGGACAAAAATAAATAAATACTAGTGTTACCTGGTTTGTTTGAAATCCAAATTTCAGTCTTTTAAAAAACTGTAATGTACACGAAGACCCAGAAGGGTGCAGTATAGTGTTCTCCTTCTGGTGAGATAATCTTCCATATTTAAACATGTGAAATCTGTCTTCCTCCCCTGTTAGCAACCAAAGGGTGAGATTTCAAAAAAACCACAACTAGCCAAGGCTTTAGTGTCGTTGCACAGCTTTCTTTTTCTTACCGATGTGCATATCCTTAATCTAGTGTAATGTGGATTAAGATGGATTAGTAATACCACTATATTCATGCAATTATGTCCTTAAACCAATTAACATTTTGCAACTGTGATGGGGTCGTTTTTCAGAATGATGGACATTCTTTGGTTTTTTTGTTACAGCTTCCTAGCACCTCTGGAATAAGCATTTATTTATGTATCTAACCATTCTCTTAGTCTGAATTCTACAAACATGTATTTGAAATCTATGTGCCGCCTCCAAGAAAACTTTCAACATTAACACTTAAAATGATGGATCGAACACCATTTAATTCTGCAATATAGACCTCTTCTGGTGAAGTGAAGCAACTGCAGAAATCCCTGTTGCTTCTGCCCACCAAAAGACATGCTTACACAGTGGTACCTTAGTTCTCGAACAAATTGGCTCCCGATTGCCGAAAAACTGTTCCGGTTTCCAAACGTTTTTCAGAATCCAAACGTCTGATGTGGCTTCCGCTTGAGTACAGGAAGCTCCTGCAGCCAATTGGAAGCTACGCCTTGGTTTTCGAACGGTTTTGGGAGCCGAACAGATTAAGTTTGAGAACCAAGGTACCACTGTAGAATCATGGAAGGAAGGGACTATGAGGGTCATCTAACCCAACCCTCTTCAATGCAGGAACCTTGATCGACCCACAACCCTGAGATTAAAAGTCTCGTGCTCTACCGACTGAGCTATTAAAAAATGGCTGTGTATTTCTAGATGAAGTTTGGTATGCATGTGGGGATGATTAGGGAGGCAGGAGAGGATATATTCTTTAATGATGTCCTTCCTAAGTTCCATATTCTAGCAGAGTTCCAAACATCCCCCTTTTTAAATTACACAGCGATCAGTTTGTTGCTGACTCATCTGAGTCTTACTATTAAAGATTCCTTCCTGGTAAAATCCCGTCCAATCCCTCTTAAAAAGAATAAACAATAGAATCTGATTTAACGTTAATATAAAAGTAGTTTACTTACAGATTGATTCAGGTTCACAGACATATCCCTGAAGGCAGGCTTAGGTTGCATAACAACTAGAACTATTTCATAAAGAAGTTAGTCCCAAGTGACTGCAACTGAGCAGTCACTTCTCCAGACACACAGCAACATACAAAATGGAGAACACACACTGATCAGAACATGGAGGCCGTGTTCTCCTCCATGCTAGTACAACAGACCACACCCTCTTCAAGTCTATCCCAGCTCAGGAAGTCTTCTCCTGAGTGATGCAAAACATCCCCTAACATGTCCACTGTAGGAAAGTTGTACAGTGGACGCTCGGGTTGTGAACGCGATCCGTGCGGGAGGCACTTTCGCAACTCGCAGCGTTCACAACCTGCGTGTCTGCGCACGGGCGGGTCGCAATTTGGCGCTTCTGCGCATGCGCAAAGCTCTATTTAGTGCTTCTGCGCATGCACAAGCGCCGAAACACGGAAGTAACCCATTCCGGTACTTCTGGGTTCGGCGCGGTGCGCAACCCGAAATCATGCAATCCGAAGCGTCTATAACCCAAGGTATGACTGTACTTGACTGCAGTTTTACATCCCACAATGCAGTGGTGACTTTTTGTAACGGAAAGCACTCCTCCTCACACAAGGCAAGGCATGCAATTTCTGCTGACCCCCACCACCCCACACATGCGCACTGGCAGGCCTCCACAGTGTCCCATATATGTATACTGTTGCAGAGGATCAACCAACCCTCAAGTACAGCTAGAGTGACTAGGGAGAGTTGAAAAACAATATGCTGCCCCATCTTGCAGAAGCAGAAGTGTTTTCTTACTAGTTCAGGGCCACCATTGTATACAACCCGAATAAAGTTAATATATGCAACGCTCATGGGAACGAACACCTTTTTGTTGAAAAATTGGGCAATTGTTGTTTACCTTAACACGAGGATCACATTCCAGAAAACCCAAATCCGAAAAGTGGCATTATTCCTGGAAGCCTAAGCTTTGAATCAATGCTGTCAGCTGTAGCTGATTTTAAGGCTCCTGTGTTTGAACCCGGGGGCTCTATGCAGCAAGGAATGTATACACCTAAAGGTATGTTCAGTTTTTATGGGTGTTTTAGTGGGAATCTGCAATATATGTATGGGTTCTTAATGAGCTGGTATTAATTACAACTCTAGAAATTAATTATTGTTATTTATTTATACCCCGCCCATCTGGCCGGGTCTCCCCAGCCACTCTGGGCAGCTTCCAATAGAATATTAAAAACACAATAAAACATCAAACATTAAAAACTTCCCTAAACAGGGCTGCTTTCAGATGTCTTCTAAAAGTCAGGTAGTTGTTTATTTCCTTGACATCTGATGGGAGGGTATCTCTAAGATGTAAACAGCTTAGAGATAGTTGACTTCAGTTGCGTATTATGTGAATTTTGGTGGATTAATAAAAATTTTCAGAATTTCAGTGTTGTTACATGCTTTCAACTTTTTTGCTTTTCCTTCCCTAATTCCTCTGTTTAAACAAGTGGTTGTTCTTCACACTTTGAACACCATCATGATATGTACAAGAACCAAAATAGTTGATCGGCGAACAGGATACATTGTAATTGTGTATGTTGAGTAATGATAATAAAGATATGTGTTTGAGGATGTTGGCACAAAACTGAAACACTTAGTTGCTGAAAACCTTCATTGTGGTTCAGCATGCACGTAGGTTAAGCCAAACCTTATCTAAACATAGACAAGCATGTGGGCACTGAGGGGAAAAATAATTATGACTGTGCTACTCCTTCCCTGGTCCTGCTGCTGCCATGCTACCCATTGCTAAGTTTCAATTTGGCTTAGCATTATGTGTGATCCCTCATGGTTTGTCTTGTTTTAGACAAACCAACAGTTGTGTCTAGAGCAAAGTTTTAAACCATAAACCTTAGGGCCAGCTTTAGAGCATCCCGTTTGATGGTGCTCTTGTGCCTACCAGATATGGGACCATTATTCTTATCCGAAAGGTGTTTCAGAGTGAGCAGTAGAACACCTCCAAGATCCAACGTAAGTGTGGTCATACTTAAGATTGGATTTGAGGAGTGGACTGTCCATTGTGTAGTCTTGTGTGTGCATACGTTCTGTGTATTACATTACAGTCGTACCTCGGCTTAAGTACTTAATTCGTTCCGGAGGTCCGTTCTTAACCTGAAACTGTTCTTAACCTGAAGCACCGCTTTAGCTAATGGGGCCTCCTGCTGCCGCCGTGCCGCCACCGCATGATTTCTGTTCTCATCCTGAAGCAAAGTTCTTAACCCGAGGTACTATTTCTGGGTTAGCGGAGTCTGTAACCTGAAGCATATGTAACCTGAAGCATATGTAACCCGAGGTACCACTGTATTTCTTATCAGTTGTGGTATGAGAGTGGTTTGACTCAGTTTTAGGTTATTTTCATGCTTGATTAGAAAGCAAATGGGCATTTTATACTCCAAGGGAGAGGTAAAAGAGAGCTTCTTGTAGAGTGACAATGTTTTCCTGCCTCTTGGAACTGGAGAAGTACAGTCCCACTTGGTGGTTTGGTAGTGCCCACTTAGAAACACCTTTTGGATAAAACGATGAGTTCCTTCTCATTAATGTGTCCTTCTTCTTCGTGTTGTTATTTGAAGTACAGTGGTACCTTGGGTTACATATGCTTCAGGTTACATACGCTTCAGGTTACAGACTCCGCTAACCCAGAAATAGTACCTCGGGTTAAGAACTTTGCTTCAGGATGAGAACAGAAATCGTGCTGCGGCAGTGCGGCGACAGCAGGAGGCCCCATTAGCTAAAGCGGTGCTTCAGGTTAAGAACAGTTTCAGGTTAAGAACAGACCTCCAGAACAAATTAAGTACTTAACCTGAGGTACCATCTGTACATGAATAAACAAAATAATCAGTCAGCTACTTTAGTTCTTAATCATTCAGTATTTTTCAAGCACACCAGTATAAACTCAGGGTTTTAATGGTTGTTAATTGGATTTCATTGTCTAGTGTTTTTAGATGTTTATATGATCAGGTGAAGGTATGGTATGTTTGTAAGTGATTCTTTGTGTGTGAAGTAATTTGTATTTATCTTTAAAAAAAAAAAAATCTTGAATAGATTTCAGAACTTAATGTCAAACATGTTCTATCTCTTTAACAATAGCTGAAGTCTGGGATAAGGAGTTTGACCCAGTCATGGTAATTCTCCGAACTGTTTACCGTAGAGATGTGCAATCTGCGATGGACAGATATACAGCATTGTAAGTTGAATGTATTCTAAAATGAATACTATATTATGTAATAGTAATATACAGTGCCTTTTATTCTTAGGCAGTGAACCCGTTGGCATGTCATGCAAAGCCAGTTTGTTTTAAATCGTGGCTCAATCGTGATTCTTAATTGTGAATTCTTTGTTCGCTTCAAACAAGCCATGAGAAATAAGACAGAAGTAAGCCCAGTTTTGTTACTGACTTTATTTCTTGCTTACCGCTCGTGGTTTGTGTGAATACAAAAACGTTCCATACTATGACTTGTCTGAGTACATCCTTAAAAGTAGATTGAGACTCAATCTGCTGCCGTAGTTAGCAAGGGCAAAATCATTCCAATTACATATTGTTGCCACTCACTTGAAACAAATTATTATTCAGCTGGCTTGGGTCGGTATACGGCTGAAGTCCTTACAAGTATAATTTTGTGCTTTTCACTGGTGCAATTCTGTGAAACGTGTACCTTTTAAGTTTTTTTAAAAAAAACCTTCGTTTTGTGAAGTGGCATGTCAGAATGATGTATTACCTGCCATTTTGAAGAAATACATAACCTTTTCAATTTTTAGTGAACTGAATAATATGTTCCTTGAAGCCAAGTAAAAACAAATTGGAAGTCCACCTTTTGGATTTCTCTTTCCCTCCCATCTCCTCCCCTCCTACCCAATATTTGCATCTTGAAGAACTGTTCTAGATATACTAACTGGAAATGTTACCCATCTAGAGATTTGTAGTTGTTCTTCATTCCCATCTGTGTGGTACAACTACGTTTACTACCCATATTATTAAAAGGATGATTTGTCATTGGGAAACCTGCTCAGAAAACAAAGAAACATTTTTGTTTTCAAGTCTCTTCACTTCCTTGTTTCTGCTTTCCTTTTGCCAGCTGTGAGAAATTCTTTGAGCTGAATCGCACTCTGGCAAAAATGGGAACAGCCTGTTACCTGAAAAGATTTTGCCCTCCTCCCGCACATCTGGACTTGAGCTCAGTACAGATGTTATGCTTAACTGTCTTAATCAGAGTTAAGAGATTGGAAGCAGGCCACTTTTCTTTGTTGGTATTAACCATGGTGCACCAGAACATCAGCACCAGTATTAATGTTAATTGTAAACCTAGGCTTAGAAACTGGCTTGCAAACCTTTTGAATTTCTCCTCCCCTTCCATTAGTTTTTACCATGGTAGCACTGTTGTTGCATACTTTATCTTGCTGTACTTAGGTTAACACTGACAAGGACAGGAGTGTAGAGTCCATGTGGAAGGAGGAATGGGTAGTATCAGTTGTGCTGGTAAAATCTAAGACCACAATCATATGTACACTTAAAAGAGAGAAAACTCAAGATTTACTTTCGAGTACATGGTGCTGTGGTCTAAACCACAGAGCCTAGGACTTGCTGATCAGAAGGTTGGCAGTTCGAATCTCCGCGACGGTGTGAGCTCCCGTTGTTTGGTCCCAGCTCCTGCCGACCTAGCAGTTTGAAAGCACATCAAAGTGCAAGTAGATAAATAGGTACCGCTCCGGCGGGAAGGTAAACGGCATTTCCGTGCGCTGCTCTGGTTCGCCAGAAGCGGCTTAGTCATGCTGGCCACATGACCCGGAAGCTGTACGCCGGCTCCCTCGGCCAATAAAATGAGATGAGCGCCACAACCGCAGAGTCAGTCACGACTGGACCTAATGGTCAGGGGTCCCTTTACCTTTACCTTTTACATACTTAGTACATCTGTTGAGATATGAAGGTGGTGCTTGCCTCACTCTTTTTGTGATCATAATGAAAGTTATCAGCAGGAGAGAGGCAGGACTATGATGTTGAAAGCGCTTCAGAATTCAGACCGTGGGAAGCCAAAACAAAAATTATTACAATTTGGAAGAAAATTGGACTTTTTTTATTTTTTTTATTGGATTTGATTTGATATGTTAATTAGATGTTTTTATTGGAAAATTAATAAACGCTTTAAAAAAAAGAAAAGAAAGAAAGTTCTCAGCTTTCACCATTCTATCTGATTTGCTGTTGGCTTTAGTATTAGAAGAGCCAGAGCCCTTTATCCAGGGTTGTATCCAATGAAGGCACCCTGTTAGTGCAAGGATTTCTGCTTCCCATCTCTCCCTAGCCCCTCAAATCTGTTCCTGGATTATGGCGAAAACCCATAATGCATTTGAGCCTATTTTATAACTGGCACCTGGCTTTCAAAATGTTCGGTGCAAGCATTTTTAATTTTTCATTTACTACCAGAAATGCTGAAAAGGGCATGCAGTCAAATGGGCATTCGTTGAGTATCACAGTTCTCAGTTGTATCTTCTGTAGCATTAACTTTGAGCAGGTTATTTTCTGGTTCTCTTACAGCTTAAAACAAAGTGGGAAAGTGCATGGAAACCCCTGGCCTCCTTACAAGAAACGGACACATTTACACCCAAGCTACAAAGGACTCATGAGGCTGTTGCACTGCAAAACTTTACACATTGTGTTATTCACTCTGCTCTACAAGGTACTACTGAATTGTTGGAGTAGGGAGGGGGAACCAAGGGACACAAAGCTACTTCAGATTTCACATAATTTTGGTTTCTGGAGGATGTTTGCTGTGGGTACAATTTTGAAACAGTGATTTAAAAATAAAATAAAAAGTTAATAAAACTTGATTTTCCAAGGAGAAATGGAACATAACTGAATACATTTTAAGATTATTGTTAAGAGAAAATAGTGCCACCAAACCCTCTTGTTTGCTCCTGTCCTGAAACATTCTGCACATTTTCTCAGCTATACAGGCTCAAGCTAAATTAGGTGGCCAGACTAGAATTTTTGAAACCTCACCTTGAGCTCATCTCTCCCTCTCCCTCTCCCTCTCCCTCTCCCTCTCCCTCTCCCTCTCCCTCTCTCTCTGTGTACTTCTTTAATTTGTTCCTTAAAATTAAAGCTTGCATATTTCCACAACACAAACATTATCTAGTTGTGCTTGGGAAGGTGGTCTGTGTGTTTGTGAATTGTGACCACCATTTTTCTCTTTGTAAATCGTTAGCAGCTGTCATTCTGAGAGGTTTTCCTGTACTGAATACTGAATCATGTGGAACTGATGTAGCTATATATTATTTCTTTCTGTTTCCCTTCCCCTCCCACCGAATTCTGAAGTGGAAAAATTTTGAAAGGGAAAAAGGAAAGTAACATTTACTTTTGCTTTAGATATTAATGGATCATCAAAATCTGTCGGAACATGTCCTTTGCATGGTTTTATATTTGATTGAATTGGGACTAGAGAACTCATCCGAGCAGGAATCTGATGAAGAAGTAAGTGCTCACATTTCTGTACCTTTTTGGTGTTGTGTTTGTATCTATAACTACATTTTTATTTTATAGACAATATATTTGCTCTGCTCGCAGCAAACTTTTACTGGAATGGAGGGGTGGGGGTAAGGCAATTTTCCTTCCTTCCTCCCTCCTGTGTCCCCTGGAAAGTTACTTGGGTGGGCTAGGGGACCCTACAGAAGAGCATGGGAGGTGGCACTGTGGACTGTAGGAGGAGGGGGACATTACTGAAAATTGCCCCTTTCCTGCAGTTGGCGCCTCTGTTAGCATGGCGTAGTGGTTAGAGTGCTGCCTTTGGCCCTGGGTGTAAAGGTAAAGGGACCCCTGACCATTAGGTCAAGTCGTGGCCGACTTTGGGGTTGCAGCGCTCATCTCGCTTTATTGGCTGAGGGAGCTAGCGTACAGCTTCCGGGTCATGTGGCCAGCATGACTAAGCCGCTTCTGGCGAACCAGAGCAGCGCACAGAAATGGCGTTTACCTTCCCGCCGGAGCAGTACCTATTTATCTACTTGCACTTTGATGTGCTTTCAAACTGCTAGGTTGGCAGGAGCAGGGACCAAACAATGGGAGCTTACCCCATTGTGGGGATTTGAACTGCCGACCTTCTGATCGGCAAGTTCTAGGCTCTGTGGTTTAACCCACAGCGCCACCCGCGCACCAGGGTTCAAATCCCCACTCAGCCATGAAGCTCACGGGGTGACCATGGGGCAGCTACTCACTCTCAGCCTAACCTACCTCACAGGGTTGCATGTTCGCCACCTTGAACTCCTTGCATGAAAAGTGAGCTCATTAAAGAAGGCCCCAGACCGTCCTTCTCCAGCCTTGGGTCCTCAGATGGACTACACTCCCATCTGGGAACTCGGGGTTGGAGAAGACTGCCTTAGACCCTTCCACAGGCAGAATGAGTCCCTCTGTTGGTGGAAGGACATTTTGGATCCAATCCACTATCTTTTCAGAGCCTTATTTTAATGGTGGGCTGCTCATTGTGGGTGGAGGTTGGCCCCTAGGAATAACTCAAAGACCTCTAGTGCAGTGAGCTCAGAGCCTGAAAATCCCAACTCAGTCATGAGCCCACCAGGTGCCTTTAGGCAAGCTAAACAGCCTCAGCTCACCAGGTGCCATACAGGGATAGCAATACTTCACAAGGCTATCATGGCAACACGAGAACAGGGCCTTCTCTGCAGTTGCTCCCTGTCTGTGGAATGCTCTCCCCAGGGAAGTTCGCCTGGCGCCTTCATTATACACCTTTAGGTGCCAGGCAAAAGCGTTCCTTTTTAACCAGGCCATTGGTTAATTTGATTTACATCCTATGCCCTTTTAAAATGTGGTTTTATGTGGTGGAGGGTACTATTGGGTTGTTGTTTTTATTTTTATTATGTATTTTGTGGTTTTATATCTTGATTTTATTATGTGAACCGCCCTGAGACCCCCGGGTATAGGGCGGTATAGAAATTCAATAAATAGTAATATTGGGAGAATGTATATGGCGCGTAACATTGCATAGGACTGCCACCTTAGTATTTCGAGAGTATTTTCCCCAGCACTTAAAGTGCTCTGTAAATACTAAAGTGGCAGCCCCAGTTATTCAGGAATAATTTTCCTCCATGTGCGGATTGGATGAGTTGCACTGACCACATCTGGTGCTGATGGCCTGCTTTGTTTTTGATGTGCCAGGATTCCATAGGAGGACAAGAGCGCTGCCACGATAGTTGGTTCCCAGGGAATAACTTGGTGTCTAACATGCGCCACTTCATTAATTACGTGCGTGTCAGAGTCCCAGAGACGGCCCCAGAGGTGAAAAGAGAACCACCTGCAAGTACAAGTGCCGATGGCTCAGCAGCTTCTCAGGTAAGGATGAGATCTTGCAGATTTATTATTACGGTTCAATGCTGACCTCAAGGCCTTTTGCCTTTATGTGGTTGACTTAAGCTTTGCTGAATTTATAGCTGTCCATATTTGATACTTCAAGACCTGGTATGTAATAATCACATTTCTTAGGGTGTTTTAATGTCATCCTTTTCCTCCAACTTCCCAGAATCCCAGGCGGCCTAAAGGACTTCAGAGAGAGGTAGAATTCTGTGTATCTTGCGTTCTAATGGCAAGATGGCTTTAGCTGTGCTGACCCTAACTTCCCTGCAATTCCACAGTCTTTTCAAGAATGTTATTAAGAAATAGCCGCCAATGCATATTTCTAACAATTGCATTAAAAGAAAAGTGCATTGGCCTAGAACATGGCAATCCTTTTTGGTTCCAAATTAATTGTGCCATCTGCTGGAGATAACCTTTTTTTTAAAAAAAGGGGGGGGGAGAGAATTGCTAGCCTGTTGGAATAAATACTGGCTGCTTTGAGCGTGTGTGAATTTCTGCTGCGGTTCTTGCTAACATTTAATAATGCTGCTGCTCTTTAGCTTCCCATTTTCAATAAGCCTGGCCCTCAGTCTTGTTAGAAATTACTTGAAATGATAAATGGTTAGTTGATTCATCTTTGTGAACACATGATTAACTTGTTTGAATGATTTATAGCCAATTCATAATGGGGTTGCCACCTTTTCGGGTGGAGGGATGGTGAAGAACAGAGCCATGGCTCATTTTCTTATAGTAAATCAAGTATACACTACTACATATTTCATTAGCAGCAAGGCTATGCTAAAAGGAAAATGCTTAATGGAAGGCAAGCGTCACAGTTATTTTTTAAGGACAGAGCAGCAACTCTGTAAAATAATCACATTTGTCCTGGTATAGCAAGTATGTCCAACAGGTAGATCGTGATCTACCGGTAGATCACTGCAGTAGATCACTGGTAGATCATTGGCTCCCCCCAAAGAAGCTGAACAACTCTGGCTCCCCTAACTTTGACCTGAACCCCCCAAAAGGGGGTAGATCACTGCCAGTTTTTAACTGTGAGTAGATCGCAGTCTCTTGGGAGTTGGCCACCCCTGTGGTATAGAACAAATTTTAACAAAAATTGCAGCTGTAAAACACACATGGTTTTTTTGACCCACCTGCAGAGCCGATAACACCCCCAGTCCCTCTTTAAATAATGCAACGTGCTCTTTTTTTCTACATACATATCTCAAATTTATAACAATTCTCATAGTAAAACGTACACAGTGGTATTCCAAACTTTTGAAAAGGGACTGGAGCCTTTTTAATCATAAAGCTTTTTAGCTGTAAACTTTGTGTATTGGGGGGGGGGTTTGTTTTACTGCATAAATATTGGGAATGTTCAAAAGTGTTAAACAGTTTGGAACAGGCTGTGGGATTACTTTTCCCCTGCCTTTGGAAGTGCTAATTTCCCCAGTCCTTCCTCTGCTGGCCTTAACCGTGACTGAACTTAACATCTGCAACTACATTTGGTTATGATTAAGGCTAACCAAGACTGGAAATCTGAGAGAACCTTGGTTACACTTAACTGCTGATCATATTTGGGTTTGGATACAACTCTAAACCATAGCTTGTTCAGTTTTAACCCACCCAAGCCAACTAATTATGGTTTGTGTGAGGTCAACAAACTACTGCCTGAAATTATGGTTTTACGTTGGCTTGTGTTAACTGTGATATGTTATATCAAAACTCAGTATCGTGGCTTAATCCTAGTCCATGCCTCTGCCAAAACATTTGGAAACCAAAGTGCGGCTTCTGATTGGCTGCAGGAAGCTCCTGCAGCCAATCAGAAGCCCCGTCGGACATTTGGCTTCCAAAAATAGTTCACAAACCAGAACAGTCACTTCTGGTTTTCAGCGTTTGGGAGCCAAAACGATCGAGAACTAAGGTGTTCAAAAACCAAGGTACGACTGTAGTTAATTGTGGGTAAGATTGGTGGGGGGGCAGGGTGGCTGCTTCAGAAGGGAAACTGGAGAGGCAGATGATCCTGTGGCCCGCTTTTAATTGCATTACTTCGTTAAGCATTTGGGAGTTGTATGTGTGCACCAGCCTCGGGAGATTGTGAAGTATATTTTAAATGTGAATGTACTTTTAAGGTGTGGCAGTTTTTGTTTTAAACAGCTAAGTAACAAATTGAAATGATTTTAAACATAATTTTAGTTTAGCTTGTAGTTTTCATACTTACTGATTACTATATCTAATGCCCTTTTCTTATTTTTCCCCCTTAAGAATTCAGGAACAGCACAAGTGTTCAGTCTCGTTGCAGAGCGCAGAAAGAAGTTTCAGGAAATCATCAATCGGAATACTACTGAAGCCAATCAGGCTGTTCGACCCAAGACTTCAATGAAGTGGTCTGCTCCAGGTGCAACTCCCCAGCTGACAACAGCTATCTTGGAAATCAAGGAAAGCATATTGTCTTTGCTAGTGAAGCTTCACCATAAACTGTCAGGAAAGCAGAACTCTTATTACCCACCCTGGCTGGATGACATGGAAACGTTAATTCAGTGCGAAAACCCTAAGTACTTACACGGGGATGGAATGACTGCGGTGGAAAGGATTTTATTGAAAGCTGCACTTCAAAGCAGATTGAACAAACGTATCATTGAAGAAATATGTAGAAAAGTGACTCCACCTGTACCACCAAAAAAGATTAGTCCGGCAGAGAAGAAAATTTTGGACAAAGAAGAAAGGTAATTGGTGGCGGCGGTGGCGGGGGGGGTTATTTCAATGTTTGAACCAATTAGGAAGTTTGACAGTATTCTGTGTTAACAGGCTTCTAGTTCTTCATTTGAGACCTTTATGAATTTAGGGCACTGATTGGCAGTAGACTTGACTACTGGACTAATGCCAACTATTGTTGATGCTGGAAGAAAACAGACTGGCAGGAAGAGCTAGGGAAATGGGTGCTTGCTGCATTTCCTTTCTCCTTGTACCCATGTCTCAAGAGGGAAAATGTTATAATCTGCCCTCCACTGTTTTAACAGGGCTGCATTTCTAAGGGCGTGCACATGCATGCATTGATTCTACCGGGGTACCTTGGTTTACAACCATAATCCGTTCCGGAGGTCTGTTTGCAAACCAAAACAGGTTGTAACCCAAGGCGCGCTTTCAGCAATGGGGCCTCCAAAAAAAATTTGTTTGTAATCCCAAAAAAAATGGGTTGTAATCCAAAAAAAAGTTTGCAAACTGGGACACGCACTTCCGGGTTTGACGTGTTTGTAATCCAAAACATATGCAAACCAGACTGTTTGCAAACCAAGGTACCACTGTATTTGTATAAAACACATTTTCCCCTCTAAACCTTACTGGCAGTATTTGCTCAGTGTGATACCCTCACATGAGCTTTCATAATACAAGAGTCACTTTGCGACCTATATTGTTGTGTTTGTTTGAACATTCCTGCGCTAGCAGTTACCTGATAGAATAACCTGAGCAGGCAAGACTGCGTGTCATCCTAACTCTTTTTGTGAATCCCCACCCCCAGTGTGTGGTGAAATGGGGGCCAGGCCCCTCCCTCCACACCTTTCATGCGGCTTCTCACTCCACCTGACGGTCAAATCACCAAGTTGCTTGGGAGCCATTGCAGTATTTCGTTGCGGAGGTAAAGGACCCCTGACAGTTAAGTCCAGTCACGAATGACTCTGGGGTTGCGGCACTCATCTCACTTTACTGGCCGAGGGAGCTGACGTTTGTCCACAGGCAGTTTTTCCCAGTCATGTGGCCAGCATGACTAAGCCGCTTCTGGCGAAACCAGAGCAGCACACGGAAACGCCGTTTACCTTCCCGCCGGAGCGGTACCTATTTATCTACTTTCACTTTTGGGGGTGCTTTCGAACTGCTAGGTTGGCAGGAGCTGGGACCGAGCAACGGGAGTTCACCCCATCGTGGGGATTCGAACCACCAACCTTCTGATCAGCAAGTCCTAGGCTTAGTGGTTTAGACCACAGCGCCACCCATGTCCCTCTTTGCGGAGGAGAGAACATCAAAAGTCATGGGGCATGTGGAAGGACCTATGCTGGCAGTTCCTCCCCAAACCAGCATTGATTTTCCGTGACCATTTGGGGCAATGTTGGTATGTGGAAAACTCCTCTCCTCCCCTCCCCACTCCTGTCTGCCATGGGGCTTCTGAAAACAATGCTCATGGTGGTTTGATTGATTGATTGATTGATTGTATTTGTACAGAGTTGTGCTACAGCTACTCCATGCCGCAAACATACTGTGTGACTCTTAAATATATTTTTTTTAAAATAATTTTTATTGATGCTCTTTTCTCATAACAAACATTCAGTATCACCACTTAGCATTCATTTTCTAGTTTCCCCCCTCCCTTTTGAATGGACTCAAGCCGCTTCTTGTTCTCCCCCACCCCCCCACTCGCTGCTAACGCAGCGGCAATGTAGCAGGGAAGCTGCGGCGAGTTACTCCCCGTTCGGCTGGTCTCCTCGAGACCGCACTCTTCTGTGGGGCTTTTTCAGGGGTGCGCGTAGCCCTAGCGCTTCCCCTACAGGTCCAAAATAGCCCGGAACGGTCGTCTCTTAACCAGACGATCCGTTTCGTGCTGCCATTCCGCTCCGCAGACTCTTAAATATTGGGAAAGCGTGGGACCTGCCGTGAAATGTATATTTTTTTAGGAATCGCCTTATCGCCATGATTTCAAATTGCTTAATTCCCCCCCCCCATATTGTGTTTTAATTGTCGTAATTCACCCTGCGACCTTAAGGTGAAGGGTGGGCAATTAATTAAGAATCCAAATTGGCCTAATGAGCATTGAGTGTGCCTGGTGGCTACAGAATTCTGAAGGGACTGTTTTGGGGAGGAGGGAATATGGAACTGAGTGGCTGGAACCCGGAACAAGGAGCACTCCTCGCACTGCAACATTTTTTGCTGTTGATATTTAGGGTTTGCCCGCCCCCCCCCCCCCTTTTAGCACTTGCACAAACCTTGGGGCTCCCTCAGCTCTGCAGATCCTTTTCATGCGTTTGTATAGGTCATGCAGCTGTTTTAGCTACATACGGCAATAGCTCACTCCTGGAAATAGAGGAAATGATGCTTGCAAAAAGCCTTGACAGGAGAGGACGGGGAGGGGAGCGGGGAGCTGCGTACATATGCTTTTGTGTAAATCCAAAACGGAGGTGAATCTCCGCAGGCAATTAAGCTGTTTTGTGTGACCTCAGTGTGTGGAAGGAAGTCGGTAGGAATACAGAGTCCAGTTTGCCATAATGAAGACGGAGCAGGCTGTGAGCAGTCAATGATGACCTATTTTCTGGTTTCTTCGTCCTGCAAAGACAAACTTGACATCACCCACATAAGTCGTTGCCATAGAAACTAAGGCATGGAGCTAAAGAAGAATTCAGCAGTGCTGCGTTGCAATATTTTTTCAATCACAGTGTGGAGCCCCCCCGGGCCATGGTAGAAAATCACTGAGCTCTACTGAATTTGTCAGTTTGCTATGGCCTCCTTATTAAGGGTCTCTATTTACAGTTAGCCTGTTTAGCAAAGGCATAGCATGCGCTGAGAGGAATTCCCAGGGGGCTGCGGTGGGGCTCAGTATTGTGAAAGCTGCCTCATGTTCTTGATACACCCTCCTTAAATGGGACTGAATTGTGCTTAACTGGGTACTCAGTTGCACTTGTCATATAATAAGTGATGGTGACGATGTGACGGTGATTTTAAATTGCATAAGCTAAATCTTTGGTATCCTTGAAGATCTAGAAGGTTAACTGCATAAGTTACGTAATTTTTTAAAAATGGGAATAAAAACTTGCTTGCGTGTATTCCTCTCATCGAAAGCCACAATTTGGATGAGAGGATTTACTCACTTGTTAAAGCTATGAAAAATATTTGGTGCCATGTCCTTTGCGTATATCAGCAGCTAATTAGTCCATTATTGTGACAGGATAATGGCAAAAAAGCATTGTATCTAGGGCAGAAGAATTCTGATTTGTTCTTGACAAGAGGTTTGTGCTGTCAAGTTAAAAATTCCACTAGCTGTGTAATTACGTTTTCTGTAGGCTTTTGTGCTGTTTCTCTAGAGTTTTTAGGGAAGCTCAAATCCTTCTCTGAGACAGTAAAAGCATGGTTTTTGGTTGTGCAAAACCCCAGCGTTTTAACTTAGTCAGGTTCCTAATAATATCAACATTCATTTTCTGCATACATTTCATCCTGCTGCAAATGTTTTTTTTAAAAAAATAAATATTGTATTTTTATGTTGTGAACCACGAGATCCATGGACAGAAGGCGGTATACAAATTTAATTGATAATAATAATAATAATCTGCCATCTTTTCACAAGAGATCTATAAAGCCCTGGACAACTTCAGACCTCAATACCTGCAATCACACTTCTCTCCACCCTGTCTTGACCAAGCATTGAGATTTTCCAGGGAAGGCCAAAGCTCCTTAGCATACTGTCTTGATGTGTTACACAACATGTCGTTAATGTGGGAGAGGGTCTCCTCTGTAGTGGTGCCCTACTTGCAGAATGTCCTCCACTCTGGCACCAATCTTCTTTTTTTTTGGTGTCAGGCTAAAACCGGGTTATTTAGCCATTTGTAATGGCCATTGCTTGTTTTAAAGATTCTTTACTGTTTCATTGTGCATCCATTCCTGATCTGCAGTTGGGAGTTGTTGTTTTAATTACTACTGTGTCCCACTCTGAAATGCTTGGATGGAGGATATATTTTAATCAATTAATAAAGTGTGGTCAATAAAGCCCTCTCTGCAGTGTGGGTGGAGCATGTTCTGCTCCTGTCTTAGACTTGTCTGGAGTTCAACTAAGAAGAGAAGGAAGAGGTAGAGGGCAAGCATACATCAAGGGCTTCTGGTATATTTGGTCATTAAAGCTTTGGGGTCTTGGGAGATTGACATGCAATAACATCTGGCAAAAATGATAGTTTCAGGTTTTATATAACGTTTAAGATCATCTTGTACTCTACCAACCTAAAAACAGAGCTTATGAATTGAGCTGTCTTGGCATTTGTTCACAATTGTCCACCTTCTTCTCTTTCACCTAGGCGACAGAAGGCCAGGGAGAGGCAACAAAAGTTGTTGGCTGAATTTGCATCAAGGCAGAAAAGCTTTATGGAAACCGCCATGGATGTTGGTAAGGTTTTATTCTCCATTTTTCTTAATGTGTTTTTTTTTCTTCAGGTCTCAAGAACTTTGCAAATGAGGCTAAAGGAGTATTGTTTCCTAGGGCACATTTAATGATAAGAAACAGGATATTTAGACTGAAGGGAGTGAGAAACAGCTTCCCCACTGGAGTTCATCGTAGAACCATCAAGGAGAGTTCTTGCTGTTGCCATAAAAGAAGTGGCTCAGTCTTCTGGTTTAGCCACATAACTGTAGTGATGGCCCTTCACTCAGATCTATTCAAATCCTGCATATAAACTTGCCCAGCAGCTTTTTTGCATGGGGTTGAAATGGTAGGGGAGGGTAAAAGGAGCCCCCCCAAGCTCACTGAAGGTTCGGGGAGATGATGTGCAAATGCCATCTCCCAGTGCTCCTACCAAGAGTGAATGGAACTCCTGAAGGATAGCTCCACAAATACCTGGCAGGGACCTCAGTTATATTATTAGCACTCAAGATGTTGTTGTTGTTTAGTTGATTAGTCGTTTCCGACTCTTTGTGACCCCATGGGCCAGAGCACGCCAGGCTCTCCTGTCTTCCACTACCTCCTGGAGTTTCGTCAAATTCATGTTGGTCACATCTATAACACTGTCCAACCATCTCGTCCTCTTCTTCTTGTGCCCTCCATCTTTCCCAGCATCAGGGTCTTTTCCAGGGAGTCTTCTCTTCTCATGAGGTGGCCAAAGTATTGGAGCCTCAGCTTCAGGATCTGTCCTTCCAGTGAGCACTCAGGGTTAATTTCCTTCAGAATGAATAGGTTTGATCTTCTTGCCATCCATGGGACTCTCCTCCAGCACCACAATTCAAAAGCATCGATTCTGCGGCGATCAGCCTTCTTTGTGGTCCAGCTCTCACTTCCATACATCACTACTACCAAATATGGCTGGATGATTTTGTAGGACTGATAGGATACTGTTTTCTCTGATCTCTCCTAAGCATCCGTTAGAAACACAGGAGTTATCAGACCCTATCCACATAGAGTGTGTCTGAAGCTTCAGGGCTACTACCCAAACCACTTCTCAAAAAAGAGAGGGGGGAGATTGGGTTCTAGCTAAGCAAGGGAGTTCAGGAAGTGGCTTTTTGATCAAGCACTACCCAGTCAACCTTTGTATCATTTCCACTTCCTCTAGCCAGACTTTGCCAGCCAGGGTGGATTTGCCAGTCCATTCTGGAGATACTTCCCACATCGCTTGATTGAGCATTTCGTAAGCCACCCCGAGAAATCTTTAAAGGGCAGGATGTGAGTACTTTGGTGGGCAGTATTGGTGGATGGTACATTTCCGGGCACAATTCAAAGTGTTTGTGCTGACCTTTCAAGCCCTAAACAGCCTCGGCCCAGTATACCTGAAGGAGCATCTCCACCCCCATCATTCTACCCGGACACTGAGGTCCAGTTCCAAGGGCCTTCTGGCGCCTCCCTCGCTGCAAGAAGCGAAGCTACAGGGAACCAGGCAGAGGGTCTTCTCAGTAGTGGTGCCCACCCTATGGAATGCCCTCCCATCAGATGTCAAGGAAATAAACAACTATCTGATGTTTAGAAGATATCTGAAGGCAGCCCTGTTTAGGGAAGCTTTTAAGGTTTGATGTTTTATTGTGCTTTTAATATTTTGCTGGAAGCCACCCAGAGTGACTGGAGAAACCCAGCCAGGTGGGCAGGTTATAAATATTATTATCATCATCATCATCATCATCATCATCAAATAATCAAGACAAAAATGTGCTCCCCAAGACCCAGGTTCTGGCTCAGCAGATAAACTGGTAGATGCAGTGTCTGATGCCAAACAGAAGTGATTTCGGGAGTGAGAAGACAAGCCAAGAAGTAGGACATTTTCTGTGTTGACCTGAAACAATTCTGTGTAAGGGCTAGAATAGCAGCAGAGTCATCTGCCATCTCTATAGCTTTTGTCTAAGCAGTCTGGTTGCTGCATGGTTGGGAAGCTACCTGAGAAAACTGTGTATGCCACCTTGAGTTCCTTATAGTAATATTACTGATAATAATTTAATTCTTTTATACCCTGCCCATCTGGCTGGGTTTCCCCAGTTCCTTGGGGGAAAGGCAGAATAAAAATGCAATACATACATAAGAACTCATGAGTGGCCAACCAATGGTGTAAGTCAGGGATAGCAGGACCTGATGGAAAACCCATTGGTCCCCATTCCTGGTATAAGCGGTTGGATTTTGTGACACTGCTATTGTCAGTGGAGAAAGACACATTCAGTCCATATTGCAGCAGATGGCTGACTTTCAAAACTGTCTGACTTGCAAGTGGAATCACCTCATTTTAGAATTTTATCACTTGTGATTTTTTTTTAAATTATACAGAACTTAATGTGTTGTGATTTAATGTTAATCCAGAGAATTCATATGGAACATCCTTTTGACAAGTGGGTAATACTCTTTTTCTAGTCTCTTATTAACTCAGCGTGATTCTGTAGCCCAGCTTTCAATTCCTGGAGCAAATTATTTTTGAGGAGTTGCAGGTAGGGAAGGTACATACTCATTTTAATAGCAAGGTGACACAGGTTTTCCCAGCACCTCTCCTTCTGGATTTTATAGGACAATAGATTAGCTTCTACTCGTCATCTGGGAATACACATGCTGTGTTAGGGCAAAATATATTAACATTCTGAGAGTTGCTTCCGTGCTTGGAGACCACCTTGACACACAGTGCTTTGCAAGTGCAATGTTGCTTCCAGTTAACAGATTGTAAAAACCACACTTAGCATGTGGAGTTTCCAGTGCTTAAGCTAAGGCGTTGCAGAAACATACAATATTTAGTGTGAAGTTATGCATTATTCTCATGGATCAAGATAATTTCAGTAAGCTAGTTCTACTTGGTATTTGATTTGAGGGTTTTGCTCTGTTTTGTTTTTAAAGATTTATACATTTGACATTGTTGAAAGCTGTCTATGGGCAATTAGGAGTACCAACCATACATTTTATCCCCAGTTCCTTTATTCACAGTAATCTACTATTAGCTGGTTAAAAAACCATTTGTGGCTAGTGGTAGCAATTGCAATTGCCCTAGTGTAGTGGTAATAGGATACATCAGGCTTCCTCCACCTCGGCCCTCCAGATGTTTTGAGACTACAATTCCCAGCATCCCTGACCACTGGTCCTGCTAGCTAGGGATCATGGGAGCTGTAGGCCAAAAACATCGGGAGGGCTGAGGTTGAGGAAGCCTGGTATACATTTATTTTCCCAGTTGCTTACAAATGCCTAGGTAATCTCAATATGACCCACTACTGCTGCTGCTACTACTACTACTACTAATAATAACAACTTATTATTTATACCCCACCCATCTGGCTGGGTTTCCCCAGCCTCTCTGGGCGGCTTCCTACAAAAGATTAAAAATACATTAAAACATCAGTCATTAAAAGCTTCCCTAAACAGGGCTGCCTTCAGATGTCTTCTAAACGTCAGATAGTTGTTTATTTCTTTGACATCTGATGGGAAGGTGTTCCACAGGGCAGGCGCCACTACCGAGAAGGCCCTCTGCCTGGTTCCCTGTAACCTCACTTATCACAGTGAGGAAACTGCCAGAAGGCCCTCGGCGCTGGACCTCAGTGTCCAGGTTGAACGTTGGCAGTAGAGACGCTCCTTCAGGTATACTGGACCGAGGCCGTTTTAAAGGTCATAATTGAAAATAATGGCTATTTCTGAACCATTGAGAATTTTTCCTTCTCTTATAATAAAGCTGTGAGCATGATTCCACTAATTCTAATTAATAATAACGCTTGCACATACTGTTTTTGAACTGCTGTAGCCTTTTAGCTAGACCTACATGTAATGTTCTCCAGCCTGTATGATCTAACTGCATAACTATGAACTATGCATTTGCTATATTTAAAGTAATATATTCAAGTTCTTAATTTAGGCCGGTACTGCAGTGGCTTTGAAATCTGGTTTGGAAAACTTTTTTTTTTTTAACTGTTATTAAACAGCACACGGATTTTGTGCCAAAATCTAAAGTAGCTCACCGTGTGCTGTTTTCATGCACTACAGCAATAAGGACACTTTAACAAGATATGCTATCTTTAGTTAAGTGGTTGATTTAATCAGTTTTATGCAGCTATAGCAATTGCCTAAGAAATCAGTGATATTATTGAAGATGCTTTCTCCTTTCCTATACTGAACAACAGAGGTGACTTCCTTATTGTTGCTTTGGTCCTGCTGCTATGTAGTTAGTAATTGAAACATTGCGTATTCAAATCCTATTGATTTTAGCAGGAAAAGTTGAAGCACACATTTTAATAATCTGTCAAAGTACAGGAATACTCAGTGCAGGATGTTCCTTCTGCATGGCTGTGCAGCCTGTGGCTGGAGGGGTAACCAGATGTAATGGTTAAAACAATAATGAATTGTTTTCTGTACAAAATCCTATGATTCTGTAGATTGACGATTGATTTGTATAGTGTGGTTGACTTCTCTTATCACAGCAAGCCTTAACATTTGAATGTTTTTATATTCAATACTCAGTTGAAAATACTTGCCATTATATTTCCAAGCCATTAAAAAGCTTTTTAAAAAGTGATTTATTAGGAAAGCTTTCCTAATGGATTCTTTTTTATCTTTGGAAACGGTGACCTGAATTCCTTTATAGGTTGAAAACATACAGGAGAAATGTTGTTTTCCTATTTCCTATTTACATAATGTCTAGCTTCCCTGAGAGAAATTAATATGGAAAGACTATACTTTCAGGGATCACTTCTATAGTGCATAACTAGATAAATTAATATAGAAATGAATTGGTTTTTAAACATGAAAACTACCGTATTCATTTCATCTGTTGTTCTTCCAATTGCCACTGGGTGGTGGTAAAAGTGCATATAGTGTCAAAAACAATAATCTTAAGTGTCAAAAGACAATATGCTTCTTTTTCTTCCTGCTCCCTGGTTTCCCCCCTAGATTTTTAGTTTTAAGAAACTAAAGGAAAACAGCATCTTCCCTGTGACCAAGGTTACACTTTTCTCCTTGCCTGTGATAATGGAATTCCCCGTCAGGGACTTGAATGTGCAGCCAATCTCTGCAGAAAGCAGTTTTGCCAGCCCAATGCTTGGGGTTTTGCTCACCATAGAGCTGGAAAGCTCCTTGTGCTGTGGTTCCTGGCAACCAGCTTCAGAAGCACCTTGCAAGGGACTTTGACAGGTGGGCAGAACAACCCACCTATAATTTATCTGATTACATCAGTTTATTGGCCGGTGGGTTGTCTCACTCCCCTGCCAAAGTTGGTCCAAGTGGGTGGGGACAGATAATGATCTGGCCCACCAGGCCAAAAGTGTTCGCCACCCCTGTTCTAGTCCCTCAGTGAGAGAAACGTCCCACATGATGCTTTCCAAATGTTCTTCTGGTTTTTCTCATCCGTTGTCTCATGCCAGGTCCCAACTTTTCAAAGTTTGGATTGAAAAAACAGGAGTTAGATAGATAAGGGGCTATTGAGATGAAACACACGGAACATTCCAATGCCTCCACATTAATGACTAAATCAGTGATGGTGGTGGTGGTTTTATTTGATGTGCATTTTTCTTTTCTTTTTGTGTACATAAGTTGGCTGCAGCTATATGGCTTGCAAAACTGGCCGATGCAGGAGCTTCTCAGTCTCTACCTGTAGTGGAGGTGGGGACAAGCTTGTCCTACCACCCAAATATTGCAAGGAACATGCTTTACACACTCTCTCTCTCTCTCTCTCTCTGTGTGTGTATATATATATATAGATATATATATATATATACACACACACACACACACACACACACACACACACATAACATAAACATAATTTATAGTAGCATGGAGATACAGCTCAGTGTGAACAAAATTAAATATATGTGCCATCCTTAGGTGGAAAATAGCAACACGCTGCATTTTGTAATTGGTATAATGATCCAGCTGACAGGCCTACCTTGCATTTTACCCATTTACTTACGAGAGTCTCAGTTCTTCACTAATACAGTTTCCTTCCTCTGATCCTTAGAGTCACCAGACGCAGAAATTGCTATGGAGATAGCAACAGCAGAACAGCATGTCCCTGAAGCTGTGTATGATTGCGTAATTTGTGGACAGAGCGGCCCTTCCACTGAGGAGCGACCGGCTGGATTAGTTGTGCTCTTACAGGCCTCTTCAGGTAGGACTGAAGAAACAGCTGGAAGAGTTGGAAGAAGATAGGTAGATATCTGAGAATGTTTTAATGGCAGCTAGATTTTGCTGCACTTCAAAGGAACTGCAAGAAAAGTGTACATACGGCCATCTCACATGGTCATACAGTGGTACCTCTGGATGTGAACGGGATCTGTTCCAGAGCCCCGTTCTCATCCAGAAGCAAATGCAACCCGCATCTGTGCGTGCGTGAGTCGTGATTCGACATTTCTGCACATGCGCGCGACATCCTTTTGACCCTCTGCGCATGTGCGAGTGGCAAAACCCGGAAGTAACACACTCCGTTACTTCCAGGTCGCCGCAGCGTGCAACCCAAAAATACTTATCCCGAAGCTACTTCAGCCCGAGGTATGACTGTATTCTTGAGCTTTTTGTTGTATAAAACCAAAGCGAGGCACCATTTTCGCCCTAAGGGTTGTGTGTCCCATCATGGCAACCTCCGCATGCCCCTTGTGAACAGAGTCAGAGACACAAGTGGGTGGGGCAACAGACATGATTCTTACCTTTGCACTGTACGCTGTGTTCTAGACCATGCAGAAGCCAGAGGTTTCTATCCATGCACACACCCTCTCCAGGAAAGCAAGGTGCATTCTCACACTTTGCAAACACGTTTCTGCCGGCAAAAGTCTCTGGTTAGGAAGCCATGGACCTAGCCAGGCAAGAGTGCGTGTCCTGCTGGGAGAATATGGTGTGCGGCTGTGACCTGTGGCTAAAAAGTCGAACCACTTCAGTTGCGCTTCGTTTCCCGCTCTGCTGATGACGACATTATTTCTCCCTGCAGTTTTGGGGCAGTGCCGCAATACTACTGAGCCCAAGAAGCTGCCAACCTCTGAAAAGGAGCAGATTTATCCTTGGGATACGTGTGCGGCAGTGTATGAAGCCCGCCTCGCCACTTTACAGCACTTCTTTAAAGATGTAAGTTTTCTGCAGCAGCATGTTGCGATGGTGTTCTGTTTCCTGCGATTCGTTTAAATATTTAGCTATGTTAACTGCTATAATTCTTCTTATGGCTTCTTTGAATTCTAATAGCAACTACGAATTACTTCAAATGATCTCTGTGAGTGTCCCACAGGGATCCGAGAACCTGTGTCTCTGATTGTGCACACTGTTCAGTTTAGGACATGTATATTAAAATGCTTGTTCGGCAGTGAAAATAGTTGTTTATCAGTGTCACAATTAGGACTGTGGCAAACCAGCAGTTTTAAGGGCATTTTGTTTCCCAGAAGAGGAGTGCAATTTGAAAGGGACAGAGCACTGATTTATGGCAGTGATTTCATCTCCATTCTCCTCCTCCTCCTCCTCCTCCTCCTCCTCCTCCCCCTCCTCCTCCTCCTCCTCCCTCCTCCTCCTCCTCCCTCCTCCTCCTCCTCTTCCTCTTCCTCTTCCTCTTCCTCTTCCTCTGCCTCTGCCTCTTCCTCTTCCTCTTCCTCTCCTCCTTCCAAAAAAGAAAAACTATTGCCTCTGGTACTGGGATCAGCAGTGATGGAACAGAGCCCTGACCACCACATTTCCTCCTAAGAATGTCTCTTGAACTATACAAGCATGTTTGCACAAAAAAAGGAGAGAGGAGTCCACTGTTGTCCCGGCAAACTGTTTCAGGGCCCAGTAGTTGTAGTTCAGAAAAAAAATACTGAAATTGTTCGACATCATTTGTCACCTACAAATGGAATGGTGAATTTGGCTGGGTCCTGATTACAACTCCTTGTTTGTGAAATGAGTATACAACTGAAGGAATTTTTAAAAATGTTTGGAGTGTCGCACTAAGAAATCAGGTGTCATTTTCTGCTTCACTTTGTTGCCATATCTTCTACCTCTCATTTACATTGTTTGCTGAAAGGAGCAAAGCTACGTGCAAGAACATTTCCTTCTGTAGAGGGGAAACACAATAATTTCACATCCTTATGCCCTTTCCTTAGAGCAAATGGGAAGCACGAAACATGGCTTTTCAACAACTCTAGCAGGTAGACCTTGTTACTACATCTAGTTAAAATATTCCCATAAAACCAGAATTTACTTAAATTGTAGTCTAAAATATAAAAGCATTGCTTCCTTTCTAGCCAACTGAATAGTTTGGGGTGCATGCATAACCCACTGCACACAAAGAACATTTTCATACATTTCAAACGTTTTAGTCATTTTTACTGTTTAGTTAAACATGCATTTGATTTGATCTGAAGTGCCTTGGTACCTATTAGCAGAGCACTTTATTAGCAATTACAGATTTTTCTGAAATACAGCATCTTGTGCACTGGCAATCCTCCCACTTAGGAAACTGGATTACTCTTTGATTTTTAAAAAAGTATAGTCCAACTCGGATATTACTTGGATCAAATGTTTTTGCTTTCTTTCAGCTTTCCAGATCATTATTGTGCTAAAATGGTCACAGTAGGAAAGAATTAATCCTTAAATTTCTCTTGGCACAGAAACAGAAACCTCTGTTAAGGCCCTTGAATAGTTTGTTCACCTCAGCTAAGGAATAGGGGAACAAATCCTGTTTTTCTAAAGTTACTTTTTTCCAGTTTTTTAAACACACACACACACACACAACTTTTATTCAGCTGGATCTCAAAGGAGCTCAGTTGCAGCACCTCTCAGGTGTGCGCCATTGCCATTCTAAGAGAACAAGGGAGAAGTTCACGTCCCCTCTTTTTCTAGAATAATAGTACTGTGTATGATAATAACAACAACAATAATAGGAAAAAACAGCAGCAGTTCACATTTATTATACATTAACAATCAGTTCATTCATTTTAAAATAAACATAAATTCATATAAGCTCTCATATGTCCAAATAGGTATCCTCATGAAATTGATATCTGTAATAAATATGTTCAAATGTAGCCAGACAGTATGGTCCACAGACCATCGAATCCTTCCAGGCTTATTTGCGATTTAGGTGAGAGGTATAAAATTTTAACCCACGTTATAAATTCTTTAGAAAATCTAAATTTGTCCAAAGTAGCAAACATAAAGTGCCTTGGTGGTATCCTAGCATCCGCTGAGAATCACTTTTCAGGTGAGTGCTAATGGGACCTTTTCAGCATCTAAGAAAATAAGTGCAGCTGGATCAGTTCTAAGACTGTTTAAAGCAGCCAGTTGGGTCACCAATCTTGGGTGATTAGCTCCCTGTCTATGCTGAATAAAACTTGCTTGATTCACATGCAGTACGGTTAATACCACTGCCTTAACTCTTATTAGCCAGAATCTCTGTTCATACCCTAACATCTATTCCAGTTAAAGAAATTGGCCTATAACTTGCAGAATTTGTCATGGTCTTTACCAGGTTTAGATGTAACAGAAATATATGCATCATACATTGGAAGCTGAACAGGAACCTTATTCGAAGACTTTTTGATAAACACATAGATGATTAGGGATTAAACAAAAAAACTGACTTTCTTGGCCCTGGCTCTTTGTTGGTCTTCACTTTATGAATAACATTCTATGTTTAAATTAGACAATTAATTACATGTAATTTATTTTAATTGTGATTAATTACATTTTAATTGGTGGCGGAAACATATATGAATGTTTTTTTACCCCCTTTTTTTTACCTTTTAAAAAGAGTTCCTGTCTGCAATCGGTATCAATTGGCTGGGAAGGAGGTGTGTATGTACAAACCTGTGGCCACACGTTACACATAGATTGCCATAAATCCTACATGGAATCATTGCGGGTAAGTTAAAATGGACATTTCTGGATATTGAGCTTTTTTACTCATTAAGTACTATAGGCTTTGCTGTTGACCTCGATAGAATCCCAGTGATGCCTTTATGTACCATCTGGATTTTTTAAACAAGGTGCAAAATCCATCTTTTGAAATACAATGCAGTGCTTTATGCCCCCCCCAAATATTCTCATATATAATGCATTATGGTATTGGTCATGAAAAAGAAGTTTTCAATGCTGTACTATTTCATTGAAGTTGGATGGGCTTCACAGTACATGGCCCCTGTTGTATTTGGTAACATTTGACTTTGCTGATCTGCTATGTTAGAAACATCTGACTATGGTCTGTACAGGTGATGCAGAAATGGAGCTTAAATTATTGCTTCCCAGGCCTCATCTCACTGATTCAAATAAGATAACTTCCATACTTGAATCAAAATGGCTTGCAGCAACCACTCTGTGCCAATGGGGAATGGAGTGTGGGATCTAACAGTTTAAAAAAGTGATCACAATTCACAACCTGGACAAGGTATGTTCAGTGGTCTTAAAAATTAAAAGAGGGGTCCCTGACAAACAACTGCTTTGTGCTTATCACGATGAAAACCTCACTCACCTGAGCTCTCATTGGTTCTGTGAAAGGAAGTGTAGTCACAGACAATCTGTGAAAGTAACAATTTTTTCTAGCCACCAGTGTTGCCCTCCATTGCTTGTGACAGAGTCCCCCCTCCCTAAAAGGGTAAAGGGACCCCTGACTGTTAGGTCAATTCGCGGATGACTCTCGGGTTGTGGTGCTCATCTCGCTTTACTGGCCGAGGGAGCCGGCGTACAGCTTCCGGGGCATGTGTCCAGCATGACTAAGCCACCTCTGGTGAACCAGAGCAGCGCACAGAAACACTGTTTACCTTCCCGCCGAAGCGGTACCTATTTATCTACTTGCACTTTGACGTGCTTTTGAAATGCTAGGTTGGCAGGAGCAGGGACCGAGCAACGGGAGCTCACCCCGTCGTGGGGATTCGAACCTCCGACCTTCTGATTGGCAAGTCCTAGGCTCTGTGGTTTAACCCACAGCGCCACCCATCAGTGCAAACATTAGTTGAACCCGGTCCATAGTCTTTCAAGTGTTTTGTTGAGGTTGTTACAGGTACCGAGGATAAGAAAATGATCATTCAGTTCTCTTTTCCTAGAGAATCTCTGTTGCCATGTCTACAGAGAATTGAATGTTTGCTGCTATAATTTACAAGTAGAGAGTACTTATCATTAAGGACCCTTTAAAAAAGAAAGTCCCCCCCCCCCCGGCCCACCCCCAACATGCTGTTCCTTTAATATCCTTCTCCTGCTTGTTGATTTTCTGCTGCAAATGGACCTTGCACTGGCATTCTGTGTTTGCATTACAGTGATGAAAAGGTTGTCTGAATAATTAGAAGTCTCAACATTAAGCATTTATTCATTAAATTGCTTGGTTACAAAAATAACTACACTTTAACTTGTAGCTGAGCAATTGTTCTTTTATTTCTGGCCTTGCTGTCACTAGAACTCAGCAGTGTCGCTTCACGAATTCATTTGTATTTTTATTTCCTTTAGAATGACCAGGTTCTCCAGGGCTTTTCAGTGGACAAAGGAGAATTTACTTGTCCTCTGTGCAGGCAGTTTGCTAACAGCGTTCTTCCATGTTATCCTGGCAACAATGTGGAGAGGAGCCTTTGGCAATGTCACAGTAACAAGACTATGCAAGATCTCATAAAGGAAGTGGAAGATCTTCAAGAGCAGCTGGGAACTTTCCCAGTAAGCATCAGTGTAAGGCAGAAAGATCCTTGTTAATTTGTCTCCATCTTTCAACATTCCTTTTCATTCTCTGTTTCTCTCTTCTTCCCCAAACTCATTTGCATTTTATAGAATTTTAAAGCTGAATATCCTCTCCCATCTCTCTGTTAAGCACTTAAGAGCTTAAATAACGTTAACATTTTAACAGTTAAGCTCTGTTACATCACCTTTAAAATAGGAGATGATTATGTGAGCATTTTGCTCCCGCATTTCAGTCTATGTATTTATTGGTCGTTAAAAGGCATTCTTTCCAGCTTCTCATCTTATACAGAACTGAATTGTATTACATGGAACTCATAATTTCTTTATGGTACAAAGCATCAATCACTTGTAACTAGAAACCATTTGACGTGTGTCAATCAAGAGTGCAGATTATTCCTTTTACTAGGACTTTAATGCATTTTGAAGTTTCACAGTGACATTCAAAAAGGTGCTGTTAAAATTATAAGTTTTACTGTGCTCCAGTCTTAGTTATAGATACGTTAAAACAGTACTTTTTCTTGAGATGTATTAGTGTTTTAAAATTCTGTGTTCATATTGACTTATTCCAATGTATGCCTAGTTGAATATGTTTAATATAAAATGCATATGGTGCCTTTGAGGGCAAACTCCTTCAAAGGCGGTTGTATACAAGAAATAATTGTAGGATTTTAAGAGTGCTTCGTCCATCTCCATAATTGTTTAGATTTAGTTTCATTCTGTAGAATTCGGTATTTCCGCTGTTGATGTATGACTGTTACGTAATTCGTAAAAGTAATTCTTAACTTTCTGAGGGTGTCTTAATTCTGTAATCACCTCTTACTGTAGCTAAGTGAAGTCAGCCATCTTTCTTTTTTACAGTCAGAAACCAATTTAAGTAAAGAAATGGAGTCTGTGATGAAGGATATCAAAAGTACTACCCAGAAGAAATATACTGACTATAGCAAGTCTCCTGGATCACCAGACAATGACTTTCTTTTCATGTATTCTGTAGCCAGGTGGGTAAGACATCTGTTTTACAGCCCCTTCCTGTTTGTCAACTACTTGTTACCTCTTTGGTTAAATAAACTGCATGCTTGATATTTTTCCTATATCGTGGCAAAGCTCCCTTGACTAACCAAGTTTTGAAGAGGACTCTGGCAGTGTCATGCATAGAGTCAGAGATTCTTCATAACGAATGTTACACCCATTCCCCTTGAGATAAATGTTTGCACTTGTACTTGAGCAAATTTTTCCATTCTCTTCAATGCTCAAATACACATACATTCCACTTTTCCTTGGAGTGAAAGTGGGGTGCCGTCCTGTGTTTTGGGGGCTCAGGGTTTGATTGCAGCTTCTATGTTGCAAAAAGGTGCTGGACGTCTGCATGGCGTCCAGTCCATGTACACTGAAGTAAGTGGTTTTTACAGCTCTCAGTTCTGCTTTATTACCTACAGCCACAAGTGTTGCTTGCAGAGTCTATTTCATTCATCTCTTTTCCTTCTAATTCTTATCTTTTCTGCATTAACATTAAAAACTTTGACTATGGGGTCATGCATGAACATGTGCACACATAAACATGATAATGTAATTTGGATAGTTGGCTGTTTGGATTTTTAATGTAAGGCAGCGGAGAGTGCTTAACTACTTTAGACCTGTAACTTTCAATTTATTGCTCAAGGTAATACAAGCGCTTCTTACAAGATATTTTGTACTTAGCTCTAGGGCAGGAATCGGGAACCTTTTTTGGTCCCTTGGGCAAGATCCTTATCAGGAATGGCCTTGCAGGACAAATTTGAAACTTAAAAGGAGCAGGGAAAGGGCTGGAATTTCTGTTTATCAGCCTATGCAGAAATAAACCCTGTCACCCTGCCCTTCAGCTGTGACATCATCCATGGGCATAGTTTGGAGAAAACAGCCAAGTAGACCACATTGACTCCCCTGGCTGGCCTGTATTTATCTTTAGGTTCCCCCTCCTTGTTGTAGGAACAGAGAGCAGTTCTGGAAATGAGGGCAGTGGAAGAAATCCCTGAGCCCAAGCACAAATGGGTATATTTGTATTGCTCTATGTAACATATGGGACACGGGTGGCGCAGTGGGTTAAACCACAGAGCCTAGGACTTGCTGATCAGAAGGTTGGCGGTTCGAATCCCCGCAACGGGGTGAGCTCCCGTTGCTTGGTCCCTGCTCCTGCCAACCTAGCAGTTTGAAAGCACGTCAAAGTGCAAGTAGATAAATAGGTACCGCTCCAGCAGGAAGGTAAACGGCGTTTCCGTGTGCTGCTCTGGTTTGCCAAAAGCGATTTAGTCATGCTGGCCACACAATCCGGAAGCTGTCTGTGGACAAACGCCGGCTCCCTCGGCCAATAAAGCGAGATGAGCGCCGCAACCCCAGAGTCGGTCACGACTGGACCTAATGGTCAGGGGTCCCTTTACCTTTATGTAACATATAGACCAGAGAGAATAAAAGACTGCAGTTTTTGTAGAGTTAAGATGAGAGCTGTTTTGTCAGCTGTTCCTCACTCATCAGCAGGAATACTTGAAACTTAAATTGCTGACTCCAGAAAATATATATTTCTAATACTTCCTAATTAACACACTGGGAAGAACTTTTAAAGAAAGAATTCCCATTGATAAGACATTTGAGCACATTCAGAAGCCTTCATTGCAGAAAGCTGAAAACATGAGATCAGCCTTCTTGAGTGCGGTTTTCCTTATTCCCTTCCCCCATCTGCAAAGTGTTTAAAATGTGGGAAGGAGAGTAGCTGACAGATAAGAGTGCTGATTATGGTGGAAAGGTTTCCCCAGATTTTCATTTCATTTATAACTTAGTCTATTTTCTGTAAAACCATGCAAGCAACTAATTCACCCTGTAAGCCAACCTACTGATTACCACTAGTATTCCAATTCCTTGCTTAGTTACAGATATACTGTCGCTTCCAGATTTCTTCTAGTGCCACCACCATCCAGGCTATTGCCTACCTCTTCCTCCCCCATAATAAGCTCTTTCTAGTTTGCCTGTTTTGAATTAAGTTGCTGTTGTACACATGTACTCATTCACCTTCGATAATTTAATCATTCGTCTGCAAGCTTCTCTTGACCTAGTGCTCCCCCTACCCCACCAGTACACATCACCAGCTGCTTTACAAGTCAGTGGAGGTGCCCCAAGGCATCCTCCACCCCCTATCTCATTTTTTAAGCATAATACATCAAAATTATTGGTGCATGTGGGTCTTTCAACAGAAGTTTGTGCAGCATTTTCTTGAACCTTCAGAAATCCAGTGAAGCTATAAAGAACAGGGATTCCTCCCCCCGCCCCCAAGATTGATGAATGGTTTTATACCCTGACCTTTATAAAAAAATATTAGGAACGGAATGTGATTGGAAAATGCATACTGCAGTCCTCAAACCTCTTGCCTCTTACTCATAAGCGGGCATTTTTGTTAAGCAGAGAATTTCAGGACTCTGGCTTTCATCAGTGGACTTTAGAGGTCGTTAAAGGTCATACGGTGAAACCCTTTGCAGAGAAGAAAAAATCACTGCACAGAACCAGTCGTAATCAATGTTCGTGGAGAGTAAGATCTAGCTGAAGTAGCTTTGAAAAGAGCATTTTTAATTTGCTTCCTAAGTTGGTAACTTAAAAGTAAAAAAAAAGGTAAAGGACCCCTGACAGTTAAATCCAGTCGCGAACGACTCTGGGGTTGCAGCGCTTATCTTGCTTTACTGGCCAAGGGAACCGACATCTGTCCACAGGCAATTTTTCCGGGTCATGTGGCCAGCATGACTAAGCCACTTCTGGCGAAACCAGAGCAGCGCACGGAAATGCCATTTACCTCCCCGCCGGAGCGGTACCTATTTATCTACTTGCACTTGACATGCTTTCGAATTGCTAGGTTGGCAGGAGCAGGGATCGAGCAACAGGAGCTCACCCCGTTGCAGGGATTCGAACTGCCATCCTTCCGATCATCAAGCCCTAGGCTCAGTGGTTTAGACCACAGCGCCACCCGCGTCCCTAAATTAAAAGTACATTGATTTTTTTTTTAAAAAAAAAAACTGCGTAAGTTTGTGCCAGGGACTAATGGGGATGTCTCCCTTGAACGATTTTTCTCATATCATATCACATGCAGGTTTTGATTCTCCCGTCATTATAGGACCAGCTTCAGGTTTTTGTTGGGACAAGAGAGCTAACTTTGGGCCTCAGCCCTTTTACTCCTATAGCAGGAGTCTAGTGGTCAGAAGTCCATGAATGAGCCAGTATCTGAAACTATGGTTTAGATCTGACTGGTTCTTACTAAACAGAGTTTAAACAAACCAAGTTCTCTGTATTTGACTTAACCACTGCTGAGACCCTAGAATTAGGGAAATCTGTTTAAAAGTGGAAGCAGTTGCTTCTGTTTGCTGCCTAGTAGCAGCAAACGGGGGGGAAAAGAAAGTATACAAGTCCGAGACTCACTGTGGCTTGTTCACAAAACTATAAGTTTTTCGTAATAAATATTAGAGAACATGTGAACTAAACAGTTAATCTTAAAGTTATTGTTATATGCTGTTGTGAGAGTTTTCTATCTACTCTGGTCATTTAGATACATATCAAAGAAGATCTTCCTCCAACTCTCAAACACCTTTTTTGGGAAAATTTTGTGTGATTCATAATAGAGATAATCAACATCATTTCATTAAAAAAAAAAAAGCCTGCTAAGAGTGGGTAGCTTTAAAAGAATTAGTCTTCACATAACATTGATTATGACCCTTTGGTCATGTGTTTCTCATTAAAAACATATTTTAAGTTTATTTATATAATTGTCATTCCATAAGTTTTTCAGCAGCATTTTAAGAAATGTAACATTAAGAAAAAGGAGGCTTGATTCCCTCTTGTCCCCAAGTGTTTCTCAAGGAGGGCATGACATGAATGCTTGACAGGAATCCAGTTATGTAATTGCTGGCAGAGAGTACAATAAAAGCTGGTTACTAAGAGAACCCTTTTGTGCTGTGTTCTCTGCATGTGAATGGATCACTGCAGGGGAAACAATGTGTTTGAGGGAAATGTTTGTCCTGCACTCATGTGGGATCACTTTTAGGCAGGGGTAGGCAACCTAAGGCCCGGGGGACAGATGCGACCCAATTACCTTCTCAATCTGGCCTGCGGGCGGTCTGGGAATCAGCTAGTTTTTACATGAGTAGAATGTGTCCTTTTATTTAAAATGCATTCCTGGGTTATTTGTGGGGCAAAGGAATTCGTTCATTCGCCCCCCCCCCCAAAAAAAAAGTCTGGCCCACCACATGGTCTGAAGGACGTTGGACCAGCCCATGGCTGAAAAAGGTTGCTGACCCCTGCTTTTAGGCATTTGAGGGTTCAGATGAAAGTCATGCTTAAATCAGAGAGAGATAAAGAATTCAGACAGGCTTTTGTGAGGTCTGTCAGGGGAAAACTGTCCAGTAAAGCTCTGGAGCCATATGGAGGAGAATGTTTGGAAGCACATCCAAAACGAATTTATTTGCATTAGACTAAGTCAGGGGCATCCAAGAGTCTGTGATCCACTCACAGTATTAAAAAACTGGCAGTGATCTACCCATTGTCAGAGTTGTTGAGCTTTTTTTTCTCTCTCTCTCTCACTGTGAGAGTGACATCTCACAGCAGAGGACTTGTGTCCTTGCTGCAATGAAGACTAAACCCTTTGGAAGTGAGTGACTTTCAACTGCTGTAGAACGAGACACGCAATTTCAGTGGCCACCTCCTACATAGCTGTGGAAGGCATTTTTGCCACATCAAGTATGCCTTGTTCATTTAGAGCAATTCTTGAAGTTGCCTTGGGTATTAGTGTCTGTTTTTACACTGGACATGCATAATTTGCTGAGAAGCAAAGGTGAGAAACCTTTGACATCTGACAAAATGGACTGCTTAAAAGATTTCCAATAACCGTTAAGCAAATATTTTTCCTACAGTAAGTGCAGGCGATTTTACTCGAGGCAGTAAATTAGAAAAATGAAAAAGGTGTGCAAATAAACACTTGTCTCATTAATATTCCACAGTGAATTAACCTGTGATCTGTGTTTCCTGTTCTGTCCACTAATACGAAATTCGTGTCCCAGCTTCTTTGCTGGTAGCTTTTTAGAAGTTCAGCAAGCGCTGCAAATTGCCCGAAGAGTGGAAAATTCCCTTGTCACGTGGATGGCCTTATCAGCAGCAACCAGATGGAGCTCAGAGCCCAAACATTATCAATGTTAAATTGCTTTTTCCTGGAATAGGGAGGATTAAAGCGTTCCTTCAAAAATGGGTGACATGAGCCACTGCAAACTTAGGGATATTAATATTTTGAAACGTTACTATTTTAGTAATGTGCTAATATATTTTAACAAACATTCTGTAAAGAAAGTCATCTTCTGACTGATGCAGCTGGAATCTTTGCAAAATATTTTGCTTTGAATGAAATACTTCCAGCTTCCCTGCATTCTTCTGATTAGCTGTACTCAGTGTAATGCCACAGTTTAGTGGCGAACACAGCCCACCTAAGGGGGTCTGTTAAAGTGACAAAACCTCTTCCCTCTCTCCTCCCTCTTACTCCTTCTCACTGTGGGAAGGAAATAACAATTGATTGAGCTGTTGGCTAGAAATTTAAAGCACTGGGAGAAATCAGGTTTCTGCTCAGCTTCTTGAATAGCTCTGGAAAATCTAGGCAGCTTGAAATCAGGTGGCTCTGGAGAGACTTTGTCAAATACTGTCCTGCCCATATTTTGTGGGGAGGGTTCTGTGCGTATTTGAGGCTGAGACTTCTCCTAGTAATGCAATAGCTGGTGGCTGGCGTCACAAATATATATTTACAGAAATACGTTTGCAGTAGTCACACCCATACTCCGTGGTAAGCTACTTTTGAAAGTTGCATAAATGACAATATTTGCAGAGTTATTGTTGGATTATGCACTGGGGGTATATAGGTCGAGAGACCCTCTTTCTACCAAATCTTCTGGTTGCAAAACATTAAAGAGGGGGGATAGAATAGATGTACCAGCCTTGATCAAAGTGAAGGGAAACGTACAGGGGCAGTTTCATTTCTTTACAACCTCTAGATAATTTACATATAACCTACTGTATTCTTTTTATTCAGGACCAACTTGGAACTTGAACTGGTTCACCGGGGAGGCAATCTGTGCCTAGGAGGTGCAAGCACAGCTGGGAAGAGATCGTGTTTACGTATGTATAAAGTTGTCTCAATTTGATTTAGATTGATTTAAATATTTATTTTTTATTTATTAAATTTGTATACCGCCCTTCATCCAAAGATCACAGGGCGGTTCACAACATAAACATACAAAATGAGAACACAAAATACGTAGTAAAACAAACTGATAACCCCCCTCCCACAAACACATTTAAAAGGCCACAAGAGTGTCAATCAGCTAAATGCCTGGTTGGAGAGAAATGTTTTCACCTGGTGTCTAAATATATGTAATGAAGGCGGCAGGTGAGTTTCTCTGGAGAGCGCATTCAATATTATGTTCCCAGGGTCCGGTTCAGTTCATATAGGAATATGAACCGATATGCCCTAAAGATCCATGATGTCAACTCAAACTACACTGATGTGTGTGGCAATGTTTCTGACGTTACGGCGGACGGCGTATTAGACAGCTTCATTGTTTAATTCATTTGGTTTATTTGGTACAGTCGTACCTTGGTTTTCGAACAGCTTAGTTCTCGAATGTTTTGGCTCCCAAACACTGCAAGCCCAGAAGTGACTACTTTTGGAAGCCGAACGTCCGGCGGGGCTTCCACGGCTTCCGATTGGCAGCACGAGGTTCCTGCAGCCAATCAGAAGCCACACTTTGGTTTCCAAACGTTTTGGAAGTCAAACGGACTTCCAGAACGGATTCCGTTTGACTTCCAAGGTATGACCGTATTTGGGTTTGGTAGTACAACCTAGGGCTGTATAGATTGACCGTGTTTATGAAGTGGATAACTTTCGAAGAACACATGTAAACACAAGGACCTCCCTTTCTGCCATCTAGTGGGATGTACACCTTTCCACACTTTGTTGTTGTTGTTTAATAATTTTTATTAAATTTTCCATTTTAACAATCAAATCAAATCATATTAAATATTCCAAATTATACAACTACATACCATATAGTCCGAATATTCTGCCAAATTATAAATTTTTATTGGGACTTCCCATGCTTCAAGTTCGGGGGGGGGGGCTCTGATCATCTTATAATAATAATAATAATAATAATAATAATAATAATTTATTATTTGTACCCCGCCCATCTGGCTGGGTTTCCCCAGCCACTCTGGGCGGCTTCCATAGAAACAAAAAATACAGTAAAATATCACAAATTAAAAGCTTCCCTGAACAGGCCTTATATCTCTACTGCCTTGAGTTTCTTATAGTTCCTTTAAATCTTCCTGTTGTTAACCTTCCTTCTTTCACGGCCTCGTGAGTTGTTTCCACAGGCAAGTTGAAGTAAGCAATGATGTGCTTCTGTGTGAATTTTGTATGCTTCACTCTCCTATTGTTGCAGTATCTCCTCACATGCTGGTGTTTATGCCGAATCAATCCAAAAGTCATTTCACTGCTGGCAGACGCCATCTTCTCTCAGTTCCGATGAAATCAAATCTAGGCATTTGCTCATTAATTTTCCCAGACCGGTTGCATCAAACATTAGCCTTTCCAGGGGAGAGTTGCCAAATCGGACTTGAAGTGCAGATATAATAACAAATTAAGAGCTCACCTCCCCCACCTTTACACACTTTGTACAGTGGTGCCCCGCAAGACAAATGCCTCGCAAGACGGAAAACCCGCTAGACGAAAGGGTTTTCCGTTTTGGAGGTGCTTCGCAAAACGAATTTCCTATGTGCTTGCTTCACAAGACGAAAATGTCTTGCAAGTTCCTGCGGGGTTTTTTTCCTCCCCCCCCCCTTTTTCCCAAGCCGCTAAACCGCTTATCAGCTGATCGGCTAAGCCGCTTAACAGCTGATCGCTAAGCCGCTTATCAGCTGATCGTTAAGCCGCTTATCAGCTGATCGTTAAGCCGCTTATTAGCTGATCCTTAAGCCGCTTAACAGCTGATCGCTAAGCCGCTTATCAGCTGATCCGCTAAGCCCGCTAAGCCGCTAATACTGTAGCGCTAATCCGCTAAACCGCTAATGGGCTTGCTTCGCAAGACGAAAAAACCCGCAAGACGAAGAGACTCGCGGAACGGATTCTTTTCGTCTTGCGAGGCACCACTGTACTTGTACTGTACACCTATAGAGGCTATTAGATTACAAAAAGTGTGGGATGTCCTTGGGTTGAGAATGGCCAGAAGACTTTACATCATGCATTGTATGTGTGGGGCTTAGCTGCACGCTTGTGAGGATTCCCACCATATGGGGAAGGGAGAAGGTTATGTATCCTCTATTAACAGAAATATCCAACCAGGAGCTAAAAGTATCAACTCCTTTCAGCCAAAAAGCTGAGCCGTAAACAGGCTGCAAAGCAGGCCGCAGGGTTGAAAAGATAGATGTTCCAGCTGGGTTAAAGCTAGAAAGGCTGGCAGAAAAAGAAATATAACTTGGTACCACTAACCACAATACAAAGCAAAGTTGTCAGGGTGGGCTTCTTTGAAGATACCACACATGATGGTCCACGTCAGATGTAATGCTAAACTATGGTTTGATACGGCATGTATGAACAAAAGTGAGCTTCAGGCTTGCACACCCATCCTCTTCCAGTACAGCTGCAAGGAGATTGGAAGCATCGACTTCCTGGACTTCATTGTTACATCTGAATTGGTGGTGGCGGTTCTGGTTAGTTCAAACTGTGGTTGCTGTAACAAGCCAGGATCATGAGCCACACTTTAAACTAACTACAGTTTTGCCAGTTCTGATATATGGATAAAGATTTGCAAATAAACTCTGGGATGGTTTTAAAAAGGAAATGGACGTTTTCGATCTCTTTGCAGCTCTGCCAGTTATGATAACTTCCATTGTAGCTGTTTATCTCAACTATATATTTAAGTAATAGAATTGATCAGAAGCTTAATTTTGAATTTTTTTAATGGGGGGGGTTTCTCTCTCTCCCCCCCCCATTTGCTTTCTCCCTGTTTAGATTCAAATCCATGATACACTTCTTGTATTGACTGGGATAGGGCCATTTTGTTACACTCTCAACAACATGCTTCTGTTCAAGTATAGCCCAATGAAAATCCTTGCAGATCTTTACTCCCATAGATCTTTCAGTCATTTTCTTGAATTTTGCGTAATGAGGTCTCTCTCTCTCTCTCTCTCTCTCTCTCTTTCTCTCTTTCTCTCTTTCTCTATCTCCCTTGTGATTGAGTACAGTGTTCTGCACGAGTCTTGTAACAATTGTAAAGTTTGTTGATTAGATATGGAATATGGTGTCCCAGGTGAGCTCTTACAGCTGCGAGTGTCAGTGAAGATGTGGGAGCAAATAGGTCAAGTGCTGTTTTAGAAGATTGTGCGGAGGGGGCAGCTGTACGCTGAGAAGTAAAATTAGGAATGATTAATGTAGCTGTTCATGCCGTTGGCTTAGACAGGGTGACAAGAACAGTGAACTAAATCTAGCTATTTAAATGCCTCCTTTTTAAGGCCTAGATCTTCAGGTGTGTTTTAGACATAGTACACAGCAAGCTGGTAGTCTAATACTACATAATCTGCTGATCTTTATTGGTTTCAGGAAAGCCAAAAAGAGTGACTATAATTTCCATTATTGTCAGCTGTTATAGGAAAGCTTGCAATTGCTTTTTGAATTTTGCAAGTCTTCAAGCACTTTCCTTTTACAAGTCTTCAAGCACAATCTTTTGCCCAATGTGGGGCACAAACCCACGACTCTGAAATTAAGAGTCTCATTGTCTTCCAACAGAGCTGTTTATAAATTTTCTATTAGTTTTGGGTGATAGCCAACATTTGTCATACTTGAAGCCTGTTGAATTCAATGGACATGAGTAACTGGTTTGCTCTGGGTATAACTCAGTTAGCTAGGATAGCTAGGATCCTTTATATTTTAAAACAAATATGAACTATAGCTCTCCCTTAGATGCAAGATGTCCTTGGCTGGGTTTAAGTTTCCCCTAGTACTCAGAGGCCGGAATGCTGGTGTTTCAAAGAAAGTTATTGGCTGTTTCAGCTTCTGAAGCCTCAGCTTGTTCCTCCAGTGCTTAGTGTGGGCTTCTTTCTACTGAGCTATATAGTGCTAAACTATGCTTTAGCTTTATGTATGAATGCCGCCTCTGTCATGTGTGAATGCGCCATTAGGCTGGTGTCAGGGGTTCATTTATCCTTGAAAAGGAGTTTACATGTGATATAGGCTTTACATACTTGGAACTTTGTGTGTAAGGGATCGGGCTGTGAAAACAACAACCACAAATACAAAATTTGCAACCCAAGCTGTAATCCTAGGCCAGGCTTCCTGAAACTTGGCCCTCCAGATGTTTTGAGACTACAATTCCCATCATCCCTGACTTACTAGCTAGGGATCATGGGATTTATAGGCCAAAAACATCTGGAGGGCCGAGGTTGAGGAAGCCTGTCCTAGGTATTCTTACTGGAGACTAAAGCCCAATTGCTCTTAGTCAGACGAACTTTTGAGAAAACATGCTTTGGACTGTACTGTCAAGCGTTTCTGTTTATATATCTTGCTTTCCATTTACCCATGGTACGGCCCAGATCAAATTAAACCATAGTTTAAAATGAACTGTGGTTTAATATGAATGAGCAGTGTGCTGGTGCTTGTTATTGATATGCCTCTTGTGGTTTTTTGGGGGGGTGGGAAGGGTTTACTGTGGCAGTAGAGTATTTTGGGGGTCCTAATTGTCCTTTGGTCAATATCGGACTACCATCTGCACTGCTAAAGTATAGTGACTTTCTGCTCTGTATTGTGTATACAGTATATAATGCTCATATAAGTGAATGCTAAGCACCTTAACATTAGAGTAAGCAAAAAAAAAAATGTTTGCAGAGTAGAAACAAACAGCTAGCCATCTCTGATTTGTGAAAACATAAATGGGTTTTTGGTGGAACTATGAACACTGTTAAAGGTCCAGTTCTGATCCTTTTTCTTTGCTGCTGTGTTCCCATTAGGGGGCAATGTTAGTCTTTTTGTTTCTGTCCAGTGATAGAACAGCAGAACCAAATTCTAATATAGAGAATCATTTTTGTTTTGCAACAATTATAGAATATATAAATTTTCTCTAGAAGCAAGGTAACTGTGTCTTCAGTTTAGCTAGCTTTTATGGTTGTTAGTCTTAGAGGGTGACCTGAATAAAGCTAATTTAATACTGAAATGATCTTAGCATGAATAAGATTGCATTTGCTAGGCCCAGAGAAGCAATGTTTCTTTCTTTTGTTATGCTGCCAGGGAACCAAAATGCACCTGTGCAAATTCTTCACTATCTAAAAGAGAAAAGCTACAATTTACAAGGATAATGTACAAGTAAAGGGAATTTTGCAGAAGCAGCACTGGAATAAATAGAGACTGTACAGGAATGGCGCTATTTGGTTGGCATCCACATTGTGAGGTGCCAGGATTTAATATCTCTCTGACTGAACAGTGCAATTCTATGCACATATATTCAGATGTAAGCCCCATTGAGTGCAATGGGAGCTGTTCCCAGGTAAATGAATCTAGGACTGCTGTCTCCATGTTTAAATTGACAGTTATCTTTGGTGGAAGTAGCTCTACTTAACTAAGCTGAGAAAAGGCTTATTTGGACAACTTTGTTCTAGGTAGGAGTGGGAATGTCATCTGAAACCCTGGGGAGTCGAGCCATCAGTTTCACAGTACTGAGACAGAGGGACAGTGATCTGACATAGGCAGTTCCCTGTGTTCCTATGATTTGGTGTTACATACACAAGCCTCAGGTCTGACCTACTTCCTCACCTTCTACACACAATTTTTTCTTTGCACCTGAATTTTCAGCAAACCAAAGCTTGCCTTTTCATCCATACCAAGGAAACTATGGTTTGTTCAAACCTTGGTTTTTCCACATGGAATGCTTTTATTGTTGTTTGTGTGTAGGGATTTAATTTAGTGACTAATTAGAGGCACCTCTTCAGAGTTGAGAACTTCAGTCCATTTTATAACAGCTGCCTGCAGAAAACTCCCTCAACTCTTAAGCAGGGCTGGGCTTGTAGAGAGAGTTCCTGGATTGTCACTTATGTCACCAGACGCCAGAAATACATTATAAAAATTCAATAACAAATAATCCCTGATATAGAAATAGAGAGCTAAAGGTTAGCAGGCAATAGACTAATAAACATACTGACAAATGCAAAACAGCAAACAATTACGGGACCCAACCCAGGACATGTAGTTGTGAAGATGCCTGCTTGGTCTTACCTCTGTTCCTTTATACACTAGGAATTGTCAATTGCACTCAGTGGTCACCACAAATACATGGGACGGCTAGGTTAAACCCCCTACCCAGAGGGCATAGCGATTCTTTTTTTGGGGGGGTGGGGAAATGCTATGAAGCTGACAAAGTTCCTCTTTTGTTAGGTCCTGATGAGCTAACGTATCACCTGTCCTCTTTTCTTCACCTGATATAGGTGTATGTCCTGCCTAATGAAATGTTTGGGTGCATCCTGGTACATGAAGTTGGGACAACAGCATAAGCCCTCAGATGTCCAGTGAACCTTTTACTCCCTGAACAACTTTTAAAATAAGAGTATCTTGTCTCATTGCAGCTCTAAGTAGGCAACCTGTGTTTGAGCAAACCGCTGTTTCCTTGATTTGGATGAAAATGCAAGCTGTGGTTTGCTAAGGCCCTGGATGAAGGTGCAGAAATTGCATCGCATGGAAGGAGAGGGAGAAAATAGTGTACAACCCACAAGCTGAAGCCTTTTGGGCATGGCACGTACTGTCAAACCATGGTTTAGTGTACACAACATGTAAACCTTTGCTGAACTCCTTTCTGCTAGCTAGTGCTTTCTGTTTCCATAACAACAACATGAATGGTATAAAGTGTGTGTGTGTGTGTGTGTGTGTGTGTGTGTGTGTGTGTGTTTAGAACTAGGGAAGGGAATGTTTTTACTGCAGCTTCAATACAATTTTTTCAACTTAATTCAGTATTTTTCCCTCATAGGCTTCAAAATAGACATATGTAGGATAATGCTGTCAGTATAAATAAATAAAATGCCAGTCTTTTGCCAGGAAACTTGTTTTGCCCTCATTCACTGCATCTGATTCAGAAAACAGGTGATGGCAATCAGTTCCAATGTCATCTGCGCCTTCAATTATTTCCCAAACCCCAGGAACTAATTACAGCCCTCAAGCTCTGCTAAAATCAGCTGACATAAGCATGAGGCTGTTTTGGCCTCCCAAGTGCCTATGAATAATTGTCTATTTGTGGAAAATAAATTAATTCCTCTTGTGATTTATATTTAAATGTGATATCTCCTGGTCTGTTCAGCTGGTAGCCAGGGATAGAAGAACAGAAATGAGAGATAGTAAATAAAAGAAAGTGTGAGCAATAAAGGATTTATATTTTGCAAAGGAAATAGATACGAAAACTTCATATCTATGTGTGGAAATGGTAGATTGACTATGAGCTGACTGTCAACTAAAATGATGGTATCATGAAATAATCAACAAAAACCAACTGATCTTTGAAGGAATTAAAAATTGTGTAAAAATGTGTATTTTCCCATTATAGATTCAGTTGTGAAGAAGCATGCAAAAAGAAATTCAAAACATGGCAGGGGATCCCATAATCATGCCTGCATTGTGGCAGCCTGGCTCAAATAGAAGAGAGCAATTATGAGTCGTAGATTTCCTTATCTGGATTAATTTTGCAGTACTCTCCTCATCAGTCTGGTTCTGTAGAACTAGACAAGATCTAAGACTCGGCAGTCGTGTAATTTAGGAAATGTCTCTCTTTAAACTGGCTCATTTGGTTACAAATGATCCCCAAGGGGAAATAAACTGTTCGCTGCGCCAAAATACAGCCACCTCTGTATTAGATACCAGATTAGCTATATATACACCAAGAAAAGTGGTGTGTGACATTCTGTTGCATTTCTCCTACTTTATTATCGGTTGCAGTTTTATTACTGTATTGCTTTATTCAGTGTTACTGTAAAGAGACAGTGCTTAAGACTCCATCTGAAAGAGAACCCCACACTGAAAACAGATAATAGAATTTGCCTCTTGAATGGATATAGAAATGGTGATTTGCTGTGTAATGGCAGTGCTCTAGAGAAGGCCCTTATTAAGCCACTGTGTCTCACCTGCAGAAACCTTTGGGAAGCTGCTGAACACCGTGGTTCAGCCTCATTTCCTTTTCTTGCATGGATGTGACTCGAGCAATTGCAATGTAAAACTTTTGATTTATTATATTTGTATCCTGACCCTCTCTCCAAAGTGCTCGGGGTGGCTTACGTAGCACTCGTCCCATTTTTATCTTTGCAGCATCCTGTGAGGGACATTAAGTTTAAGAGATGGTGACTTGTCTGAGGTCGTCCAGTAAATTGCGTAGCTCATGTAGGATATGAATTCAGGTCTTCCTGTTCTAAATCCACCACGCTATCTATTACCTGGCTCTTGGTGCATGCTAAAGCCAGCTATAGCGGATTGGGTTGTCAAATATTAACAGCTGGTAATGAGTTAGGGAGCCACAGTAATCTAGAAAATGAAACAATCAGTTGCAAAGGACTATGAAATATTTTAATTTCATTCAACCAAATAATTAACTCATTAGTTGTTTCCCTTTATCCATTCAGATCAGCTGTTTCATGTGCTGGCTATGCACATGCGACTCTACAGCATTGATTCTGCTTACAACCCGTGGAAGAAACTAACCCAATTGATGCAGAATGACGAGAGTTTGCAGTAAGTACAGTTCTATAGACCAATTTCTCTGTAGCGTTTTAACCTTGTGAGGCACCAAGTGGAGCAGTGTATCTCTGCTGAACATACCGTTTTAAGGGACTCAATTTGCTGCAGTGTTAGAAACATAGCTCACTTCACCTACCCCATCCAAAGACCTTTTATACCCAAACAATTATTCCATCCATTTTTTCAACTAGTAAAGATTTGGAGACCATATTCATTTTTTAAGCCATGCATTTATTCATGTTTACTTTCTCTTCTCTTTTAAAACTACATTGTGCAGCAAAATCCTATGCATTTTGCTCAGAAGAAAAGTCCCTTTATGCTCAATGGGGGTTCAGAGTGTGAGTGTGAGTGTGTGTGTGTGTGTGTGAGAGAGAGAGAGAGAGAGAGAGAGAGAGAGGGAGAGAGAAACATGCAAACACACACATCGGGTAACTAATTTGTCAGTATCTTGGAATATAGTACAGTTTATAGTTATAGATTGTTTATGCCTGCAGCATGGTGCAGTTTGATTCTCTTTTCAATAATTTTGCTTTATCACTATCAGACTTTACATTAGGTTGCTTTTTCTTAACTACTTCTGTAGCAGTGTTTTGGGAAGCCACACTTATCTGCCTTCCTCATATGCGTTGAAGGGATTAGCAGGGTGGTTCATTTCCATATTCCAAACAGACTTTATAAAAGACAGTTTTCAGTGTCACGGTGAACAAGTTGCTTAGGCTTTTAATAAATGACAGAGCAATTTTTAAGAGCTTAATGTGCTCTGGTGCTTGACGTAAACTAAAGGAGCTTATCTCTTGGCATTTTATATCATTTCACTTCTTCCGTTCTAGCAAAATGAATATATTTAGTCAGATGTTTCACTTGCTCCTGCAAGCCTTCCCTGTTTTTGCAGTGTTGCCAGGCATCCTATAAACCATATAAATTTAAAGGTTTGATTGTGCAAACATTATTATTTGACCTGCATCCTATAAAACAAAATTATTGCTATCACTTTATTCCACTTGAAAATTGAGCATTCATTTTAAAAGTTATTCTTATTTGTATAAAAAAAAGACTCAATATACTTGTTGTATGTTTATTAATGTATTGAAATGCATGAGGAACGGTCCTAAATTTTCCAAAAGCAAAGTAAGATTGCAACAATTAAATACAGCATCTTGGGGATGTTTTATTAATTCACTAAAATAATTGGGCAGAACATTCTATAATAATTCACCTGCACATTACACCATTGCATCTCTGGTTCTATATTGCATAGACAGACATGTTCTCTTCAGGTGATCTTGCATGTAAAATTAACCCAAGAGTGAGTTCCATTCTCCATTGCTCTACTGCCCTCCACGAGCTTGGAGGTGAACTTTCAGTGGGTATCTGAACACCCAATTTTTGGTTTTAAAGCATAGATTTCTGCTTCCACAAATATAAAGGTAAAGGGACCCCTGACTATTAGGTCCAGTCGTGACCGACTCTGGGGTTGCGGCGCTCATCTCGCTTTATTGGCCAATGGAGTCTGTGTACAGCTTCCAGGTCATGTGGCCAGCATGACTAAGCCACTTCTGGCGAACCAGAGCACCGCACGGAAACGCCGTTTACCTTCCCGCCAGAGCGGTACCTATTTATCTACTTGCACTTTCACGTGCTTTCGAACTGCTAAGTTGGCAGGAGCTGGCACAGAGCAACAGGAGCTTACCCCATCGCAGGGATTCGAACTGTCGACCTTCCGATCGGCAAGCCCTAGGCTCTGTGGTTTAGACCACAGCGCCACCCGCATCCCTTTCCACAAATATACTGTGTCCTTATATGTTTACAGTCTGTAACAGTATCGCTTCCAGAAACTTGCATAAATTCCTAAGGAAATGGGGTTATTATGCCAAATATAATTATTTCCATAATTTCCAGGATTTGCAGTGAGGAACAGCCAGAAGTCCCAGTACTTTATAGAGATGCCTCGTCCCTTTTGCTCATCCAGATTTTAACAATGCCACAGCCATTGCGCAAAGGTATGTTTCGAAAAAAAAATGCATAAATAATAAGTCTTGGCGTGTTTCCCTTGTCAGTGGCTTTTAAAGCAGCACAGCAAATAAACCTTGTCTGCTGTGTGTGCTCAAATAATGACTTTGCCTTATCTCTAGAAGTTGGCATCAAACAGAAATTTTTGTTGTGGTTTGACGGGCTTATCTGTGACTCCTGTCTTCTCACCTTTATCAGACAACTGTACAGTAAAACCAGGAGGCCTGAGAATGACTATTAAGTTCCTTGAGATGGGGGGGGGGGGGGAGAGAGAGAGAGAGAGAGAGAGAGCTTGGGTCCTTTCGTTTGACCTTCATTCCTTTACTGCAGTGGGGCTGCTTAATATTTCACATTGAACTGTGAATGCCTAAGGGTGAAAGAGAATAATTCGTTTCAATTTAACTGCTCAAATTGTGGCAATTGTGTCACACCCGACAAAGATAATTGCTATAATACAGTATCTGTAATGGTCGCTGCATATATAAATCCAAGCATAAGTTACTGGAATCCCAAGATACTTTTGAAGCAGAAATGATTTATCACTGCTTATTTTGTCAGGTTTTTAAAACCATTAATTTTACTATTTGAAAATACTAACCCAATTCTCCCCCCCTCCCCCGGTAGTGATACAGGTACATTTTTATAAAAGTGTTACTATGGGCATTATAGAATAGAATTCCTCTCTTTAACAGTTTTATAATTTGTTGACACGGTATTGGCTTCATCTGTGATATTTTTTATATCAGGGACGTTCCATATAAAGGTATAATCAGCCATGAAAGCAGCCTTTTCATATATAGCTGCACCTTTGTAAATAAAATTCCCAAGAAACCAGTTGTTTGGGCCTTCTAACAGAACTGTGTCTTAAATCGGAAGAGAATCATAGGTTGTCTTTAGCTGCTTAAAGAATTTATTGTCAAGGTACAGACAGAAAGAATCTTTCGTACTTTAATGTGCGCCTAATAGCACATTTTATATGTGGCAGCAAAGCCAATTTTAACTATTACAAGTACAACATAGGTCTGTTGCTAGTCCTGGAAGGCACATCTGATTGATATTTCTTGGGTGGTTTTATACCCTTCCCTTTTTTTGGAATGTAGTCTGTCAGGTGGTTATTTGTACAAAGCTCCTTCTTGTTTAAAAATACCTACATGGTATTCTCTGAGAAAATTAGCATTTAATAAGCAGTGTCCTAATAGCATCTCCTGTCCTTCAAGCAAGGCCATGGGAATTCTATTAACTAACTTATTAACTGTTGAATGGCCTTGGCTATCTTTTTTCAATCCGGCATTGATTAAAGCAAAGTAAATGCCATTACAGCATTCAGGCTGTTCATTCTGAAAGGAAAATTTGATCCGAATCCACCTCTAAAGAGAAAACACAAATTAAGCCTTTGATTGTAGGAGAACATCATGTTAGAGGTCAGTGCAGTCAATAGTTCCATCGTTTTATACATGGAGGGCTCAAAGAGTAAGAGGCTATAAGTTTTCTTTGTTGTGTACACATTTCGTGTGACCTAAGGAATTAAGCACAGTGTTGAAGATATTTAGTTGGCTGAATTTTGTTCAGAATATTAAGATGGGGGAAATGGGTGCATGTTTAAAATGTAAAAAAGAGATTTTTCTGTGGTGGTGCTGGTTAAACTTGATAATGATATTTGTTGCCCATTGAACTGCCATGTTCCCAAGGCTAACTTCTAAATTAATTATGGTTAACCTGGAGTCAGCATGATGTCTGCTTTGGACCTGTGTAGAAGAGAAAGCCACTGCCTTTTCGGCATGTACCACCGCCAGGGAAGTAATTTTAAAGAACATAGCAGTTGCCACGTGGCTCTGTTCAGCATTCAGTAAGACCAGTAAGGCTTTACTTGGGAGTTCAGCTGTGCATCCCAGGGGTAAGAAATATTTTTGACACATTCGAAAGGATTCGTAGGAGCATGAGACATTTTAGAAGACGGGATCTTTGAGAGGGGATGAAGAAACATGTGTGTGTGCTGAGCTTAAGAGAGGGTGGTTGTGATTCATTAATTGTGTGCAGCCTGGAGATCAGACTAATTTATTGATGGCTAACATTAAAGTGTAAAGTACAGGAATAAGCACTCTTAAAAACATCAAGTGGCCAGTCAGTCACAATTGTATGCAGTCACCCAACTGTTACAAATAAAAGCACCTGTTCTCTTAATGTGGTTCTGTGTGCAGATGTGGCACCGTTAAGCAGTTGGTTAATACCTGAAGTTCTGGTCCATGTTCGCCCATTGTGTTTACTTTCCATTGCGGAAACAGAAACGTACAGGTTCCCTGAGTTGTTCTGAAGTTGCTGGCTTTCATTCTTTTTTTTCTCTTTGGGGGAGCAAATAAAGCTTTAGTGGAATATTGGCAGTCAATTTCCAGATTAACTGTGAAGTAGCCGGTTTTTTACCTGTTTTGCTTACTAGACAAACTGCTTTCCCGAAGCTGTAGCCTTTCTGCAGATGACATTTAATGTGGCATTTAATGGCAGGCAGGCAGGATATGCTGAGTTGTAAAAAGTGGCTTTAGCTGAAAGTGAAAGCCTTCAGAGCATTGGTAAAGTTTGTGGAGTTCCTGAGGGATATATTGCAAAAGACCATTTCTCTACGAGGTTGTTTGTAGAGCTGTACCACTGCAGTAAATGCTAGCCCCAAATTATTATTCTTGTTTCCTATTGCATTTTACTTGCATTCCTATTGCATGTACTATCAACACTCCTGATAAGGAAAAGAAAACCCTTGTTCAATTTATTTTAAATATTGTTGCATTAATCTCTGTTTGCGCACATTGTTAAGTGCTCCAGTTAAAGCTGATAACTGGTTTACAGTGGAAGGCCTTGTTTTCATTTTCTTTCTTTAAACATGACCTCCTGATTTTGATAGTTGTTTTGAGACCTGTTAAATTGTCCAGTGCAGAAGCTATCATTTCTGAAAATGTACATATTCATTTAAATCCCATCTTATTCAGTTTGCTCAAAGTGGCTCACAGTCCGAAACCTAACATCAGTAAAAACAAAGCAATAAAACCACACATAAAAATAAATAAAATGAACCATTACAGCTGCAATAAAACACTGATTCAGACCAGCAGGGATAAATGTAATACTTGCATCTTTTAGGTTTTAATGTATTGGTGTATGTTTAGCTCCTTACAAAATATAACTTGATGCGTTTCAAGTTTTGGATGGCTCCTTTGGGGGGAAAATACAAATTTGTAGAGTGTAGAATTGCTGTATACAAAATTGAGATCTAATTTAGAATGCTTGACTGACATTGTCTGTTTTCATACTTTTGTAGAACACTTTACCTGTATCATAAAGGTGCTCTTCACATTGTTGTATATACAAGCTCTTGTCGCACTTTCGGTTAAATGCAGTGCTGAAGACAGGATGACGTGGATGAACTCAGGAGCTCTGAAAAAGGTGTGTTGGTTTATGAAAAGCTAAGTAGACTGCTAATGATGCAACTCTATATCCAGCTGAGCACATTTAAGCCCTGTTAGTCTCTTTGGAATACAGATCTGTGCAACCTTTATACTGCATTTTCTCCCAAGTGTTCAGATTTTTTACATCTCGATTGAAAGACAGTGTCAGTCTACCAGGACGAAGAGCTCCTCACCATCCCAGACCTGCTTTGGTGGTGATGAGTTTTTGAAATGTTTTCCAGCAAAGCATATTAAGTGTCAGGTTTCCTCTGCCTGAGATAGCTAACCAGGTATTTTGAGAACAGGTTTGTCTCTGCCTGACTTCACCACCATGACAAACACGCAGAGCACTGTGGAGACCAATCTTGGCAAGTTATTGAACCAACAGTGGTGCTTTATGATGATTTACAAGGCATATCCAATACAAAGTTTAGCCCTTTGGCCTTTCTCCTGCTCCTGGGTTTGTTTGTTATTTTACATAGCCTTGATTATCCAGGTAGAACATTGAGGATTAAGAATTAGACAATTTGTCCTCATTTGGGTCATTTTAACTTGAAGAGAGCAGAAGTTAACTCCATTTTGGAACTTTCTCCGGAGGCCTCTACAGTGGGTCTTTGGAGAGTGGGGCAAATCTGTTTTTCAACATCTGACTATATGTATCCTTGAGCTTCTTCTTTGATTGGGGATCTGACCCTCAAAATAACATTTCTGGTTGAGGATTCCATCCACCCATATAGGAACTCAGAATTTGATACCCTTTGAGTCAACATGGAACTGTCAACAGTGGTCAACAAGAAACAGTGTTTAGAATTGCCCTTTCCTTTATTCCTAAAGTTAACTGGTCTTTTCACAGATCCAAAGGGATTGTGCTTCTCTCCTTTTGTTCCAATCCTTCTCACCCTAATGAGAAGAAATGGCACAATCGGGATGCATGAAAAGCTCTTCGCATCTGCATCATCAGAACTCTATGCTTGCCCTATTCTGGCATCACCAAGAATTAGGACATTGGGCTGTGATATGTAGCCTTCAGCACTAATCTACTGCCGCAACTTCTATGACTACTACATCATGTACTATTATTACTGCAGGTTTTACATTACAGAAGCTGTCAGAATGTCATGAAACCCAAGTCACTTCTGTGTCATGTCCACAGTTTGTTTCTCTACATGAGATAGACATCTCTGTTGTTATATACTAGATACAGTAAAATTGACGTTGATACAACTACAGCCACTGTGTTCTTTCACAGTCAATTTGATAAATAATAGCCTGCTATTATTTACCTTGGATAACATCCAGTCTATTGTATTATTCCAAAATCTTATTAAATGCAGAATTATTATTATTATTATTATTAAAAATAATCTTTATTGAGTTTTTGATCTGTTAAAGAGCATTCTCAAGGAAAGCCTTACCTTAGAGAAAAATGGAATAAAGCTATGTAAAACAACTTTCACTGTAACCTTAAGGAAAACTGTGTTAAGATGGAAATGAGGTGGCATTGGACGCCTTGAAAAAGTGAAATAACAGGGTAAATGGCCAGTGTTGGTTTTATGATGGAAATATCCTGGAATATGGTAACTAAGGCAATTAAACAATTTTTTTGCAAATGGGTATGCTAACTAACCCAGTTAGGAATTTTAGGGATAGGAATTTATTTCATGCCCTTCTGAAAGACATGTACTATCTGAAAAGGTAGGGTTATAGCAAATTAGAAGTATCTGGTTTGGCTTTAAATGTTTATAACAGCAATATATTAAGGAAGTATAGTTCTCTAAATCACTTGCTAAGCTGCTTTAGTATATTCCCTTGTACTGTTTTATAATTCCCTTTTTCATACTGTTTTATATTCATTTTCAATAATAATAATAATAATAATAATAATAATACCAGAATATGGAAACCCATATTTACATGGGATTTCGTACATGTATTTGAACTATTGTTGGATTGGGGTGACAGCATTTGCTTATTTTCCTAATTGTCTAATAAATTTCTTCTTAATCACAGAGTATGTCAAATGCAAAAAAGTCTTGGGAAGTATTACTGAGTCACGTGATCAGTGAACTCTATAACGGGAAGATCTATGAGCAAGAGGAAACTGAAGACCTAGCCATGGTACGGTTTATATATTTTTTGGTTTGTCAACCGTAGCTCAATTTGACGCTTACTAAATACATGAGGGTGAAATCAGCATTAGTTTGCAAACCATTCGTAGCGCTACTAAGTTTGCAAACTATCAATAGAATTACCAAAGAGCGCCGTTGATTCTTCAGGAGTTAAATCAATCTGGATTTTCTTCTTCTTTTTCAAAACTCTAATTTAGGACAGCACAAGCGCTTGGTGCCCACACTCCATAGAGACTTATTTGCAGCAGTTCTGTCTGCCTTTCCTCAGGATTACCAGCCTTCTTCAGCACCATCTCTTTGGAGCAGAGCTACCTAGCTGTCAGGTACTATGAAAAACTGGTTCATTTAATCTGTTCTAATAATCTTTGACGTCACTCTAACAAAGCATCCTGCGTTATCTAGGAAATGCGCTTGTATAGAGAAAATACTGACGATATTTCCAAGATGCAAGTGTGTGTGTGTGTGTATTTATCATAATGGCACAGTATGAATTTGTATCATGAAGTTCAGGCATGTCCAAAGTCTTCTTCAGGGGTCTAATGCAGTCCACCGGTCGGTTTATTCATTCAATCCTCAAAAAAGGTCAACAACTTTGGTTGGCCCTCACGGCCCTTCACTTCATCAAATCTGGCCCTCTTTGAAAAAAGTTTGGACACCACTGATGAAGTTGAATTTATGCGCTCAAGCTGACAGCATTGTTCTTTGGGCTTCCTTTTTTTTTTTTTAAAATACAGTGGTACCTCGGGTTACACACGCTTCAGGTTACATACGCTTCAGGTTACATACTCCGCTAACTCAGAAATAGTGCTTCAGGTTAAGAACTTTGCTTCAGGATAAGAACAGAAATTGGGCTCCGGCGGTGCAGCAGCAGCAGGAGGTCCCATTAGCTAAAGTGGTGCTTCAGGTTAAGAACAGTTTCAGGTTAAGAATGGACCTCCGGAATGAATTAAGTACTTAACCTGAGGTACCACTGTATCTGACGCATCTGGCTCTTCTTCCTTTTATGTTTAACAGGAAGACGAAGAATTTACCGTGCTTGCTAACTGCCTGGGTTTATTACCGCCATCTTTCCAGTCGTCAGAGTTCTCCAGTGCCTCTTGTCTTGACTGGCCTGTGCCAGCCTTTGACATAATATCCCAATGGTGCTCAGAATTGGTTTCATTTGCAGGCAAGCATCCAACCCAAGTAAAGGTAGGTGAAATAAATAAAAATTGCTGCGGCTTAATACGGTACTCTGCTTTCACTTTCAAATTTAACCCTATTTAAAAATCATTTTTAAAACTTATTTGTTGCAAAGTAGCAACACAGCAGCTTCCTTTTTAGCAAATTTTTGATCGGACAGTACTGCCAAATTGTTCTCTAGAAGCTAATAAACTTTATAGATGGTTTAAATAAATCATTTTAATTGAATTGGAAATGGCCACCATAAGCAAAAAGAATAACTTATCATAAACATTTTCTGAAAAGAAACATTTTCAGGAGTGCTCTGATGGTGTTTCCTGCTTGGCAGGGGGTTGGACTCGATGGCCCTTGTGGTCTCTTCCAACTCTATGATTCTATGATTCTATGATTCTATAAGGGCATTATTACAGATGGAGCTACAGGAAACTGAAAGAGTGATTTCAGAAACTGAAAGGTTTGCAGAGATAATATCGTAATCTCTCTGATGTATTATAATTCTGAGAATTGGTGTGTTTGCCCGTCAGTTTCTCTTAAGGTTTTGCTTATCTGGGAACTTTTTGGAAAACTAAGATTTATGAAATTTAACTCCTGCACTTCTGGAGAAACATTTTCACATTTCCCTATGATCTCTTCCAGATTTTACTTATACAAGAAGCTAAATGGGACTTGCCACGTCTCCTACAACTGCCTGAAAATTATAATACCATTTTCCAATACTATCACAGAAAAAGTTGTTCAGTCTGTTCCAAAGTTCCTAAAGACCCCGCCGTTTGTCTAGTCTGTGGCACTTTTGTGTGTTTGAAAGGACTTTGCTGCAAGCAACAGAGCTACTGTGAATGTGTCTTGGTAAGAAATTAGTAATAAACATTATCTGTTTCCCAAAAGCGATTTGGAAAGGAAGCACGCCTAATAATGCTTCCACTTGGTTTTTGTGATCCTGGGATCTCTTGCAGATGGCCTAGAGTGCACACAGAATGCCTCCTGCAAGGTTTCCCCATTCACATTAATGGTTGTGTCCTATAGATTATGGGACGCGGGTGGCGCTGTGGGTTAAACCACAGAGCCTAGGACTTGTCAGTCAGAAGGTCGGCAGTTCAAATCCCCGCGATGGGGTGAGCTCCCGTTGCTCGGTCCCTGCTCCTGCCAACCTAGCAGTTCGAAAGCACGTCAAAGTGCAAGTAGATAAATAGGTACCGCTCTGGCGGGAAGGTAAACGGCGTTTCCATGCGCTGCTCTGGTTCGCCAGAAGTGGCCTAGTCATGCTGGCCACATGACCCGGAAGCTGTACGCTAGCTCCCTCAGCAAATAAATGGAATGAGCACCGCAACCCCAGAGTCGGCCATGACTGGACCTAATGGTCAGGGATCCCTTTACCTTTTTACCTATAGATTTATATAAGAGTAGAGATTTTTCTAAGTGTGGCTCTGTGTAGAACTGCCCTCCCCACTGAAATGAATGAAGCACCCCTGGCCATGCAGAAACTCTTGAGTAGGGAGGACTGTGGACCCAGGGGAAAGCTATGGGAGGAGTGAAATGTTGCACTATGTCAGTTGTTCCAACAAGAGAAGCATTTCAGCTTGCCAGATGGAATTATCCCCCATTTGTCCCCCTGTTTTGAGGGTTCTCTCAATCCCACCAGAGCCAATTTTAAGGGACTCGGAGGGGAAGAAAGGGTGGAAACTCCCATTGCACAAGTGGAAGGAAGTCCATGTGTGAGCTTCTGCTGATAATAATAATAATAATTTATTTATATCCCGCCCTCCCCAGCCAAAGCCAGGCTCAAAGTGGTTAACAACAGTAAAAGTAGCACAATTTACATAAAATCACAATCAATTAATTGAAATACATTCTAAAATCAATTTAGAATCAAATTAATGGCAACCATTGGGCTAGAGTTCTATGAGGATTACCAAAGGAGGGGGTCAGACTGTGCCTTGGCCAAAGGCCTGATGGAACTGCTCTGTCTTGCAGGCCCTGCGGAAAGATGTCAAGTCCCGCAGGGCCCTAGTCTCTTGTGACAGAGCATTCCACCAGGTTGGGGCCACAGCCGAAAAAGCCCTGGCCAGCCTAATCTCCCTGTGGTCCGAGACCTCCAAGATGTTTTTGTTTGAAGAATGTCCTCCGTGGGACATACTAGGAGAGGAGGTCCCATAGGTACGAGAGTCCTAGGCCGTATAGGGCTTTGAAGGTTAAAACCAGCACCTTAAACCTGATCCTGTACTCCACCGGGAGCCAGTGCAGCTGGTATAGCACCGGATGAAAGTGATCCCATGGCGAGGACCCCATTAGGACCTGCTGGAGTTTCTGGGTCAGTTTCAAGGGCAGCCCCACTTAGAGTGAGTTACAATAATCAAGTCTGGAGGTGACCGTCGCATGGATCACAGTGGCTAGGTCAGGGTGAGAGAGGTAAGGATTCATTAGGTGAACCCCAGCCTTTATAATCTTTTGAGCTCATTTTTGTTATACAGTGGACCTGCTAGTTAAGTACCACTCTGGATATGTAACTTTCGGGTTACAAACGCGGCAAACCCGGAAGTGTATGCTTCTGAGTTTTACCATGCGCAGAAGCGCTCTGTGCACTTTGCACACATGTGCAGAAGCGTCGCCTCTGCCTACAGACTTTTTGGGTTGTGAACGGACCCCTGGAACGAATTCAATTCATATCTGGAGGGTCCACTCTATTTTGATGCAGATCATTACATTTGTTATAAAGCCACTGACAAAGAACTCTTCCCTCTTTCCCAAAACAAAACCTCAGCACTCGCAAAATTGCGGTGCTGGAACAGGCATATTCCTCTTGATCAACGCATCCGTCATCATCATCATTCGTGGTCATCGCTTTTGCCTTTGGGGTTCCGTTTACCTGGATGCACATGGTGAAGAAGACAGAGATCTCAGGTAAGCTTTTTATAATAGGGGATAATTTGCACTGTTTTTAACATAGGGCTACCCCCCTTTTAGGGATGCGGGTGGCGCTGTGGGTTAAACCACAGAGCCTAGGACTTGCTGATCAGAAGGTTGGCGGTTCGAATCCCCGTGACAGGGTGAGCTCCTGTTGCTCAGTCCCAGCTCCTGCCAACCTAGCAGTTCAAAAGCATGTCAAAGTGCAAGTAGATTAATAGGTACCACTCCGGCGGGAAGGTAAACGGCGTTTCCGTGCACTGCTCTGGTTGACCAGAAGCGGCTTAGTCATGCTGGCCACCTGACCTGGAAGCTGTCTGCGGACAAACGCCGGCTCCCTCGGCCCATAGAGTGAGATGAGCGCTGCAACTCCAGAGTCAATCACGACTGGACGTAATGGTCAGGGCTACCTTTACCTTTACCCCCCTTTTGAACTGTTTTGTTCTCGTAACCAAGGTGTTTGGCAAATCAGGGGAAATAATTTCACATAATAATATCACACCTCCCCTTCAGAAGCTCCCAGGCCAAATCACCAAGCTTTTTAAAAAACTGGGGGTTAAATAGGCTTTGGGGGGCTAATATGAGGGCACCTGCTAAGAAGAAAACTCACACGTGGATGGTCTGAAAAAGGAGGATTTAAGCTATTCTCAGTGTCAACCTAACTGTAGCTGCTTGAGGCAGCATACCGTATTGGCCTGAATATAAGCCGCACTCTTCCCCCCCCCCCCACAAAATTCCGACAGTGAAAAGCTAAACTGCGGTTTAAATTCATGTCCTTACAAAAATTGGCTTTTGCAATATCGCTGCTGAAACAGACATATGGTAAAACGGAATGGGTGTGAGTGCCTGTGGAATTTTAAGGGAGTGGCTTTCCCCCCTCTCTCTCCCCCCCCCCCCAATTTTAAGTGTTTGGCTTATATTCGGGTGCGGCTTATATTCGGGCCAATACGGTAACTTAAGGGTGTCCAAAGGGGCAGCACTCAGGGTCCCTTGCAGCGTCACAAAGACTGGTTGGGGGCATCTCCTGCATCACATCACGCAGGTGCTTAAGGTAGCAAATTACATTGGGCTCCCGCTGTTCAACCAATTATTGATCTTAATTTTTATTTTATTCTTTCCTGCAGGCGTGGCAAACCTCTCTATATATGTAAAGAAAGATACAAAGTCCTTGAACAGCAGTGGGTTTCGCACACCTTTGACCACATCAACAAAAGATGGGGGCCGCATTATAATGGTTTGTAGGTCACTAACCACCCCGCTGTAACATCACCGTTATTATCAGCGCTACCGGCATGAGCTTTAAGTGAATGGAAGTTCAGTCACTTCCCTGGGGAAGGTGTGAATCGGCACCTTTATACGAAGCCCTGCGTTATCCAGGTCTTGGTAATAAGACGTGCAGTAATTAAAAACACAAAGCAATTAGTCCTCCTAATCTGAGTACGGAATCTAAATTCATTTGATAGTTGTTGCTGTATAATCCACTAATAAACAAGCACAAATTGTACTTTAAAAATGCCACTAAATGGCGGATGAGCGTTTTGTTTTGCCCCAGGTTGGGGTTGTGTATGCTGAGGCACTGTATATGTGTAGTACACACCTGCTAAACATACTGCTCCCCTCCTTTACCCTTCTTTGTGTTGCTTTAAGATTTTGATTGATAATGTATTTGTAAGTATACAAAAGCTGTAACACTTCTGATTTGTGAAATTGTATAGAAATTGGTCTAAAGGATTTTTAGAGAATATTTCACTTACTGCCACGAAGCTATGGAAATAAGCTTCAGGCAATACTGAAAACCTTACTCATTCTCAGGAATTTCATAGATATACTCCAGAGAGATTAGTGAAATTAGCTGTAAAATAGTTAGCTTGCCGCTCTTAATGTAATACAGTACATATACAGTATTCTGTCTCTGCCATTTCAGTTAGCTTTATTTACTGGTAACTACTAACGCATCCATTTTATGGTCTGTGTACATACGACTTTTGTAAGATGCCCCCAAATGGTAGATCACAATCCCAGCCGAGCACATCATGGCTGTCTCGTTCCCACCTAGCCGTAGGTTTCAGTAAGGGGAAGGCGAAAGTCCTGCTGAGTTCTTTGCAAATGAAGCGTAAGTTGAGGACTTTCCAATGAGTTTCAAGAAGCATCTTTGTATTATATTCACAGAGCAAGCACTGCCCTTTCTGCTTGACTTCCCTTAATATGGGAATTTGGTAGGAGAGTTAAATTGTGAGGTGGCAGTGGTTAAAAAGAATTGCACCTCCTCTGAATGGGGGTTGGGGCATATTTACAACTATCCTCCAGTCCGCATGGAGCAGTCAAGGCTGTACACAGAGAACCCTTTTTAAAAAGCGGAAATCCTGAGGATCCAGTTGCTTGCCATGGAAGGGTGGGGGGAATCAAGGAGCAGCCTGAATCGAGCCCTCCTCTCAGAAACAGCTGACCATCATACTGGATCACAGAGGAGAATCACCTGTGCGGCTGTCCTTCAAGCTGGAGATATATATATTTATATGTGCTTCCACTCATAGTGGACCGTAGGACACTTATATTTATTTAGATGGCTTTGAAATCCACAAAAATGGGCATCATTGCGGAAAGATGGGTGGGGAACACACCACATACCACACTTAACCAGGCAGGGGGGAAAACAGATTGATACTATCTTGCTGCCAAAACCTTTTTCGTCTTTTTCACAGAATAGTCAAAACAGCTGTTGGACTCTTTCTAACACTTCTGTTGGTCATTTCTGACACTTGCATCCTTTGACTTAACATAGCTTTTTTCTGTAAAGTGAAGTTTATATATGTAAACTACCATTAAAAAAAGAAAGAAAGAGTTGTAGCCATATAACCATGTATTCAGTTGAAAGCTGCTCTCTTTTCAAACGTCTGATAGGAAATCAGCTGCTGAAATTCGGATAGGAAATAATAAGGAAGTGGGGATGTTCACAAGATGAGCCTTATAGGCCACCAAGTTTTTACAAAACCTTAAGAAAAACACATCGCAATGGTTTGCTGTTTTATTTATATAAATTTATCCGTGTGAATATTTATATATAAGCACACGCAAACATATTTGGGTTCTACCTAGGAGCCTGCATTTCATCCACCAACTGAAATATGGTCTTTTCCAAAACATTGCTACATTTTTAATATTGTATATTCTGCCTATAATATTTTTGCATTGCTCATTTATGAGTACCCAGCCATTTTGTAAGCACACCGGACAGGCAGAAAAGCTGCTGACATTTCCCAGCATAACGCGATTACAGGAGTCTTGGATTTGCTCTGTGTGGTTTTGAAACCTCACAAGAGATGATGTCAAAGGAAACAAGAGCCTCCAGAAACTGAATGAGATGTGCTATTTAAAATGGAATGTTTTATGACTGTGTATATGAGTGTGAAGTAAAATTATTAGCCTTAACCTTAAAATCTTCGGATTTCATGGCGTTCATTTTTATACTGGTGAATTAGTCACTGGTCAGTTTTTAAGAAAAAGAAAAGGCACTTGTTTGGAAATCCTACTTGAAATATACCTGCATGCTGCTGAACTAGAACTTTGATTACTCCTATAACTTTTTGAAAACCTGCTTTGTTAAGCTTACTTTGAAAAATAACAGGTCCAACTAGAATGGGTGTGTGTGTGTGTGCTGCTGCTGCTGCTGCTGCTGCTGCTATTCCTCCGACGTACTGGTGTGGTATCTTGTATGAACGATCATTTTAAGTACAGTACATTACTGTGGAAACAGAATCAGTCTTTGACACATCAAAATGCAAAACTAAAAATACCGTAATCAACATTGTAAAATATGTTAATAAAAAGTCTACTGTCATATGTGTGTATGGGCTCCTTTTGTTGTATTATATTATGATATTAAGTTTACATGAAAAAGCACCAAGCATGTGTTTTGCATTCAGTTAAGGCAGGGGGACGCGGGTGGCACTGTGGGTTAAACCACAGAGCCTAGGACTTGCCGATCAGAAGGTCAGCGGTTTGAATCCCCGCGATGGGGTGAGCTCCCGTTGTTCGGTCCCTGCTCCTGCCAACCTAGCAGTTCGAAAGCACGTCAAAGTGCAAGTAGATAAATAGGTACCGCTCTGGCGGGAAGGTAAACGGCGTTTCCGTGCACTGCTCTGGTTCGCCAGAAGCGGCTTAGTCATGCTGGCCACATGACCCGGAAGCTGTACGCCGGCTCCCTCGGCCAATAAAGTGAGATGAGCGCCACAACCCCAGAGTCGGTCACAACTGGACCTAATAGTCAGGGGTCCCTTTACCTTTACCTTTAAGGCAGGAGGAGGACAACTTTTTCAGCCTTGAGGGCTGCATTCCTTTCCAGGCAGCCTGCCAGGGGACCATGCGTGTCAGAAGCGAGCCCACAGTAAATCACACGAATGGGTGAAGTTGACTCCTTATTCGAAAAACGGGCTTGGCAAAGGAGTGACAGGTCTAAGAAGCACAGCAACACTCTTCAGTAGGTCTTTGCCTCATGAGGCAGTTGTGGAGGCTAAAGGCCTTCTCACAGCTGCCTAACTCCTCCTCTCCCAGGTATTTCCCAAGCAATCTGAGACTGCCACACATGCTTGCTTTTGTTCCTCCCTCTTCATGCCTCTCCCTGGCCCTGGGAGAAAAGGGGGAGTGGAGCTGGTTGCCGCAGAAGGGGAGACACCCTGGCTTCTTTAACCAACCGGAAGAAGAAGAGTTTGGAGTTTTTATCACTATCCAAAGGAGTCTCAAAGCGCCTAACATTCTCCTTTCCCTTCCTCTCCCACAACAAACACTCTGTGAGGTCAGTGGGGCTGGGAGACTTCAGAGAAGTGTGACTGGCCCAAGGTCACCCAGCAGCTGCATGTGGAAGAGCGGAGACACGAACCCGGTTCCCCAGATTACAAGTCCACCGCTCTTTACCACTACACCACACTGGCTCATCTCTGCCTCTTGGCCTCCCTCCTCTCCTGTTCCCGCCTCTGCTGCTGATTCTGGACTTCTCTCTGCCACAGACTCTCCCTGCTCACAAAGCCCTGTGACCTCTTCAGCTTCTGACACCACCTCTTCCCAATCTTCTCCCTCTGACCACTCACTGTTGTGTCACCACCAGCCCCTGGGTCTCTGAGTCTTCATCCCCTGGGGGTTCCCCAGCGGGTGCCTCTCACTGTTCCTCTGTGACCAACCAGTCCATGACATCATGCCAGTGATGAGTGGATCCGGAAGCAAAAGTGGTTCACCCAGCGAAAGGCTAGTTTTAACACACGCCTCTCTGCATCCGCCATCCATGCTATCGCCCTCCTTCACGGCCTAGGACCTTCGTACCTACGGGACCACCTCTCCCAGTATGCCCCATGGAGAGCCTCAATGTCCATAAATAGCAACACCCTAGTGGTCCCAGGCCTAAGGAAGTTAGATTAGCTTCAACCAGAGCCAGGGCCTTTTCAACACTGGCTCCGGCCTGGTGGAACGCTCTGCCTCATGAGACCAGGGCCCTGCAGGATCTGATTTCTTTCCGCAGGGCCTGTAAGACAGAGTTGTTCCACCTGGCCTTTGGCTTGGAGCCAATTTGATTTCCTCCCCCTCTTTTTTCTTTTCCTTTCTCCTGCCATGAGGCTACATTTTAATATTTTAATGTTGTCTTTTAATTTTGTTTTTAAGTTGTATTCATTCAACTTATTTTTATTATTGCTTGTTAGCGGCCCTGAGCCCGGCCTTGGCTGGGGAGGGCGGGGTATAAATAAAAATTATTATTATTATTATTATTATTATTATTAACAAGCAGCATTATCTGAGTTCAAGCACACATTCCAGCCAGGCAAAAACACAAGGAAGGTGCAAGGCAGGCCTGCGCAGAGAGTGTGACCTGAGCAGAGTCCCAATGGCCAGATTTAGAGAGGCATGGAGGTTGGAAGATTGACAGAAAAGGGATCTTCATGGATTCCATTAATTGTGGCATACCTTACCCTAAAATCTGGCCAAAGCCTCAGTCTTTGTCAGATTTGATTAGAATTTGCCCTGTACATGCAGAAATGACTTAATTGTGAGTCTTTCTAATAAGTCTGCGCTCGTCATTTTTCAAGCCTCGAAGTAGTATGTGTTAAGTCACTTGCTACAAGAAACAAGTCAGATCACAACTTCCTGGGATCAGATGCTAAAATAACACAAATATTTGTGTCTGGGCATAACGTATCGTCGCTGTAATGACCTTCATGACACTTCAAGCCAGAGTAGCCTAGACAAACACAAAAGTGGGTGGAAGGTGAGAAATCAGCACTATACATTCTCCCGTCAACTGAGTGAAGAAGTGGTTTTAACAATTTGCATACCTTAAAGCGCTGCAGCAAAGGTTAGGAAATACATGCAGGATTCTGTGACCAAAATCAATACTGAACGAGGCAAATTTGCAGACAAAATGGGTGGTAGGGGTAATTTAGATGTATATGAGCTCTTGTTTATGTTCTACAAATGCCTTTTTGTTGATATTGTGCCCTTAACTCTACCAACTCTGCATATCAGTTAGTTGTTCAGTTTGCTACTGTGTGTGTGTGTGTGTGTGTGTGTGTGTGTGTGTCAAAAATGCAACAGGAACAGACACGCTGCAGCCCTGAATACCAAAAAGCGGTTGTCATGGCAACAATAAACAGGAGAAAGCTAGCCCAGTTTAGGTGATTTACCTTTCTGAGTCCTCTGAGCATCACATATGGACTTGAACACTAAGTAAGTTATTGGAACGGGTTGTATTAACAAACATGAACTGCCCCACCCCGACTGAATATTCTTGGATATCTCAGAATAATTCTAATACCTAAGTCACCTTGTAACAACAGAACCTGCCGGTTCAGTCCGGTGTCTCCCAACACACCTCATTTGTTCCTAATAAATTCCGGAGGTGTTAAATTCTGCCTCTTAAAATATCTCTGCATTTGCTCTGTCGATAGCTATGGGTACTCTTGCTACTTGAGGGACGGGTGAGGGAGATGGGAGATACTCCCATAGATACAGAATAAACAAAAAACCGGGGGAGGGGGACAAATCAACCATCAATTGAAAGGAATCGGTGTGATCACTATGGCCCTCCTTCCATCATGTCCTGGGCTCAGGAAGACACTACAGAGATGGGAAAGAAGCCTGTTTATAGCTCCCACCATACTGGAACCCCAGCCAGCTCCTAGGCCTCAGCCGAAGAGAAGGCAAGCTGAGGAATGCTTCCATTACAGATACTCTAAGTGTCCCTATTTTCCAGGGACAGTCCAGGATTTACAGAAGGCATCTGGGATTCTGATTTGAACCCGGAGTGTCCTTTTGCTTCCCTATTTTCATCGGAGAAATGTTGGAGGGTATGGCGTTCTCTAATGCCCAAGCCAAGGAGATAAGTAACTACAGTGGTACCTCGGGTTACATACGCTTCAGGTTATATACGCTTCATGTTACAGACTCCGCTAACCCAGAAACAGTACCTCGGCTTAAAAACTTTGCTTCAGGATGAGAACAGAAATTGTGCTCTGACAGCGCGGCGGCAGCAGGAGGCCCCATTAGCTAAAGTGGTGCTTCAGGTTAAGAACTGTTTCAGGTTAAGAACGGACCTCTGGAACGAATTAAGTACTTAACCTGAGGTACCACTGTGTAACCTTTAGAAGACATCTGAAGGTCGCCCTGTATAATAGGGAAGCTGTGTGTGTGTGATTAATATATATATTTTAATGTTTTTACATATGTTGGAAGCTGCCCAGAGTGGCTGGGGAAATCCGGTCACATGGCTGGGGTATAAATAGTAAAATTGTTGTTGTTGAGCAGGGGGTCCCTATGTTCATCAGAGGTACGTTGGAGTGTATGTCATTATCATACAGCAAGAGGCCTGAAAGGAGGAGAAACTGGGCCTTCTTTGCTCACTGACACTGCCTCTTCCTCTCATCAAGGTCCAGCTGTGCATTTTCCACCATTTCCACACCTTGCAGCAGATGTGGGGAGCCTCAGGCCCAGAGGTGAAATGAAGCTCTCCAGGCCCTCTTTATCAGGCTCTGGAGACCCATTCTCAGGCCCTCTGTGGTGATTTGGCCTGGATGGGGTATGTCCTTGAACTATGATGGTATCTTCCTTTCCAGGAAGGATGGAGCTGTGCGGAAACCTCTGACCCTCGTGCGGCTGGGCTCCTTCTCTACAAAGGTAAGAGTCCACAGCTATTGCTCTGTCTGGTCTTCCCCTCAATGGAGGGAATGAATCCCGTACCAAAACTTATTTTTCCCCACCCCCTTACTATACAGCCAGGACGCGGGTGGTGCTGTGGGTTAAACCACAGAGCCTAGGACTTGCCGATTGGAAGATTGGCAGTTCGAATCCCCGCGACGGGGTGAGCTCCCGTTGCTCAGTCCCTGCTCCTGCCAACCTAGCAGTTTGAAAGCACATCAAAGTGCAAGTAGATAAATAGGTACCGCTCCGGCGGGAAGGTAAACAGCGTTTACCCGGTAAGCTGTACGCCGGCTCCCTCAGCCAATAAAGCGAGATGAGCGCTGCAACCCCAGAGTCGGTCACGACTGGACCTAATGGTCACAGGTCCCTTTACCTTTACTATACAGCCATCCTTGCTGATTTGGCTGAGATGAGTGCGCATTTCACGCGCTGTTTCAGAGCGCCAAGTTCTGCATGTAACTTCCGTACGGCTGAGGGACGCGATTCTGGAACGAAAAGGGGCACGAGACGCATCGATGTTTCTTTTTACGCAACATTCTCAACCAAAGTCCCCATTATGCCTTTAAAGCAGCAGTATGCCACTTTAAACAGGCATAGCTGTTCCCAAAGAATCCTGGCCTTTGCTAAGGGCGCTGAGCGTTGTTAAAAGACCCCTATTCCCC